TCTCTGCAACACCTTTGTTCACAATAAATAAGCGTAGGATTCACATGAAGTTGATAAAACTGCATTTCAGTGTTTACTCTCCTCCAAATGATGTTGAGAAAATCCTCGTTAATACGCTCACGAAGGGTCATAGGTTGCAGATCCGAATCCAATTCTGTCACATTTCATCTCAAAGACCAAGTCATCACATATGCAAACCATCCCTTGGAACGTGTGGCACGCAAAGAGTGAAGAGGAAGTTGAGAATCATCAAGAGATCTCACCCTTCTAATATAAGTGATGGTCAAGTAGAGAGCTTCAGCCTCAAGAGGTATACAATTTGTTTCTGCAATAAGAATAGCATAAGGAGTTTGGTTCCTCACATCTAATTCTTCTTGTAAAAAGATCTTTTGCACCCTCTACACACGCTCCCAACTTGTCTTTTTACTGCCAGGACCCCACACTTGTGTCCCATATAAAACCACAGGCAACACTAAGCTCCTAAATAAAAAAATTCCTAAAACTCCAAGATACTACATGAGCTCTTCTACATCGATTTAACAGTGAATATAGAGCTTTGTAACCAGTTTCTACTCTCTTTTGCACACAAAGAGCCTAACTATAATTTTGAGAAAAATCAAAGCCTAAATATTTATAACTCTTCACTTGTTCCAATTCTAGTCCCTTGTTAAAGAAAAAGAACTTGGATCTAGTGCACACAAGAATGATCTGGGAGCAGCCAGGCCACTAGAATGGAGTTTTATCAACTTTATGTTAATCCTGTACTTGTATTATTAGAACAAGGTTATCTTACTGCGGGGATTTACATGTTCTTACGTCATATTATTGCAAGACATAGAACTAGTTCTCATAGTCTGAGATTTGAGGAAGTACAATGATTTGATATTGACATAAGTAAATAAATCTGTAGGTTATATGATAGAGACAATATTGAATATGAAAAGCATGTGTTTGTTACATGTACAAGTTATGAAGAGAATAGATTAGCTTAGAAATTAGATGTGGAGAATTTCTATTCTTTGTTAGAGCTAGTGCCTTATGATTCAGGTTGTTATATTAGGGATCTCAGTATGCATCGTTCTAGAGCTCTCCTAAGTAGCTAGGAAATGGTCTTTAGTATCATTTCTCTGGTAAATGAATGCATGACTTGTAATGTGTGTTTTAGACTTTTTAACCCTTTGGATCCCACGAGCTTAATCTATTTACCATTTACTAGTATATCAAATGAATAATTTCCTTGATGTAGTTTATAATAGATGTGTGTAATAACCCACCAAAGGCTAAAACTGCAATATAGTGGTAGAAAGGTTGAACCCACAGGGACAGAGTTAACACACAGAGTACAAAGTGTCACATTTAACAGACTATTGAAGAGTTTGAATTCTCATACGATTATCACTCCCATAAATACTGCAAGTGTCCACTCGGAGGTCGCACAGTGCAGCGTAGTTCACTCAACACACACACACACACACACACCTGAAACTATAGAAACACAACTATAGAAACACAACTCAGGGGTCGGTTAGGACCTCCGCTTAGGATTTCAGGAGAAAAGTCTCTCGCGAATACACTCAGCGAATCTGCGGGTAGTGACTCCCAACTCCGGCTTTTACAACCCTTCCACTAGTTTCTACTAGCACAGGGAACCCGGATTGGACTTCCTACTTCGGATAGAAGTCACTCACACGCGGTGAAAAACACACTCAACTCACAAAACGCGCAGAGAACACAGGTCCAAACTGAGAGACTCAACTTAGAAACGATCCAGTAGCACACCATAACAGTCTATTGAAGAGTTTGAATTCTTAGGCACTTGTCATTCCCAGAAATACTACATGGGTTGCCCTTAAGGCACCTGCTGCAGCGTAACCTGAATTACAACCAAGGCTTACTCGAAGTAACAAAACTTCACTTTGGCATTTAGGGGAAAAATCCCGAAGGAGTACAATCAGGAACAATCACTCGAAGGTGTAAGGAAGAAACTGTTCAAGTATCTAACTAGTAACTAGCTCTGAGCATCAACAATCACCCGCAGGTGTAGATCCGAACTACTCAAGCCTCTAACCAGTGCACTAGCTCTGAACATTCGGCCAAAGGCCTTTAGCTACAAAATGCGGATCGCCAAGTTGTAGCTCCTCTTGCGTGGTGACAAAACTAAGGACACAAACACGCAGAGAAGATGAGTTCCTGATCTGCACTTCTGAAACGGGAAGAATCTCAAGGCAAGACGCCTTGAACTACTTTATACTCTCTAAGTCCTAACTAACACTACACTACCTGCTATGGTGCGAGCCGCAATAGATCCTACACCTGAGGAGTCGGCGGCTGCCTTCCCCTCTAACTTACAACCTAAATCTAACCCTAACCCTTAATCTGAATCCTAAGCCTACTATACAGAGCCGCCAGCGTCTTTAACCGCTTTATATCCAAGATCTGAGGCTGAAAATTTGCAGGCATGCGTGGCCAGTTGAGACCAACGGCCCCACCAAATTTCAGATCCATCCGACTGTTAATCGCAAAGATATGAGCCCCGCAAGATCTCTAAACCCAGGCCAAAATTCCTTCTCCAAAATCCGAGGTCCGGGGGACCCACATGCCGCTTGAATGCCGTTCCCGCGATTATGGGTAACGGCCTACGACTTCACGCGCCGCCGTTCTGCCCCCCATGCGCGACTTCACACCCCGCTGTTCTACTTCCCACACTTGACATAATCCCGTCAATTTCCGCCATCGGAAATCTTCTACCACGTGGCGCCGAAGGCGTCTACCGCCGAAGTCCCTTGAGCCGAAGGCACATCTTCCGGCGGTTCTTCCGCCGAAGGCGCTTGCCCCGAAGGCTCCTTATCAATAACTTCCGACACTCATAACTCATTGATCTATTATGTATTCCAAGCGTTCTTGGGCTCGTTAGAACCACCGTGTCGAGATCTTTCCAACGAGACATTAACCAAGTCAAGGCGTAATGAATTAAAAAAGTTATGAGGAATCCAGTCTTCCTCCGAAGACACTTACCCGCATCGCCGAAGGCGTATCCCCAAAGACGTCCGTCGCCGAAGGCGTTGACCCGAAGATCCTTTACCCGAATTCCCTCCCTATCAGTAACTTCCGACACTCATAACTCATTGATCTATTATCCGTTCCAAACGGTCTTAGGCTCGTTAGAATAAGTGTGTCGAGATCTTTCCAACGAGACCCTAATCAAGTCAAGGCGTTATGAATTGAGAAAGTTATGAGGTATTCACTCTTCCGCCGAAGGCCCTTGCCCCGAAGGTCCCCATCAGTACTTCCGACACTCATAACTAAGTGACCTCTCATCCGTTTCACGAGTTCTTGGGCTCGTTAGAACCACCGCGTCAAGTTCTTTTCAACAATACCCTAAGTAACTCAAGGCGTTACGAATTGAAAAAGTTATGAGTGATCTACCGCCGAAGGTGCTCGAAGCGGTTCCTCCATCATGAACCGTCCGTTCCATCCCAAGCGTTCGACTATGGCCTAAGCCCAAAACCCCTTGACTGTCCTCGATCCTCTTTTTACTCTGGTTTTGCGTACCGATTACTATTTGCAGTTGCTACCGCGGTATTTACTATTCAAAAATGTTTTAGTTCCGACGAAAAACAAAAAGTGGGTTATCACAATGTGTTCCATGGATTTCTTGTGTAAGCAATAACATCTTTGATAGTATAAGAATTTTAATCAGATGTTCACCAGATAAATCAAAAGAAGTCTAATATGTAAAACTATTAGAAAATTATTGAAATAGATAAACATGATAAGAATGCATAAGACGGTGACATTATCATAAAATCTTTCACTTCTAAATTTGTTTTACGGTTTTTATTTAAACACATATCATTTTTTTAATTTTCAATATTGTTGGAACTTATAATTTTTGGTGTTTTTGATGATAATTCTCATTTTTTATCAATATATTAAAGATAGTGAAGTTTGATTTTCGTTATTCCTGGGCTTTCTTTTTCTGTTAATAGACATACCGAATTCAAGTCTTCGAAACAGTAGCGATTTTGGAATGAGAAGCACTATTATTGCTAAATCTACTGAAAAGCGTGAAGAGTGGACGAGTGGGGAAGGAATGTGGAGCTCTTAACTTTAGCATGTTTGAAAGAGCTCCTAAAAATACAACTTTTAATTTTTATCAATCTGAAGTAACTGAGTTGATAGCTCAAATAATTAATTGAAAGAATAGCTTATTTGACAGAATGTGGGGTGTCCGAGAGGAAAAAAATCGTCTATTCTAAAGGTAAGACCGAAATGATTGTAAAGTGAGGAGGAGTAGGGAGCTCGTAGCTTATAAAAGATAAACTATACATTATGTTTATAATTTATATTTTAGTGTCGAAGCTGTTCTCCACATCTACTTGTTGCACAATCCAATCTGAATGCAGCTCTCGTGTGTAGAACGAAGGCTGTGAACTCCTAGTCCTGCCACTCCATACTGATGGGGACGAAGGTTATTCCCGTAGCTTCGCCTGAGCTATTTAAGAACTAGTCCTCGTGCGCTACAATGGGAGGAATGACGACTCCATCTTTGTTTATGGGGTCTCCATCATCCCTGACATAATATGAGCTTATCTTAGGATACCTAAAGGAGTTATTCACATTCAAGCTAGCTTTAACAATACATTCGTTTATGTTTCAGATATTAGAGGGCAAGCCGTTTTCTGCTGGTGCCTGCGGATTTAAAGGTGACAAAAAAACCCCCCACATTTGCCGCTCAAAGGTGGGATCTGAGGTGCATCTTTGTAGCTCTAGAATAGTAGCCACCTCTATGAAATCTACCATTCTGGACTTACAAAAGGTGAGCATACGAATAGAGATACCACCGACATTCAAGCAGACAGGTCCTGTTTGCAGGAGAGCATCCGCGGGTGACATGTCACAGTTTTCACCGACAGAACCGACATGCACGAGTGGGCAACAGCGGTGCATGTTGGAAACCATTGGATTCATCACACGAGCTGCTGATCCAGAGGCACAACTGAATGGGATGCAATTCGAAAGTCTTGGTCGGTCTATCGATCGTGGTCGGGGACATTTCGAAACTGCAAACCGGCAGCTGGAAGATGAATCTGCTCTCGATGCTCATTCTGTGCATCGTGGTTCGAACAGGGTGGAGGATTCGGCTTCGCGTCAGGCACAGCTCTCTGCTCGGCCTCTAATGGTGGAGGGATGGATAGCTCTAAGCACCTCGGTCATTCCTCGGCTGGCCCGAGTCCCAGTGCAAACGGATGGGTCGCCCCGCGCAACCACTTCGTGCGGATCAGGGACATGATGCTCACGGTGGAGAAATCTACCGTCGTCTTCGTGGGACGAGCAGACCCTGCCGCTCTGACCATCGAGCAGGTGACATGCGTTTCCAGGAACTTGCACGTAAAGGTGTCGATCCTGGGAATAGATTGCGGCGCTCAAGGCGAAGAAGAGCTCCAAGGCGAGGGCAGGGCCACAAACGGGACCTCAGCTGTCGAGCCTTTGCAAACATGCAATCAAGCCTCATCTGCGACTGAGACGGCGGAATCGATTCGATTCCTGACCGCCGGAGTGGCGAGCTGCAGAGGTTTGCGCACAATCGCCCCTCTCGACCCGTCGATCACTCGAGCAGCACTGGCGGTGAGAACCAACACTCTGCTGAATGGGTACGGAAGGCACGAAGTGCGGTGGGAAATTCTGCACGCGTTTCTGAAGCTGCTGAATCAGCGGATCACGCCGCAGCTGCCGACGAGGGGCTGCATCAGTGCCTCGGGCGGCGATTTGCTGCAGCTCTCCTACCTTGCTCGGCTGCTCAAGGGGCAGCCGAATGTGAAGCTGCTCACCGAGAGCGGGGAGGAGATCGAAGCTCTGGAAGCTTTGCGCTCGATAGGTCTGTCTCAGCCCTTGAATCTCCAACCCAAGGAAGAGATCGCCATAGTCAATGGCACATCCGTGAGCTCCGCTCTGGCTGCAACCATCTGCTACGACGTGAATGTCCTGGCTCTGCTGGCCACACTGGCCTCCGTGCTCTTTTGTGAGATCATTCAATGGGATGGCTTCGAGCCCCAATTCCCAGAAGATCTCACGACGTCCGTGACCATGCACCCTCGCCAGCTCGAGACAGTGGACTTCATGGAGTTCGTCTTGAGACGGCCCTCGCTGTCGCAATTGAGAAACTGTGCTTTCTGTCACTCGTCCACGTCTGGATGGCTCCGCAGTTCGTCGTCTATGGATTCATCCAGCGACTGGGAGCTCCATGGGCGAGAATCTAATGGAGAGACGCCGACCCCATCGCCGCTGCCTAGTCATGACACTCTTCTGAAAGGCGTAGAGAGTGTGAAGGTTGATCTGGATCGGGCCCCGGATCTGTTCAGATGCTGCGCGAACTGGTTGGGCGAGCAGGTGGAGGGCATACAAGCAGCGACAGAGGCAGTGCAGATGGAGATCAATTCCGTGAATTTTCAGGGCGCTTTTATCGGACCAATGATGGAAATTCTGCGGTCAGCAATTTATGCTCTCGGGAAACTGATGAACTATCAGCTGATCGAGCTCGCCAGGTACGTCGAGAAGTGTAATCTCCCGGGAGAGGCCGTCCACGGGGCAAAGATTGTTATGGGCTCGTATGCGTGCGAGCTCTCTTATATGGCGCATCCGCTGGGGAAGCAGTCTCAGATTTCGGATATGGATCCCGACAATGCGTATCAGAGCTTGGGGTTTCTGTCAGGCTGTAAAACCGCAGAAGCTGTCACAACCCTGCAGCTCATGTGTGCCACAAGCTTGGTGGCCCTTTGTCAGGTTTATGATCTTCAGCTTCTCGAAGCAAGTGCGTTCGAATATCTGAAGTATGGAGTCTCGCGGGCTGCAGTATGCAACAAATTTGGTTCAGCTTTAGGCATAAAGGAAGAAGATATCGGCCGGTTTAATGGCAGTCGACCAACCCTTGGTACCGCTGATCACGAGACGCCTAAAGTCTTTACAGATCTTCTCGAGGTGTTGAGAGATTATTCCCCATTCCACAACGATGCAAGAAGCATCATCCCGAAATTAGAACAAGTGCTTAAAGATCATGGGATCGAGGAGCAACTGATCAAGGGCTTTAGAGAATCGAAAGAACTGGAAGGTGGATTCCATGAAGTCGATCGCATGATGAACGACTTCAACAAACATGTTATGCGCAACATATCTGCCGGTCGCAGGTGTAAAGGAATATATCCGGTCTACAGCTTTGTACGAAAAGTCGGCACGAAGATGATGATCGGGAAAGATTTTGAGAACAGAGTGCCAGGTGAAGATGTTGGTAGAGTGTATGAAGCAATTTGCGGGGGAGAGATGGCAGGGAACTTACTTGCAGCATTTCACGACATCCAAAACCACCTGTAGGCAGGCTATTCATTTAAATAAAAACCATGTACAGTCAATTTTATTTTATATACAGGCATTTTATTTGCAGCTGGGGTTCCGATGTAGAGTGCTGAAATTGATGCTTTTCTGAATACTTGCTTCTGTCTGTGTGACTAAAAATTTATGTGTTTAAGTTGATGAACCATATGAAAACAGAAAACAACTATTACTCCTGTCAATTGACTGTTACAACGATTCGTAATTATGAAAGCGGCTTCTCATTTGACTCCATCAAGTGACGATGGTTTATATGAATGAGCAGCGGTTAGGATACGGCGATATTGTGTTGGATTTATCCCTGTGTAGACACAGAACTTAATTTACAGCAAGTGATGCAGCCTACGAGACCTTATTGATTTGCCAGATCTGTGCAGCCAATCATTACAGAGCTCTGTGTAACTGTTAAATTTCCCTTCTTTTCCTACAACTATGGAGACATTATTGTACAGATCAACGAGGTTCGGGCAGTTGTGTTTGCACTCCCATGAGCATAGCTTCGACATAAATTGATCTGTCGGCAGGTTCGTGCTCCGTGCGAATCCAATGGTCATCTTATGAACGCCGCAGGCCCTCACACATTGCTCAGTTTCAATGTACTCAATTGGACTGTCATCTCCGACTGAGATTTCTGAAGTTTCGCAGCTGCGGACGATGGAAACTGCGTCGTCGCTATTCTCCGTGAGCACGCATCTCTTGCCTGACGAGTCCACTGCGAATGCGCACTCTTCAGCCGGCAACATATGGCAACGAAGTACTGATGCACCTTGACCGAGGGTCACAAGTCGCAGTGAGACGAGCAAAAGCAAGACGATAGAACTGCAGCAATACATGGCCCTCGACATGCTCGGCAAATCAGGCAAGCCTGTCCGAGCCTGTTTTGTAGATCTTGGCTTCTGTGGACGACTATACATGAAGCTCTTCCATCGATGCCTGCTCTGCTGATATCACTAGCTCATTATCTCCTCCTTAGGAACGTCTGAGCAACTCCTGCAAACACTTCCCTCCGATAACCTGAATTGCTCTGCTGATAGCACAATCTCATGATCTACAATTCAGGAACGACTGAGCGACTCCTGCAAACACTTCAGTCCGAGAATCTGAAGTCAAAGAGCCTCAAACGTGATTCATAGCACTCTGATCTAACAAAGTCTCTCTAGGATGAACAGCAATAGGCTCTATGTCCCTCGGCATCGCAGTCCAGCAGATCTGGTACTCTTAAGCAGTTCCAGCACGTACCTTCGCGCCTCTTGCGCAATAAGTTCGTATGAACACGTAGTTCGGTAAACTTTGGACTTTCCACGATGCTAGGAAGGGTTGGTAGTCACCCTAGGTAGATATCCAACACCCCCGCCCTCACGAAGAAATTCAGAAATCTGTCATCCTGAAGGATGAAAGTGTTCGCTTGCATGGACGTGAATTCGCCAAATTCAACACTGCGTTTCAACCTCGCTGCAGTAGGTGCTCGCGGATAAGACAAGAGTTCGTAGGTGGTACCATTTTATACTGTCCTGTGGTTGTAAACCCACCAATCGACAGTACAGCGTTGGTGGGGATCAGAGTGACCGACTCAAAACAGTGATGGAAGATTGGGCTTTCGACCTTGGAAGAGTTCGAACGCTAGTTGGAAGTTTTCGACCAAAGGGCTGGTTAAAGGCGTCATGGCTTCTTGATTCCGATTTCTTCACTCCAGGTTTAAACCTATGGCAGAGTCGTTTCACATCAGATAACAACTCTTTTCAATCACTTCGGTAGCTACTGTAGGTGCATGAGAGAGACTACTTGCGTGTAAAGACAAAATACTACCTTTCATCGTGCCGTCACATATTAAGATGTTTTCTTGCACACATTAGTCAGCTTCATTGTTCCAGATTCCGCTAAGTGGACATTAGGTGGATAATGCCTCCTCATGTATGTCATAAACTTTTCCTTCCCTGTCAGAATGTTAGAATATGGAATCGATTATGTCGATAATTTACAAAAACCGCACGTGATTTGTGAGTTCCTATGTAGTACAGCTCATGTGTCCTTCCTGCGTAGATTATTTGTACCAGATCTCGCTGACAGGATAAATTATCTGATAGACTCATGTCATAGGATCTTACAAATACTCAACATCATAAGATATTTATGACTTGATTATACCCCTCGGAACTATATTCCGTCTCAACTGTTCTAGTCTGAATGTGGATTACTGGTTGAGGTTCTTGCTTCCGGAGAGATCATGGAATTTTCTGATTGCAACGAGCAGATAGAGTTCCTAATATATTCTAAAAGATGAATGTAACAGTATCCATGGACTGCTGTAAACATTCCTACAGTAACATGTCATGGCAGCTGGAGAGTCCAAATTGTGATCTTGTTGAAGAAGATCACAAGTTGGATCCTGTTCTTTCCGTGTTGAGATCTTCTTTCGAACATTATCGAAAAGACGATCTCATCATGATTAAAGTTCTCGAAGCTTTTCAGACTAATTTAAAGTACTGGGAGAAATCTGACAAGTGGCCACGGATAGATGAAGACATTTGCTGCATATGCTGCAACTGACAGCTCCAATAAATCGTCGATATTCATCTCAACCCGTAACGCTTGGACATTTATAGTTTTCAACTCTGCAACACGGTGATCGTGGACCATGTTTCCGGGGCATATGGTAGCTCATTCAACGTCGCTCTCATGCACGTACGCGTTCTGGAAGATTGAATGAAATAGAAGAATCGGACCACAGCCAGCCGCTAACTTCAGACCTACCGAATAATCCAACCGCCTGTCCAACTTAGCAGCACGCCTACCTTTCAAGGTATCAGTTATACTCGTGATGCAAGTCAAGGTGGATAAGCTGTTAGAAGGACAACTTCTGTCTGTAGTGCATGTCTGTGCAGATCTTTCCTCGCCCTCTATGATGAGCTGCGCAAGTGTGTGCAGTACGATCAGCACACTTAAGAAGAATATACGCTCGAACCTTTGCTCAAATTATGTCCCATGAGTGCATCAATCTTGAAACAGTAGTAAGTCGGTCAGACGTGTGCATGTGCCTGTTCCTCTTGAGGCGTTCCCGAACATTCTTCCACTTTTGAGTAAATGTCAACTGTTGGCCCACTCATCATCTCCAACAAAAGCTTGAATCGACAAACTGGCAGTTATCCAAGTTTTCCAAAGTCTAAGTGCATGTCTTTAAAGTAAGATTGCTACTTTTGAATGATTTGTAACCGTTCATAGAGCACACATGACACTCAGAGTCTCTTGGGGTATTGGACTTTAGGTTCTTTTCTCTTTTATCATTGTTCTCACATCTCCATTTTACATCTAATTGATTTTACCCGTTTATTTCTCATGATTAGGAATATTATTTTAAAAGCACTTTCAATCAAACTTTCTTTACTCTCCTTCCATACTGTACCAATTGATGTATAGCTTTATGGGGCTCATTCTTTCATTGTTTCCTTATTTATCATCTCAAGTCTCTCGTTTCGTCGTCTCAAACTTTTAAATTCTCTATCGTAAGAAAATACTATTTTTCGCGATATCCAGTTATTTTTTAAAAAAACTCAAGTATCTCCATGATCCAATATCATAAAAAATAGTTTCAATAGTAAAAATTCATTGATGAAGATAAAAGTATATTTTATAGGTACAAGATCACGATGATAATTTTTAAAAAAATTTGATGAGTATTTTCCTGATTGATACACTCAAGAAATTTGAAATATCTATTTTTCAAACATGAGAATAATTATAAATTTCACCCTTCAAAATTCCCATAAAATATTATTTCAAAATTCTTCACGAATGACTCAAGAAAAATTTTCACATTATCAAACTCATATACTGCAACGAATTCTATCACTACATTTTCATTACAATACGTTACACTCTTATAAACATCACGACAATGTAAAGGTCTAAATTCATAACCATTACGAAAGTATTACCATAATGAATTTGCTGATCTCTCGTGGTTTTTTTCATCACAACGATAATTTGATGTAAACTATTTTGAATGATGACTTCTGATTTGTTGTTTGATCAAAAAATTCCAAAAGATGTTCAAATGAAAAAAATGAAGAAAAAAATTGAGTGCAAAATATCAAAGTGACATACTTTTCAAATGTTGAACAAAAATGTATGATCTGATCTTTAGATGATACATTTATATAGTATTGTCTTTAAAAGGAAAACACTTGAATGTAGATGGTAGATGAGTAACCTAGGAAAACTCATCTATGCAATGAAATTCAGGAAAATCATCTATGCGATGGAATTCTTAGAGCGATGATGCATTCTTAGAGCAAAACACTGTTGACCATGCTCTTGTTTCTTTCAGTAATGATTTACTTATCTACTGACTATGCTAACGTCTCTTTTACTAGCATTAGTTATTGTTATCTATAGCATGGTTTCCACTTTAATCCACAGTTTCTGGATGCTCTTGTTATTTGCTGGAATTAAGTAGCTAGTTTATCTTTGGTTATGAATGCTATGATATCCCTATAATCCAGATGCCCGTTTGGATTTAGCCATATATGACTCGGTATAATCTTCCCATACCACAAGTGATTTTTTGACTTACACCAAGCTCCGATCTTACGATTCTATTTATTGGGAAATCTTATTTAATTACAAAACGGATATCAACACAAATCATAAGTCAACCGGATACTGCAGGAGTGTGAGTTGAGAACACCATATCACCACGAGATGTTCTTTCAAAAAGAATATAGCAGGCATGACATGTAGTAAGGACGACGCGCAATCTTGATATGTGGAGCAATCTCCTACAATTGCTTTCATACCTGACAATGAATATCTTCACTCCATTCACTGTACGTCTAAGTTTTGGATTTGACAATCCGCCACAAATCCTCTTATCCATGGCAAGACGGTTTTATATTCCTAGATGTCTACCTTTCTTAATCGTTAGAAGATACTGATCACCCTTTAATGTTGTTTGTATCTTAGTTGTTCTTTACAAGGTCTAATAAGACTCCGTATAAAGGTCCCAGAGGATTACTACATTATATTCACCGGAAAGGTCATATTCAGACATCTTTGTTACCACAATGACTCATTCATGAGTTTTTAAGTTAAGCAAGTCTAATCTTCGATATTTTTTCTCTCCTTGGGAACTGAAAAAAAAATTTGGATGTAGTTCACTCATTCACCCCACATTCACTCACTCCCTCACTCACTCCACATTCACTCTTCTATCTATATAGAAGAGTGAATGCTCCACATTCACTCTTCTATCTATATAGAAGAGTGAATGTGGCGTATACTTTTTATATACGTCTGATTTCACGATTTTCCCCATATTCTTCAAGGCTATAACCTAGTAGGCCTGAGTTAGTGGAGTCGCATGTCTCTCTTTCACTTGCGTCGGCGAGATACACCTCTCCTCTCCATTATTTTGCTTTCTTGTCAATGTGATGAAATCCTCCTCGACATTGTGCTCGTGCTTTCTGACACTTAGATTCCTTAGGGCCGCTTGTGAAGTATCTTGAGCCGCTTTCTTGAGAATTGCAGCAAGTTTAGCGATTCTCTCTAGGCAATCCTTCAGAAGATGCACTCAAATCTTGCACGTGTAGCATGCATATGGGCAGTCACACTTGATATGCTTTTTGTGCAACGAGCCCCATCTTCATGGTCCAAACTCCGACGTGGAGGTTGGGCTTTCTTCAGATGAATCAAACACACTCTAAATAATAAGAACTGATATGATGTAGAGGATCTTTCCTATATAACTTAGCAATTCTTTGCCAGTGCCTCATGTTCATGTGCTCCTACATTGGAAAGCACCACCCAGGCAGCGTTTCTAGTGCTCAGCGTCGCATTATCAAACGAGGAAACCGGTGGTAGTGTAGGCACGAGATGCGTTCCCGTTTGATTTTATACAATACCTTCTCATAGAGTACCGCCTTCCGAGTGAACCGTCACCGTACAAGCATCTTGCAACTGCTGGTATTTTCTTTATAATAACTGATCTACTTCGTGCTTTTTGACTTCTGTCTTCTTGCAAACTTTCTCAGCCCATTTCAACAGCGTTGTAAGATGGCAAAGCTGTCTATCATTATCCAATTGTTTAGAATTGTAAGCTAAATTTCTTAATCAGTTGGAGCAAGTGGGCTGCTCTCATTTAGAATCCTGAAATATTCCTCGAGGTCCTCAAAAGTCCTTTTGTTTGAATCGAGTATCCTGCTACATCTCGGCTTATGGAGCCGAGCATCCATATTGGCGGTCGTCCGTATTTCCGCGTTCCGCTGGGCACTAGGAAGCATGTTATTGCGCTTTACCATGGTCTTTTTCTCCAATTATGTCTTCAGAACATGTTGCTTTGTTGGCGCAGTGGCAGAGACAGTTCTGGCGGCCACTACTGCAGTTGCACGTAGTGCTAATCTCGAAGGCCCCTGTTGTTGACAGTGGTCAACGTAGACAGGTCCTCCTGTAGATTCCAACCCGATCGCCACCCGTGCAATAGCAGCACCTATCTTCCACCACAGCGGGATATTTGTGAGTAATATCTTCACCCACATCAATCCTAGAACTTACACAAGTCTACATTTAGGAGGTGTACGAATGCTCACTTCAAATCGAGTGTAGGTAGTGTGTCAAAACTCTTCACACGATGATAGGTGGACAAGTTTTCATGGGTACACATTCTAATATGCTGTGATGAATGTAGACTACAAAAACACACTCTCAGCGAAATTGCGTCATACAGTGACGCAAGTTCACATCCACGATCGGGAGACACAACGCTAAGGTTAAGGTCAAACCCTTCTCTCCGACCGCTAAATTACATCGATACAAAACATATGATGCTCATCATATGTTTTGTAGACTTCTGCTGCAGACATTAAAAAATGAATGCATATTACTCAGCCATGAAAAGTTCAAGATTTTAATGACTCAGCTTCCTGCCGGCATACTGCCAAACGGTGGACGAATTGCGTGTGCACATTCTAGCATAAGAACCGGACTACAACCCAAGCATCTTTCCTCAGCATTTTCAGTAACATCTTGTGTCATGCAACATGGCTTTATGACTAAAATCTGCGAGCAATTTGAGAGGCAGGTTGAGCTCGCGAAGTCTCACACCTTTATTCTTCTTGTCCTATAGACTGAAATTAGGACATATTGTGAAAATTTCAGTCTACGGGTCACTAACCCCCCATTCCTGCTGTGGACTTTCAAAAAAAACAGCATTTGATTGGAAGCCTTAGAGGAGTATGTGATGCTGCCCCTCTGTGAGATTTTAATATTGATTATTTATTAATGAGCTCATTAGTATTTGACTGTACATGGCTGGGAGGTGCTAACTGATTCACATGAACAATAATTTTTGAAATACAATAAAGTACTAGTCCATCCATGCACCGAGAGTCAACGCATGTTCTTGAAGATTTCAGCTCATCCTCTTGTTTTTCAGCAATCTCCAGTTGCAAGCTTTCCTCAGGATAGTTATTGTAACCTTGAGGGAGCATGTCGGCTCCGAGGTTTCCAACAAGAATTTGCGTAATTGCAGAACAATCCAGCTACCTTCCGCTGCGAAAACAGATCAAGACAAGAAGATTTCGCTACGACGGAGGATCCAAATTACATGTGTATGATGGCACTTCAATTTTGACAGTTACAGCTCACTCGGATCTATCACCAATCTCGCATTCGCATGCTGTTCGGAAATTATTATTACGAATACTATATACACTTCTCGAACATCTAAGGAGTAAGCTCTTCAACAATGACCATACATGCCATAAATTGATAATAACAATGCTATCACAAGGGGCCTCAAGCTGACCGCCAGAAGTCAATAATGCGACCACAAAGCTCAATATCTATTGTTTGCGAGACTTCACGAACATGTATCGCTTCAAAATCAAGGCAATGAGATCCTTCACTGATCAGACTTCTCAGACAGCTCGTTGAGTCACTATCTCTGTCTGCAGAGCTTGCATACACCTCCTTTGCCCCGTCATTCTACAGTAAAATATCCCGGTCCCAAAAGTCCCCACCACGAGCATTATCGAAGCACGTTGTATATACTTATCATATGGCGACACCGACTTTAACTTTTCTTGTTTCTGGTACGTCACGTGTGGATCTCCAGATTAACAAACTCATCCAGATGAGGGGGAAGTTTTTCCGCAGGGATGACACTGCAACTAACCCTAGTAGTGTCAATTTGAAACTAAAAATGTCCTTCGAGAAGAACACTAAGAGCTGAAGAGGTAACATTGTTCAAGAGACAAAAAGCAGGTGGATGGTCTGTTGTGGTCACTTCTCCCGAAAGCGCTGAACGATGTGTGATTGTGTTATCACTCATGCTTGTACCATCTTCACGGCTGACCGTGTTTCCGATCCTAGTAATCTCGATGCTTGGCTGAAAAGTTATGCTCAGTACGGTGTGACACTCTTCCGGGCTAAATTGCAAATTCATGGGTTGAAAAGAAGTCACATACACCGTAATCTGCCAAAAATTTCCCTTCTCAGCTTTTGCTGGTCAACCCATACAAACATTATCCGTGACAGCATCGGATTCTGTTTCTTTTCATGCACTCATCCAGAAGAAATGTACTCCCACCGACGACATCCGCAATCTAGCCTGCGATGTGGCCTAGGGGAAAAGTCAATGAACGGTAAATTGATCATCTGTTGCATGGAAGATATGAGTTCCTGAAGGATAATCACATTTGCTTCTTCCACATCAATGTTTTCCTTATCATGGAGAGGTTATCTTCCATCTTCCATCCCCGTAAGAAACAGAAAAGATTTGAACGATAGATAAATGGTTAAAACCAAAAACAGCATACAAGAGCCATCAGTTGTGATCAGAAGACACCGATACTCAAGAAACAAGGAATGTGGATATGCAAATACGATATGAAGAATCGTGTAGGATGTTGACAACTTTCTCTCTTTGATAAATTGCCCCCTTGGTAGGCACTTAACTATGTCACAGGAAAAATGTGGAATCTTTTTGGACAAAATGAAGAACAAAAGAAGAAAAAACACCTTTCCTACCTTCTTTCACTTTTGTGATGTGTCTGCACATTAGCCTACACTACTTTCTTCCCCGTGTGCCCCTTCATATACATATTCAGCTGCTTCCCTACTACTTTACAACCCCAGCTCTTCCTAACGGTTGATCCTGGAAAAATTACATTGATCCCTACTCTAGTTGGTCACAGCGGGGTTTTTTCCCTAGGTTACATGAGAGATTGCTAAACAATCATTTGGGAATCTTTTGGACAAAAAACCCTCAATTTGTGTGCTCAGCCACCCAAGAGTATTAAAGGGTGTACTGCATTACCTGGACCGAGCTAAAATTGTTTTCAAAACAATCTGATGACAAATTATCTACTTTTGTAAGTTGTGAATGGCAGAGGCTATTTGACCCAACCCATCTGCAAGTTTATCAAATACAGCTATTAAGTTGGCTCCTTGCTCCTTCCGTAGCTCTCTGTCTGCAGCTAGTTCAGCCTGCATCGCCTTTCCATTGCTTTCAAGAACAGATACCAACTTTTGATCGGGTGCATCATCTCTACTCAAAAGTCGACGTCGCTGGCGTTTCCTGGCATGACCTGAAAATAAAATAACAACCGCTTAGGAAATTGTACAAGCAATTAACTTCGTAAGAAGCGTTTGTTGTTTACACTCGACAACGGAAATGCAAAGCAATATATCAAACCTCAGATTCCACGTTAAAATAGATCTGTTTCTAAAAAGAATTGAGAGAGCAGCTAGAATTTTACAGCGATAGACATGTTACAACTATGAAGGTGAGCAGGGGGTTATGGATGTTCAAAATTGAGCATCACATCAGGGTAAAATCAACTATGACAAACTTCCTATAATAAGCTAAAATAAAGTACTACCATTTCAGAGTGCTCACTCATCACTAATTAACAAAGGTCATAATTTTCCAACAGCAGTAACACCAACCTCTTCCTTCTTCCCACCTTTTCTAAAAAGCTTCGAGGTCTCAAAAAACACATTTATCTTCAATAGATAAAGAGGCATGTTATGTATTTAGCCCAAAAAGATGACAGGGCGTCTAAATCTTGTCTTCGAAAATTCTCCCCAGACCTTATTTTCTTTCAAAAAAAGCGCCAATTCAAAGAGACCTGTGACAGAAGCAATGTACAAAGTCTCCATCTCGGGATTAAAAAAAAAAAACATTGTGCTCTTACCTGTGCCAAATGCTGTACTTCCAAGGCCCCCCAATTCCATAAGAGAACCCTGCTGGGCACTGTTGTTCTCCCCGACCTCTGGCAGTGGCTCACGTGGTGGAACAGGATCTCGTACACTAGAAGGTCTCCCGTTCTCAAAAGTGGAACCAGGCATCACTTTAGGAGTTCGGCTAAGGAAATCATCCATGTAGTCATACACTTCCCGTTCAAACATCCTTGCCAACTTGCTTTTCCGCCTTTTCTCTACGCTCATAACCCAATATGATTCCACCCCACTGACTCTTTCATGGTCTCTAATCTTTTTGTACTCAGTGTACAGATTGTGCCACCTTTTCTTGCACTGCATGCTATCCCTCTTAACTCCTTGATCATTGCAGAAACGAGCAATAGCTGCCCATTTCTTGCTGTCCTGTACAGTGCGTCCCCTCTTGGGAGCATCATTCTCATCAGAGGTTTCCTTCTTCTTCGCCGCAATAAGTATCAAAGTTTCATGTACTGTCCATCGGGAAGCTCGGTGGTTCTTTTCTTCATATGTTCCAGCAGCAAACAACATTTCCTCAGAATCAAACCAAGTTTTGAAGTTCAAGATTTGCATCCAGTACAATCAGGACAAGACAGAGTGACCACATGAAGGTGATGAAGAAAATACAGATTATGAAGGAAGACAATTCTCCAAACCAACCCTCAAAAGACCTCATGTACTTCAGTAGTTAGGTGTAAAGAAAGTGTATCCTGAAGTGGACAGTAATTTAAATCGGAGAGTCGAAAAACTTGGCCTTTTACACTAGCTATCAATGCTTCTGACAACTAGATAAACAGACGGCCTTCAAAACCCTGATGACGATAATATCGAAGAGAAAGAATTCGCCCTACAAATTACATCTTCGAGAAAATATTTCGAATAAGCCATAATATTAAACCGCGCTTACTTCAACACTCTTTGCTTCGAAGAGCTCAACTTCCACATAACTGTCGGACAGGATAATCTCCTCTCTACACTCGTAAGACTGAACATCTATCTTATGGAAAAATCCTTGAAATATTTTTATCCAGGAAATTCAGACCTTTCAGTATGACTAGACTTTGGAGATATGAAGCGATTCTTGTTTTAGTAAGTGTGAAATTTGTATCATTTCACTTTATGCAACACAACTGTCCGATAAGAGAGGCAGTCAAGTACCTATCAGCACTACTAGAAACTTGAGATACGGGGATAAGCGCTTGTCTAATTTCAACATTCGCAAATTTCATACTGACGGCCACAGATATAATGAGGTCTATACAGTAACTTCCGCCGACTATATGCAGTTCCTGCTTAGAGGAACGATGTCCGTGAACGCGAAAGTTACCACAGTAAAAGAATGCCCATAGTGTACAGAACACTTTCAAGACTAGGACAATATTGTCTTCCTCTGCTCATGTTCCGGCAGAAAACAATGTCTAAATCTTTGAAATGTTTTTCTCTCTCTCTCTAACATGGCTCACTCCCTTTCCCAATTACAAAAAAGTAACTTAAAATTCAGTAAATTATCCATACTTTTGCAATTTTAAACTCGCAAAAAATTGCTTCTTGAGCATAATCCTTGGATAAAAGGTGTAATTACCATCCCAATAATTCAACTGCTTCATTCTAGGCACTAAGGAGTAGCCACGACTGTCCTTCTTCCGCAGTTCATAGTGACCTTAAGATGCTTTGACACATAGGTGTTCCATATACTACCCAAATTCAGTTAGAGGGATCTGAAATAAAAATAAGTGAAATGAGTTTCAATGCTAATAGATACTGTCTTCTCTCTGACTTCATTGTTTGACGGTTTAACAATTTTAAACCGTCGCAGGCTGCAGGGTGATGTCAATTCATAAAGGGGAACACCCTGAGAGATCTTACTTGGGGATTTCAGGTTCTTACGAAGAAATCCTCGTAGTTTCACGACCTTCGTGCTTGCTTCTTTACCCCAAGATCACCTTTCCTACCATCATGGAGAAAGAAAGTGGAGGGAGGACAGAGGAATATTTTAAAACCAATAGAAAGAAAGTAGAATCAAGGGTTATGGTTTTACCACCGCCAACTGCTCCGCTTCTCGCGCCACCCATCTCCATGGACGACCCCTGGCTATGTTCTTGATTGTCGAGATCTGCCACCCCGATAAGTACAGGGGCGCCACTGTCGAAAGTAGGTTCAGGTACCACCTTGGTAGTCCCAGAAAGAAAACTATCCATTCGATCAAAAACTTCTCTCTCGAACATGGGCGCCAGGGTGCTCTCCCTCCTCTTGTCGGCACTCATGAGCCAGTACGAGACAGAGCCACCCTCCCTCTCGTAATCCTTAATTTTCTTGTATTCGGTATACAGAGAATGCCACCGTTTCTTGCATTGAGACGAGTCCCTGTGAACCCCATGCTCGTTACAAAAGAGGGCAATTAACGACCACTTATTGGAATCATGCGTAATTCTCCCCCGTAACCTCGCATCCCTGTCTTCCTCCATTTCCTTCTTCTTAGCGGCAATAAGCACTAGGGTTTCATTCATACTCCAACGAGATGCACGAGTATTCCTCTCCTCGTGCGCTCCGGCATCCCCTCCTGTACCCAGGCCAGGGAGCGCCTCGTGCTCCATGGCCCCCTCGTGGTCCATCATCTGTCTCACCACTGCCTGAGAAATTCCCCTCTTCCTAGACCGTTCTACCTCGTCCGCCAACATCTACCCATCTGCTTCCAATTCCTCAACAACCCAACACCTCAATTGGGCACAAGCCCCATGGTCCGCTCATCACCCGGCGACACCACCCCACCCAAAAACAACGAAAGAGCAACCAATCACCCCCAACCTCCTCCTTACCTCCGTGCAAGAAGCAAACCAACCCCCACCACAACACCGCTCGTCATTTCATCCTCTGTCCCGCATATCCTCCATATCCATCGAGGACATTGCATACTCCAATTCCTCCTCTCACCGAAATTCCTCGACGAAATTCGGCCCACCCGTGCAAAAACCGAAAGCTCCTGTGATTAAGTTGCCGTCTGTTTCTTCTCCCTCGCCTCCCCTCTCGTCCCCTGCCCTCCGCCCTGGTCTCCCGTTCCTTCTCGGCTTTCCTTCCTGCCTGCCTGCCTGCCTGCCTGCCTGCCTGCCTCCGTGTGCCCACTGCTCCCTCCCTCGGTCGCCCACAGCACAGGGTTTCTTTTCGGGCTGCTGCCTGCCTTCTTCCGGTTGTGAACGTTAGTTTCTTCGCTTGACTGCTGCAGCAGCAGCTGCTCGCTGCAGGGTTGGGGAGAGGAGGACTCGCAGCGAGCCAACAACGAACAAGGGGAGCAGCGACTGGCGAAGGCAGAGCGCAGATGAGGGAATAAAGTCACTCCTCCCGGAGGTCGTCCAGTCTTGATGCTGATGGTAACCGGATGACCTTGACCGCAAGCCAATCGGAGCGCTCCACGTCGGCAGGCTCCCCGCGCACGCTAGACTACGTGGCGGGTGCTCTTGGAACGAACGGGAAGCGGAGAACTGCAAGGGCCATCGGCTGCAAGGCCCCAGCTGTATGCCTGTCTTGCCTTGCGTTTTCAGATAAGCTTTTTCGCACTTTTTAGGTCCAGCCCCTCGATCTGCCTATTAGGCCCATCGGAGCCTATTAGCGTCGGTTGACGTAATTAGCCAGCCTTTTTTAATTCGTGCCTGAACTGGGACCCCACCTCGTCCTCCATCCCTCTGATTTGATGTCCCTCCCATTGTCATCTCGCACTGCTCATAATTTTTTCCTTCTCTGTCTGTCTTGTCTGTGCGTCGTGCGCTCTGCTCCGGCCGTGTGCTGAATTTCGCCCGGGCGCCTATGGACTCGGAGGCGAGGACTCTGAGCCTTGTCAAGGATTTGGGATCCTCGATCCGACTTTCTGGAAATTCTTTAACATTTTCGTGGACTCTTGAGTTCCAGCTTTAGGGCAAAGAAAGGAACATTTCGCGATGCAGATTGGCGCCACCATGCAAGCGTGGGTGTTGTGTGGACCTTGAAAGTACAGTACAGTACTGGCTCAGGCAGGGCCTACACGGTGGCTGCTCGGTGAAGCATGGCGCGCTCCAGATGCACAGAGAGATAGAGATCTCGAGCTCATGCAATGCGTTCCACGGCCCTGGACCTAGGGAGTAGCTAAGTACGAGCCTGAGGACTAGATGTACTGAAGAGCAGAAAGCTGAATTAGATTGTTTTGTAGCTTAGGATGATGACACTCTACAGCAGGCCAAGGAGCGAACGGGCGAGCCAGCCCCAGCACCTGCACAAGGAGTTTCCATGAAGAGAGTTTTGCGGGGAGATGAGAATGAGTGCTCGTTTAGCTGCTTTTGACCTTTCGGAGTCTGTAGTTGTCTTGTAGTGCGTTTTTTCATGGTGCTTCTCTCCCTCCACCAGTCCCTTGGTACAACTACAACTACCAGGAAGAGCAAACGGTATGGAATGTTGGTAAACCGCCGATGTCTCGCGCATGAAACGAAATTCCAGAGCCATAGGGCTGAGTGGTGCATGGAATCTCATCGCGTCGCGAATTCTCGCGTTCTGAGTGCGTTTTGCGAAATGCTAAAGTTTCTGACATGATGATGAAGGATCCAAAGTTCATAGACTGTAAAAGGGAAGGAAGTGATCGCCACGATCTAAAAAGAGGAAAGTATCCATCAGTCGAGCCAGATGCCGATCAAAAACCTCATAGTTTGGGTTAGAGGACACAATAAAGACTACGTTTGGGGAATATTCACTTTACAATGTCATAAATTTAGCTATGAAAAAGTGCAAGGTGGACGGGATCCTGGTAGGTATCGGTTGAAGATGCTTCGTGAGGATCATCCTTTGAGTACCAGCAAGGACAATCGCTCCGTAAGCGGATTGGACTGATTGATGGAAGGGCCACCTGAATCACTTCCGAAACAGAAGAAACCAATGATGACATCATAAATGATAGGGAGGCTAGGATTCTAGACCAGAGTGGCAAAGTACAGGTACTGGGAGTCCTGATCCTACGATCTCCATCGTGGAAAGCTTTCCCATAAGATCGACTGGAGAGCTTTGACCATACACACGTGGGAAATGTGGAAGGACAAAATTGGCCTTTATGGACTGCTGGCACCTGTTACCCTCAGGTGAAAGTCACACAACATCCAAGTCGTTTATCTACCCCATCTTGTGGATTTCACATCTTCGTGTGCCACATCAACAATATCCATGGCATGACGGAGACGTTTCTGGAGAGCTCTCAGCTTGATGTCCTGTCACCCTGTTTCGTCCACTTTTATAAAGGGCGCGTCACCTGTTATATGACTCTTTCCTTAGGCTAGCCAATAGTCAATATCTTCCCGATAAAATTTCCCCAAGAAATACATAGCGAACAGATGGGAGTAAGAATCATCCAGCCAACAATTGCAGGTGTGAAACCAAAGAAACTAAGATGGATCTAGCACTAATATCATCGCATTTGGAATATTGTCTTCATTCAATACTCTAAATAATCTAGATCAATGCTATAGTAGCATATGAAGAAGAATCACTAGAGTCAATCTCTATTCTACATTTCAACACCTAAAGTTCTTTGTGTATCATACAAGTTGAATAAAAAAACGATTGCAATAAGGTAAAGGAATGATACAACACGTATCCATAATAAAAACATTTGTGCAATCTCCTACCAAAATATCAAATTAGTTCTCCATGGTTCAGAGTTGTATGAACAAAGAGATTACACTCATACTTGTAAGCTTTCTCTTTTTGCAGTCCGTTTGTCGTCCATGCAGATGTATTGTAATCACCTCCTGAATCCAATGTACTATAGGATGACATGACGAAAAAGAAACAGCTCATGAGGAAGCGTCTAAAGGTTCAAACCTCATTCCATATCTAAGTTCCTTAATATTGGAAATTTCTAAAAAACTCAAAGCTTGATATGTCTTATGATCTTTTCCAAGTTTTCATCTCAAATCACTCCATGAAATGCACCCATTCTCCGGTTGGATTTTTATGTACAGTGGGATAGAAGACTACCGAAGCAAAGGAAATATCTTCTTCACCTGAAAAGGGTTGGGCTCTGAACGGAATGAACGGGTCAGAAGAACAAGCGTGAAGTATGATAGGAGCTAATATCTTACCACACATCTCATAATCTCGATCGTGATGTGGGGGTACAGAGCTGCAAATCCAATCCCTTGGAGCTACGAAAGACGAAGACCAATGTCTCCCTTGGGACTATGAACAATTTAAGAGGTTCACGTGCACCTTTGGACAGGACTGGCATAATTCGAAGCGCCATGTTAGACAGCCTGCTCATCCACACATAGCTTCTGTCGATAGGTAGTAAAATCACCACATGTACGGATTATGTTGACTCATCCTCGAACTCTGTATGGATTAGATATTCCAGCTGGCCGTATTCGAAACTCAGTACTTTTTCAGGCTGGGCTTATCACGGGGCTTCTATCCCCAAGCATCCAAAATGAATCTAGCTTTATTCCAATTACTGCATATGTTGCCTAGGACGACGGCAAGCCAGCCAGTGTCTGTCTTCAATTGAGGATTCAAGTACTTACTCGAGTCTTCAAGGAGGTCTGATGATAGTATAAAATAACTCTGCATGGGACTCTCCGGCTGCCTGGCTTACAACGGAAGCTAGAGATGTGGAGTCATTAAAAAATCGATGCAAAGCAGGCTACGGGACCGTGTACACATTCATTAGTAAATCTATCTAAAAGTGTGGCCCATTACTCTTCTCCGATCGTACTCAATAACTCGTGAAATGGTTTCTGCGGTATGGCTTTGTTAACATATTCACACGTGCAGATCATGGCACGGCAATTTGTTCCGTCAACGCGCACTCATTCTGGGCCGTATCGGCACGCGCTCTCGGACAATGCAAACGCTTCTGACTGGAATGGAGACCAGGAAATGCTGCAGTATTGTACGATAAGCTACCGTGGTTGTAATGCTATTGGTATTAGAGTCGGCACACTGGTTCATAATTTGGAAAGAATCTAGTGCTGTCAGCCGGGTGAGTTAGTAAGCCTATGCAAATACAGAGAAGTACCCTTGAAAAATAACAAAAACTATGGAAAGACCCCATCAATGACGTTCACAATGTGGGAACTTGAATGTCAGGGTCTACACTGATTGGCAGTGCTAGGGATGTCAAGTCTGCTCACTGCATGCGACGAGGAAAACTTTAAGACAGTACCCGCTTAACTAAAAAACACTGCACAATTGCGGCTTACGAGCTCCGTGACAAAGTGATGGTCATCTTAAGATATATGAGAAGTTGATACTACCGTACTTAGAAAAGCACTCCACAAGTACTCCACTTGTGTCAGTCTAAAGTAAGCCTTTATCCGACAAATCCATCCACAGTATCGATATAGCATTCCCCCATTTAAAGATTGCCTTCTCCCCTGGTTCATAAACGGTACGACAATTGGTCTGTTTATTTACCGAAATAATGGTTTTGGCCGCTAGCAGTTCACGTTATGAGCTTTGACAAGTGGAAGACATCTGATCCTTCAATGATCTTTACAGCACGAAATTCCAGCTCCCTTGGAAGTTACGACTATAGATAACATTCAAAAGTAGTACCAAAGGGGAAAAACTTGACATCAATTAGACATTTTGATGCCCACTTTATTCACCGTAAATACACCACTCACAACGTGGATATGATTAAGAACCATTATCATTTCAAACGTGCAAGTCCGGCACCCTTGTTAACAGTGTGTGCTTAAAACCCAATCATGGTATTGGACTAGGAACTAGACTTGCGCTTTCCCTATTTTGGCGAACACGCTAATTCCCAGTCCGAAATCGTCAACTGTAAATGTTGGCTATGAGTGAATTTTATCTTCCATCGTCATGGCCTGCAGATACACATGATGTAATCTGTTAATCCAGTTTAACAGATTTTTTCATTTGTGATTCATTGAGGTTGGCCAGACTCTAGTAACTTTTGAGTATAACCTTGGATTTAATTATCAGTGACACCTTTACACATTTTCTTTATCACAACTCATACAGACGGGTGCCAGAGATTCTGTAAATGCATGCTGAAGGCAATCCAAGTCTTTTGTGACTGATAGTCATCCTACTAAAGCATGGACCGTATATAGTTGACGGAAAAGAATGAGTCGGTCACCAAGAAGACCAATTGTCTATTACGAATAATATGCCGACAAGTTATAATAGACATAACTCGATAGAAGCGTTTAGGCTCATCAGGCAAGGACACAAACATAAAATGCATCCTCTTCGCCAAGAGTCTGCCAAGATCTTCAAATCCAGATTCAGCGGTAACGATTATTAACGATTATTTCATGATTAATTAAACCTAGCCGTTCTCATCTTGCGCACGTTTCCCATTACGGCAGTACTCATGCATAGAGCCTCATGCAATCTCGAATTCTCCCTGAAAGCATCTTCCTGTTTTAATTTAGATATCCGGTGGATCCTTTTGCACGTCGATAGTCCTGGTTCATGTGCTATGAACTCCACACTCAAAACAAATGATGCGTTCAACTCAATGCAGTGATCAGTCACATAAAAACACATGTCGACAGAGGCACTTGAAGACTGCTATGAACCAGGACCATCATCAAAGATGCATATCAAACATATAAATATATATACATCTGCTTGGTGGCGCTTTGTTTCTGCTCAGACGCTCATCATGTGAGAGGCTAATGCATTTCTTATTTCTTCAGCATGTTCTAATTCTACAGCAGAATCATCTTCCCCTGAATTGGAAGCCGTTTGGTCCTGCAACGATGTCTCCAACACGAAGTCCTCCTCCTGATTACCGTCAATGTAGGTATCTACTTTGTCGAGTAGCATATTGTGAATGATGCAGACTGCTCCAATCATGTACACTGCAGTTGGGACATCAACCTGCATAACGCCATTGAGAATCTCCCACTTTTTAAGGGCAGCGAAGGTAGTATCCGCCACTCCCCACGTTTCTGTGAGACAATTGTTGAAATTTAGTTGAACATCTGTCAAACTTTCTCCTGTATATGGCACCATAAGCCATGGTTTAAGTTGATAGCTAGGACCTCCTACTATATATGCAGGGACAGTGGCATCATCAAGCTCAACAGAGGATATGCCTGAAAATCGTCCATACTGCACTTTCTGCGGAAACGTGGAGAGCCTTAACGCGTCGACATCTCTAACTGCTCCTGCAAAACCTGACGCGAAGCTCAGAACTCTGGTGTTCGAGTCAACGACTGCTTGAGTGACGATTGTGTGAACCCTGTCCTCGTTGAGATACTCAGCACTGTGAGGACCGGCAGGTCTTTTGATTCGTAGATGCATGCAGCTGATTGCGCCAGCACAATTTGGCAAACCAGATATTGCTTCAAACCTGGACACAGCTTTTTTCAATCCTTGACCTTGTGGATAGGCCACCTTGTGCCTAAATCGGGTACAAAGAATTTCGCAAAGCTCCGTCGTGCAGTAAAAAACAGTTGATTCACCCACTGAAAATTTTTCTGCAGCCTGTAAACAAAAAGTGAGTTGGATGGTGGGTCAACGATAAAGACAGAAAATAAAATCCTCGTCTAGAGTTGATCATCTAGAAGCTAGAGAAACACAAGATTGGCGCCATCTTTAAAAGATTTAACAACTGTTTTGAGTTGAGCAGGTAGATTATATACCGTAAGGTAGTTGGCTCCCGTGGCTAGACGGAACAATGCCACTGCCACCCTCTTTGTTACTGGGATGCTCTTCTTGTAATTAGTGTTCATCTTCTCCACGAACGGGCCAACTTGCTCACAGAACCACTCAAATGTTCTGGCGTCCATCTTGAACATCCGCTGGTAATTCTCATGACTGGTGAAGCGAGGCATAGCTGAGCGATCCATATCCATCAGTCTCTTTCTTGCCAGACTCTTGACTTTCCTCTTTCGTTTCCGGTTGTCATGAAAGATGACAGAGGCTTGAATGGCATCCAGCTGAGCCAGTACAGAGAGGCAGCCATGCTTCACCTGAAACATTCACAAGATAGGTGAACCTGCGATTCAAATGGAGCGCTACATTCATCAACAACGGGAACAGCAGTACTGCATCACAATCATAGATTCTCTCACCTGGTCAGAAACAGAATCGTCGCCCATAATCTCCAAGTACTGCACGGCCATCACGATGGCATACTCCACCATAGACGCTAGCACATGCACTGCCAGTGCTAGCACCCTCTTCTTTTCTTCATCCATTATTCACAAGACTGTGCTTCCAGAGGAGAAGCAGAACACCCCTGAACTTGTCACTGGCGCAAATCCGAAATGTTGTGAGAGTCCAGATTTCTGAGAGACCTCCACCATGTAGCTCGAGTTTCAGCAATCACCAAGGGCTGTGAACCACACTGCTTTGGTGATTGCGATAACAAACACTGGCGAAAATGCACCTCTAGACGAGCATGGAGAGAGGGACTGAAAGTAGAAGTCCAATGTTGGGCCACACATGATACGAATACCCAGATATATCGAGCAACAAATCTACAGTTTGTAGTGGTTTGAATTAAAAGTATCGGCTTCCAATTTGCCGCGGTAAACAAAGCAAGATCTTTTTACGTATATAATTCCCTTTAAGGATGGCAAAAGACAGACCTCTACGAGTACCTGATCGAATAATCGCTATCTGGTTATACTGGAATGCCAGAAAATCGCGGGACCATCCTCACAATATTTAAGTCCCGCACAGTAGCTTCCGCTACACAAAACTACTGGGTGTTAGATCCTGATAAATTCGAGTCACTGGTTTGCAGAGCTTCCCGGCTAGCGTGTAACGCTTCTAATCTCTGCTGTGCCTCAAGTGTGACAACCTTGTCATCTGCAAGAAACCCATTGTGGGACAGCCCTCTGGTCAGATGTTTTCAGAAACCACAAGTCACATTGCTCTAAATTACACGCTTCACTCCAAACAAGTGACAGAAACAATTTAGTGGCAAGTCGATGGAACCCAAGTCTGATTTTGCCTTACATCTTGTTCCATTTGTCAAAAAAAAATTAAGTTAAAAACTAGATCACAGCTCCACCACAATCAGGCGTGTCATCATATGCTGTTTTAGTTGCAGACAACTATGGTATCTGATTTAGCACCCAATACTATCATGTGAAGTTCGAGGTAGACGATAGATATAAAAATCAAAAGTAAACATATGAGTAGCTTGTGTTTTCATATGGCCTATTTTGCTATGGTCGACTAGATCTCATCACCGCATTCCAAGAGCCAAAACAAACTTTTCGAGTCTTCTCCTGGAAACGACTAATGAGGAGGCGCATCATTGCAACCAGATTTGTAAAACTCCGTACAATTATTACATGACCTCTACATGAGAAAAGAGCCAAAAAAAACCTTCCTGCACAAAGTGCTACGTCAACCTTTTGGACCATACGTCACTTAGTACCAGCAAGCAGACACACAGAACTAGAGTCCCTCCTCAAGAAATAGAATCTCCGATTTTCACAAATTCACAGCCTCAGAAACTTTTGCACTCATAATTCGAACTTCTCAATAAGAGCTCAGATCTACAACCCTAGAGCATATCCAGTAATCAATTTCGTACCAATTCAGAGAAATCCCTTTGCGAAATCCCTAATAATGAAGGTGGTAGCTACAGTGGGATCTTGAATTGGTACATTCACAACAAAAAGTCGAAACTCCGCGACATGGGAAAAGCATTTGAAAGCCAGCAGATACAATAAACGAACGAACTGCCTCTCTGACATTCTCGATGAACATGCATTGATATTTAGAATCAAAATGTCCTCCCGTCTTCACCCCAGAGCCAGTACTAGAATACGAGATAATCACAAATACCAATTCGAACTCTCATTCAGCTGACGTCAATTTGCGCAAACGGAAAACTTACAGAAGCCAGTGTAATTCATGAAAAGCTCCATGGAAGCTCCAATTACGCTACCAACAACCGCCAACTTCAAATACCATTGCGTAGCCGGGGTCATGACGAGCAACTATTGGAGAATCTGGCTCTGTTCGCAATCGACTCGGGTATGTAGACCTTGGCTGAATTTTTGGGTCGGACGAATTTCGATCTCTGCCTTCCACTGCCGCAGTGGTCGAATCTTCTCGTCATACTGCGTTTCCAGCTGCTTTCTCCGACCTCAGTTGTTCTGTCAACAACTGAAGGAGTGTTCTGTCATTCCTTCAGTTGTTGATTACGTGGTACAAGGGGAGGTCACTGGATTTTACAAATCAAAGGAAGGAGATGTTTCCTTTGATAAACTGATTTTTAAATGGTAAATGGTTCGTAGTTTTTACTAAGAGTCCCATATCTGTACTATAAATTTTGGGACTTCTTTTTTGTCAAATATTTCATTGTCAGAATCACATAAAGGATGATTTTCAATCACCACATCTGGATATAAAATTAGTCTTATTGAAATGTAAGAAAATTGTATTTGTTTCGAATCCTATTGAAAGCTTGAAGTATATTGAGGTTATATTTATAGTACAGTAGGGTCGAAATCTATTTTCAGGGAAAACTTGCAGGGACAAACAAACAGGGGCATAAATTTTGTCGATATATACTTTAAATTTTCCTCTACTAACTTAGGATGAATTCGGTCGAATAAGGAAGATCTTGATAGCTTAAGACGGATAAAGATGAAGGAAAGGCAAGAAGGGCGGCTCACAATTGTGGGAGAGAGGCCGTCGACAGCGCACCTAATGGACGGGAGTTTTCGCAGTCCAAGCCGAACAGAGTTTCGCGGAGCGACGGCGAAAAGGAGAACAATATATTTAGACAGTGCATCGACAAAATCAAGAGATTGAGTTAAATGAAGCAAGTGAATTTAACTTCAACGCTATTGAAGAACATGCGGCAAAATTATTTCTGGGTCAGATGACAGTGAGGTTATTAAGGATTAAGAAAGTGGTGATCTTTGAAGTTTAGATGCTATCCAAGGATAACGATATAATCTGAAGCTTATATGCTTCAGACGAAGTCGCATGCTTTTATCGACCTCGAGCTTCGTGTTCAGACCTGTACAGGAGATGGACGACGCCCGGGGAAAACGAAGAGACCAAATTGCCAGCGGACTCCAAGAGCGCCACGTGTTTCGTATTCGCGCATTAATGGCATAAGTATTGCAGTGGTAGGTTTTACGCGTATATATACCACAGCTGCGCCTTCTCTCTCGTCCCTTCGGGGACATCCGATAAAATTGGAACGATACAGAGAAGATTAGCATGGCCCCTGCGCAAGGATGACACGCACAAATCGAGAAATGGTCCAAATTTTTTTCGCATTTCCTCCCCCAAATTCCCATGTCCAACTTTTCATTTTGACATGGAACCTGTCGAACTTGAATGCAAATGCAGTGTGGACTGTTTTGCTCCATCTCTGTAGGCGAATCAGAACTCAAAGGACTTGTAGGATTAGTATTTTCGGTGAAGATATGCATAAAGCTGAGAGGTGAATCGATGAGATTTTATTTTTTGTCAAATAACGCATTGTACTTGAACAAACTGAAATTATACTTCACAAATATGATATCAGTATGGGATATGCGAATTTGTAAGTGCGTTCATGTGGGGGAGAGAGGCTTTAGTTGGGGCTAAGGTCACCGAAGAACTACGTCGATGACTTATGAATTATGCGAAGATGTGTTAAGAGCTTGTGTCGAGAGAGCAATAATAATGAGTGAGTGAACTATGTAGGGACGTAAGACTTCTGAAGATGCTTACGGTGAGTAAGGTGCCAATGGGGAGAATCTGCCCACTCATCTTGGTAGCAGATTGCTTGGACTCCAGCTGATTTACTAAGATTGAAGATGTTTTGTCATGACGCTTAGATTATGTTTGTTGAAAGCTGTGCACAGAAGTGCGCTAATGAGAAGTAACGATACATATCAGTATGTACTCTTGACTTTCACATACAACTTGCTATATTGGAAAATGATCTTGTTAGTAATCATGATATTTTTTTCATTTCTAAAACAAAATATAATGATCTAATCATGTAAAATAATATGATTTAAAACTAATTCATAAAAAAATTTATTAAACGTATAGATATATCTTACTTGGACATGGATCAGTTTGATAAACCAATCAATCATATTAAAATTATACAGTAAATTATATGATTAAATGAGTCTACATCCTATTTTATTTTATAGACTCCAAATTTTTCTTTATTTAAAAAAACTGAAAACTTTTTATGTCCTACATTACAATATAAAAACCATAGATTTTAATCTTTACTACAAATTATATTTCGGCAAAAATATTAACTCTCATAATTTGAAAATCATGCTAAATATGATATTCGTGAAAATCTATAATAACTGGCTTGCTTTACGTTATGATTTTATTATAATATATAATATATATAATATAGTCATAGACTTCTAAGTCTATGACTATATTTTCTCACACTACTTTATCTTGTAGACAATTCAAAAATCAAACATTTCTTAATTACACTGGTTTATTCATAAAATTAAACTTTTCTGAAAATTATTTTCTTTGTGCATTATTTGAAGTCATTAAGGTCTAAAATCAGATCTTGATCAAAATATTCTCTAAAATAATAATAGAAAAACTTTTATTTTATACATATTAAGAATAAACTGAAAAGAATATAAATTTTTTTTTACCTCGTATATTAACAGGTTCTGTCAATATCAAATGAATATGAACATATAAAAAAAAAGTCGAGTAAAAAGTCGTTTTGTGTAATCATGCATTCAAACTAATGCAATTAAAAATCACAATTTTTAAAAAAGACTTAAAATATTCTGTCTATTTATCAGTTTATGAATTATGATAATTTTCTTTTGTATAAAAACGAATCATGGGAGCACACACTCTTTACCGGTTTTGCTAACTGGTTTCAAAATCTTATCCACAACTAACAAATGCACATATATGTGTAAACTGAATGTTTATACATATAATGCAGTCGATGTTTGATATATTGAAAATAAATCTTAGTGATATAAAATACCTACAAAAAAATATTCCTTCTTAATATCAGATGGTAGTACAGTTTATTCAAAGTGAATTGCAAGTTTCATTTATATATAGTACAAGTCATATAATAGTTTGTTTCTCTTCATCTTCCGTTTGTCATCCAGTTTTCTGCTATACCGGTCTGGTTCTTCTCTGCTCAAAAACAAAATTTCCCGACATCAATGTAAGAAAAAAACCATCTTTTGTAGTGTAAAAAAATTACTGGATTGTTGGAAGATTGTGTATCTGATGAGTAATTAACTACGATTATCTTCGCACTTCGGTTGGCAGACCATCGAAGGTTTACAATGTCATTTTGACAGCGTCGCCATTGCTTTGCATGAGGTACATAGTCTCATCCATCGTACAACTGGAAGAGCTATGACTTCCGCTTCTTCCGTAGATTGCCGAGCCCTCTAGTTTTGGTACTTTTGGTTAAGCTCCTACGTATCTTTTCGGTCTAATCTAAATGTAATCACCTTGGGATTTCTTTCGTGGTTACTTGTTCCGGTGTGGTAAGTGTATTTTGCGCTTTCCAGCATTATCATGATTGAAGGACCTTCTTCTGGTGGACTTCATCCAAAGTAAGTTCGTTGGGGTTCGTGAAGGTAAAAGCAAAGATCACGAGAAAATGAAGTTATCCATCTAAAACGCGCTGGCCTAACCTCCTAGATCCATTAACCAAATTAAAGAAAGGTTCGGGCGTCTAGTCTGATGTGTTGGTTATATGCTACAGGTCTGCCGTGGAAAATGGAGGTCAAAGTAAATATGATGATGAAGCAAGCATCAAAGGACCCGAAAATCACTTCACTTAGAAACTCCAGATCAATCAAGTGATTAGTTCACATGTGATCCGCACTTCATATTTCTGAAGGGGGACATTCTAAATTGCCCATGGAGAATCTTACAGACCTGTGGATCTCAGATTGACTAAAAGTCCGCCTGTGACGCATTCAGAAGTAATTCTAAAGCTCTAATGCAATGGCTTGGAGAAGGGTTGTGAGAGAGGGCTTGTTTGAGATAGTTTAGTGTTAGTATCATTAGTTACATATTTAGTTATTATGGACCACAGTAAATAGATCATTTTCCTCGTACTCCCGTTGAGGTTCCATTAATGTAGATATTCAATGTAGATTTAAATTTTTTTTGCAGAAATGTATGAAAAACTATTTAAAAACTCGAAATTCTTTGGTTTTTCGGTGATTCTACTGAAATGAGATGTATGGATTGGATCATTCTTCTTTACGGTGAGAGTGATAGACATTATAGTCCCGTCCTATTTCAAAGCTTCTAGAGACGATGATAACATGTTTGCAATTGTTTAAAGGGTTTCTTCGCCCTCCATGATGAGGCTAAACTATGTTTTTCACTTACAGCTTGATAGGTTGGCACATGATTTCATGGACAAGCTAGTGTACAATTTTATTCTTTCACAACGGCATTTGCGTTACGCTGAAACAATGTGTTTTGGACATACGATAGGAGTCTGTAGACTTTGAAGATTTGACGTAGAGCATTGAGTTACATTTCAAGATCGATGTGTCCGAGCCAAGTTATGAGTCGTGTTTATCCATATAACATTTTTTATACATCTAATTTACGATGGTGCATGATGTTAGGACAGCCTCTGTAGTGACCCTTCATCCTTGCAATCGTCTAGAGTTAAGGCATATTTATACTTGGTTTGTGAGGAATTATAATTGTTGTAAACGTGATGTGGTTACTGATCTTACACATGACGGGTTTTGGGGGAAGTGACTCAACTTTTTAGATGAGTGGTGTCATATTGCAACCATGATTCATAAAATATTCTAAAAGAGAGTCTCTTCGGAGATCGTAATCTCAGTGACAAGACGAAGAGAGAGGTTTTAAATGTGGTTAGATTATGGATAGGACTTTGGTGTCGAAGTGATATCATCTATCTGATCATACTACCTCAGCCATTTCCTTAAAATATAACACACGCTATCCTACTTTATGAAAGACGATGTTCATACCCTAGAAGAATAATAAAAGGCATGACATGCAAAGACTAGAAAGGAAGGAATGATAAGTCAAGTGACAAGGGGGAGAGACAAGGGATCAAGTGAGAGCTTAAAAGTTCCCTAAATAGAGTCAGATTTACAAAAATTTACGTTGACTGTCATTTGATACTACAAGAATACTTGTCTATTGACTGTTGATGTCAAATAAACCTTGCAAGAATTGAAGCTTTGATATTTAAAATATTTTCATAAAACTTAAGATTAGTTGGAATAATGGATCTGTATGTATTCTTGCAATACATTGAATGATTTTTTTAAAAATATATAGCATAAAAGCACACCATGATTTGCATATCAATGTTTGATACAATGAATAATTAAAGGAATAAATGGGATTTTTTTTGAGTAAACAGAAGAATAATATTTTAAACCTAATTTATACGGGCATGGAGAGAGTTCACATTTTTTTGAACCATAGACTTGTACAAAACTATGAACGATAGCTGTAAGATATTTTTTCAAGTGTGCAATGACATATCATACCAGATACCGTTTTCTTTGGAAATTTATATCAGATTTAAAATTCTATAATTATATAAAGATATCACCAGGTATTATAGAATATAGCGCGTGGTTTCTAGATGGATCCAACAAAATGTCTAACGTGTTATTGTGCATGTTCAGGGTTACACTATTTGGTGCCAAATTCACTCTGGCTATCATTCTCGGTTCGCGTCGGATGGCTCGGAGTTAGGCTCGGAGTTCGGTTCGTGCGTTCACCCGCTGGGAGACACGACACAATCAACTGCGCGTTGACGATGTGCGCGAGCTCGATTGGGTGCGCGCGCTGGACAGAGCGACCTTTAATGAGACTCGGCAAAGGCCCCGGAGGACAGGCAGGCAGGCCTCGCCGAGCCGCAGCCGCAGCGATGAATCTGGAGAGCGAAGGAAGTGCGGCGCAGTGCAACGCCGAATTCCGAGGAAGCGGAAGACGAAATCGGGACTCGGGATTGGTCCTGTGACGAAAGACGAGATGACTTCGGGACGCGATTCTGTTGCGAGAAGTTGCGCTGCTCTTCGATCAGATCAGATCGGGTCGGGTAGGGCCGAGTCGGGCCGGATTAGATTATGATTATGGCAGTGTTGCGACGGGTTTCGATGACGCTTTGCTTGGGACGAGGTTAGCACCATCACCATGCCACGGCTTGCCTGCGATCGATCCCAGATTCTTCTCAGGCTCCAGCAGGACGAGGAGAAACTGCTTTTGGAGAAATCGACAGAGCGAAAGGGAGCGAGGAGGGCGTCGAATCCGAGACGTTGCAATGGAGAGCGGAGCATAGTCAGATTAGAGCAGACGACGACGAGCATGGCATGGCGGTGGCGACGGGGCGGACGCTCACAGGGCACGTGACGAGACGAGACCGGACGTCTCGTTGCGAGTCAGTCGGAAGGGAGAGGGAGAGGTAGAGCGGAGCGTCGTCAGGACCGGCGGCTAGGGATGGGCACGGCTCGGCTAATGGCTACTCGGCTAATATTTTTTGTTAGCCGGCTAGCCGATAAATATTGCCACCTCTATCCGAGGCCGAAAATAACCGTAAAATCGGGACGAATTTAAGTTTTCGGTCTATAATTCATTCATATTCGGCCGAAATGATGAACTAAACATTCATTTCGATCGAATATTTCGGTTCATTGCATTTTCACCCGATAGGCGAGTAGCCGACGGCTAGCCGGCTAAATTTGAGGCCCAGCCGGCTAGCCGAAAGTTAGCTGGCTACGTGCCCATCCCTACCGGGGGACTAGCGGCGGGGGGATCCGCTCGGCTTGGCGTGACGTGGAGGGGCACCGTTCGTCGGCGCTCGGGGGGCCCGAACGTCCGAGCCTTGCATACTTGGCACGGAAGACAGTGCATCGGCATTGCGACCTCCGCGTGGGGGGGGCGGGCCGGGGGTTTGCTGCAGCAGGAAGGAAGAAAGGAAGGAACGGGGCGGAGCCACCGGAGCACGGGAAGCAGGACACTCGAGCAGCAGCAGCAGCAGAGCAGCACCTACAGATGGAGGAGGGGAGTTCGGGAGCAAGATGACAGAGTGTCCGAATAAAGCATTTGCGACCACGCCTGCATCGATGTCACTCTCGTTCCTCCTCACAACAGCCGCGAGAGCGAGCTCCCATGTTCGGTTGCAAATCCGCTCCCTCGTTTCTGCACATTCCACGGTCAATAATCGGAATTCCCGCTACCTGTCATAGACTGCTCACGACGGCTATTTGAAATCGGAGGGAAGTTGGAGCTCGTCGGTCTGCAGGAAATTCGAGAGGGAAAGAACCTGGGGCTTGACGGGAAGGATTGTCATCTGCATGGTGAAGTGCCGAGAATCAATCAGCAGCAGCAGCAGCAGCAGCAGCAGCTGAAACTGGAGGAGGGATTGGGGATTCGAATCAGTCGTGGTCGTGGGTAGGATCAATCGAATTGGGCGGTCGAGGGGCTTTTGAAAATGAGTGCGGAACGGCCGGAACCGGATGCTGCAGAGAGGAAGTTTAGAATCAAGTGCTTGAATTCGTTAGTGATTGCGCTCATCGTTGCCGTGTTGGCCATCGGGACCGTCCCGTTTGTTTCCTTCCCGGATACTGATCGATCGGTGACATCGGTTGCTGCGTCTGCACATCAGCAGAAGTCGGGATTCGATCAATGGTGGGCGGAGGGAAAGCGGTTCTTTTGGGGAGCCGATGCTCCCTGCCCCTGCCAGCAGTTGAGGAATTTAACTGGGGTCGTAGAGGATTGCTGTTGCGAGTATGAAACCGTCTATTCTCTAAATCACAAGGTGCTGCATAAACTTCTGCAGGACATCGTCAAGCAGCCTTTCTTCCGTTATTTCAAGGTCAAATTGTGGTGCGATTGTCCATTTTGGCCCGAGGATGGAATGTGCCGTCTCAGAGATTGCAGTGTGTGTGAATGCCCCGATGGAGAGTTTCCCGACACCCACAAAAATGGGCACTTAGGGTTCGATGATCCTTCTTGTCAAGAGGGGAAGGCTGTAGCCGCTGTCGATCGAACCCTGGACAGCAGAGCATTCAAGGGATGGACCGAGACTGACAACCCCTGGACTCACGACGACGAGAGGGATAATGAGGACATCACGTACGTGAATCTGCTCCTGAATCCCGAGAGGTTCACAGGCTACACAGGGCCGTCGGCGAGACGCATTTGGGAGGCCATTTACAAGGAAAATTGCTTCCCTGATGCCGAGAGAGACACCTGCGCCGAAGCTCGAGTCCTCTACCGTCTGATTTCAGGTCTCCACGCTTCGATTTCGACTCACATTGCGGCGGATTATTTGCTGGACGAGGCGACGAATTCATGGGGTCCGAGTCCAGCATTGTTGCACGAGCGCGTGCTTCAGCACCCAGAGCGAGTCCAGAACCTCTACTTCACATTTCTCTTCGTTCTCAGGGCAGTCACCAAGGCTGCCGATTATCTGTCACAAGCGGAGTACAGCACCGGCAACGATGCAGAGGACATGAAGACTGTGGCCCTGATGAAGGAGCTGGTGAACAACGACAGGCTGCGAGCAGCTTGCCCCCTCCCATTCGACGAGGCGCAAATGTGGCGTGGTGTGGACGGCGCGGAGTTGAAGCAGCAGATCCAGAAGCACTTCAGGAACATCAGCGCGGTGATGGATTGTGTTGGATGTGAGAAGTGCAGGCTTTGGGGGAAGCTTCAGACTCTTGGACTTGGAACTGCTTTGAAGATTCTTTTCTCGGTCGAGGCCACACAGCCTTACGGGGTCTACCCACTTGATCTGCAACGGAACGAAGTGATTGCTTTGATCAATCTTCTGAGCAGACTATCAGAGTCTCTGGAGTATGTGCACAACCTAGCACCCTTGATTACTGCCGAAGCTATTGCCAAGGTGAGATGATCCTTCGAGGCGGAGTCGCGCTCCATATGATCGCTCAAGTTTCGAGTGTGGACTCCAGTTGACAATTGTAAAGTTAAAACAATCCACTCACTACTATTAAATTTTTTTCCGATTATAAACTCGTCAAGACTGGAGCATGAACTTCGAGATGAACCCAGTCCTTTTGTTGAGAATTTTTGTAGCACACACTCTTGTCCGACACGATTTTAATATAGATACTCACGAGATCCGGGATAATTCTGGAGGTAATAGGGCTGTTACACGTCCGAGTGTAAGCCCAAGGAGCCTGTTGCATCAGAAGTTTCCGCGAGTTATGAAGAATTTCGGGCTTCGTCATGGATGCAAGGAGTATTTACTGTCACCTGCCATGGAAGGAGACGGGGAGATCTCTCACACAGCGAGGGCTGTTTGAAGGCACTGGATCCTTCCACCGGCCTCGATTCTACTCATGAGAATGGTGTTAAGGATCTGAGGAATTTTCGACTGTAAATTATGGTAGGAATCATACCCAGGGAACTAACTTTAGGGATTAAATCTATCAATAAATACATTACTGTAGATCCCGTTCACTCCATCGAGGTGTCTGACTGCTCTCAAATACTCTCGGATGAATACAATGCGATTTATCAATCATTGCTTTATGCTGTGTATGATCTGGAGCCTATGGATCCAACGCGTGCGACCTTCGCACTTTAGGGACGTCATCCGATCTTGACTTGTACAATCAGTGTGGCTCTAGGACGTATCGCTTTTTCCGCCACAGCATTCAGAGTCTGTTGTGTACAGGCCGGTCTGGGATGGTGTGTTGGCTGATTAGAACTTTGATGACGTCCTGAGTCAGACAGTTCGCTTCGTATACCCCTCCAATTGTTCACATGGTTGACGTCTCCGAGTTCCAATCTTCATACGTACAGTATAGTTGTGGCTGCGACCCATATTGGCCTTGTGGACACTCTCTAATTGGTGCACCTCCAGCCAAGAGCCTGATTGTGTACCATGCATGCATTTCGTAAAGATAGAGTTGAAGGTAAAGAACACCCGTCAAGCTAAAGAAAGTACACTACATGATACCCTGACAGTGCAGACCATCGTCGACGCGGAAGCGAGGGGACTGCCTTTCACTGAAGTCGTCCGAGGCCAAGCAAGACATTGAGAAAGCAACATCGATATTGCAGGACTAATGGTGTGAGAAGATCAGGCAAGGTTCGGGGTCATGAACTTCATTTACTGTATCTGCGGTTTGTTTTCGCCAGCAGGTAGGTGACCGAGACGGGGTTCTTTCTGACTCCATCGGGTAGACCACATTCTCACAGTAATCAACAAGAAGCAGTCAAAGATATTGCCTGGTTAACACTCGAGCCATTTGCCGAGTTTGGATTATCTGACTGCAGCTCAGTACTCGAATAGAAAAACTCTCTCCGATTACATGTCTGTCAGGTGAAGTGGCGGTCTCATGGCATGCATTTGTACACTTACTGTAATTGGTAATTAATCAAAGGGTGCTCTGACATGACGACTCCGATTGTTGTTGACTTCACAGCTCTCAGAAACGTGTGGCCGATGTGACACTAGAACCTTGTGGATAGTTAAGACTTTTAAGACTTTGAACTGGTCATGTGAACTTCAAACGCTTAGGCCAGTTTAGTTAAGCACGATCGGGGGAGCATCGGCCGGCCGTCAGAGGTCTTGAAGATGTGAAGGTGTAGGTCAACGACACTAAATTCCCCAGTACCGAGCGAGGTCTTGAGATATCCAATTGTGTAAGCACGGCTTAAGTGCTCGAACAAGCATTCCTACTTCGCACTTTTGAGCTCTCTCTCTTAAGTCTCATCGACTCTCTTCAACTCGACACAGAGTCAAACTTATTTTTGTGACCCTTGGTAGAAGACTTCACATTTTATCTATTATGTTGGTGACTTTACAGACAATATGAACAATAGATCCCAGTATAAATGGTGTTACGGAAACATTGTAAATTCCCGGTTACTGTGACATCACTTTGGATGTAGTGCCATTATATAGGTGACACATACCCCACGAAAGAGTTAGGGTTTATCCCCACGTCTGTAAATAATCTGCTGTTCCTTGAATCTGAATGCTTTTGGACCATACGACGCTACCATTTACCGATGTAACACTAACCTTGCATGGAGACGGCCTACCCTAAGCGCAGCACAGCCAGGATGACAAGATGGTTCAAGTATTATTTTAAAAATCTGTTAAGGGATCTACTCAGGTGGTCCATTGTTGTTGTTTAGCACCCACGTGAGGTACTCTTATCTCCGAAGTGGTTGCAAACTTGCGTGTCCGTAATAGATGTATCCGCAAATTTGCTGTGCACGTTAGGATAGTAACAACGCAGTTGGAAATGTGGTATCCTAATGTGGTATTGCTGCCTGAAATATGGACACCGAAGGAAACGGTGCGTGACGCAGTTATCGACAACAGCTTTTAGTAGTGGAGTATGAAAACAGTATCTTTTAAACCTAGTAATCTTCCGTAGTTCTGGGTTCGTCCTATATCGGCAAGTATAAGGCAATCCAGAACATCTTCAACACTCAGATTTAGAAATAATATTGTAGTGACAGCCTACTAGAAAAAAGGTTTTCATCACTTTTGCGACCTCCAGATTGCCAATATGATCACAAGTATTGCACGTGTAGCGAGAAACTGTTACCCACTTCAGTTAGAGGATTCACTGCAGTTTAGTCCCACGCAAGTCGAGTGAAAAGGACAGCAGTTATTATGGTATGAACCGCTAACTACGTAAGCTGGAAGAGCAGCGTTCAAGGTAAAAACGAAAAGGATGTGCAAGCATCCTTTCGTGAATCTAGAGGCTGTAATCAGCGTAAAAGGCCCGCCTGTGAAGCAACTGGTTTCCATGGCGAAACTTTTGAGACTGACGCTTTTGACATGCTACAATGAATTTCTTTCTGACCTTGAAATTAAGGGGAAGCTCCTGTGTGGTCGATAAGTGAAGATTAAAGCTGAGCTCTCCACGAGAAAGAAGGCCATGACGTCGAAGTATGAGAAGGATAGTACGAAATCCATTGGGTTGTTGAGAAACCTGAGCCTCATCCGTATGTCGTGAGTGACTAATTTTACACGATTTGGTTATAAGAGAAGGGAGAAATTGCTTTTTGGACAGGTGAGGATCTTCGTTCATAACCTGTGAATTACAGGTTAAAGTAGAATGGGAGAGTAGCACGGCACCTGCATTTCACAAATTCCCACATTGGAGAAAGAACAGAACTTGGAAAATCATGGGCTTTTTCTTGCGAGTAATTTAAACAGAAATGTAACCTTTGTACCCCGTTGCTTTCAGCTTTTGCGAAGGGACATTTACAACTCCAAGGAGACAATAAAGACGTGTACAAGGGCGAAAGAGATAGAATATTCGACAAATTCGTGCCACCTTTCTCTTCTATTCAGTTGTCACTGCACTTTGCCACAGTGATGATGGATGCTTATTCACTTGCTTGATCCTCATCGGCACTCGCGTTTGCAGCGTCTGTAATGTCTTCTGCAAAGTCTGACTCACTCTTTCCTGAAGCTCTGCTGCACTCGGCCAAAGCTGTTGGATGAGGGAGAGCTTCAAACTTTTGATACCTTGGCTTATTTCTTTTCAGGAAAAAATAAGTGAGGTAGTACCAAAAGAGTGCGATACGGCCTTCTTGTAGGATTGCCTCTCTGAGACTACTCTTGCCAAATGAAAGTCTGTCCAATGCCTGCAACAAGAATAAAAGTGACACATCAGTTACATTCACATTTAAAGTTCGATCTGAACCATGAAACACAACGCTCATTGAATATGTACTTAGTATGGGATTCAACAAAGTCAAAGCTAGGTGCAATGATGACGTGAACAATTTCCATGAGAGGCTGTAGCAACCTGTTCTCCATTTTCCACGTCAAATGATTTCTCTTTCAAAAACTTCAGCCCTGTAAACTCGTTGATACATAATGCTTGGAATGCCCTGCACAGACACAAAGTTGTTCATGAGTTTGAGCTCAAGCATGTTCTAACGCTGTCTTTCCACGATATTGCAAGAAAGAACCGCTGTTAGCGCTTTATATCCAGAAAGCCCAAGTTTCTAAAAAATAAAGAGGGTACAATTTCACGTTGGTCTTCCAGAAATTTGCTGTCTATATCCGCCGACTTTCATAGCTCCATCACCAGCCTGGAGTCTTTGCCAGCCAAAACGCAGGATAGAGATAACCAGATTCATCCGGCCAAGATCTACCACCCCTTACCTGCAGTTAATAAACGGCGAGGGAATTTTTTTGCACTTACCAGCGTATCATGGAAACCTTAGGGATCCAGCGAAAGACCAAGGGGGTGTTCTCCTCATTAACATAGTAGCCACCGAAAACGATGAAGACAGTCATGATCGATGGGCCCAAGGCACTCGCTGCTTCCGAAGTGGGAGCTATAGCACCAACAGTCAATCCCATGGCAGAAGCTGCAAAGGCCTCGACTGTAACGATTCCTGACAACCTGAGAAACCTGTGCAACATACAACAAGTTGGCCTCGTCAAGATTGCTGCATTAAAAAGAGCTGGAATTACCAGGTGAATTCAAAATTACTCATGTATCAATATATCCGATATTTAGTGGGACTAGGGGAGAGACATGTGCAAACTACAAACATGAGTGATGAAGATTAAAAAAAAACATCTGTGGATCAGAAGTAACGTAAATATGAACCATTCATGCTGAATTCTCTCTTGAAGGTGGAAGTTGAAGTCGATGATAAGGGACATCACTCGGGGTTGAACAAACCTGGAAAACGTGGGATGTAGTCCGGTCATTGGGTAGACCACAGCAGCGAAGGCAAGAGGGAAGGCCGCGCTAATGGGTGCCTCCGCAACCAACTTCGACAGTAAGTAGGGAATCAAACCATACGAGCCTTTGGTTCGCTCTTGCTGCACGATTGTTCTTTCTTTGGGAAAGACATTCACCGTCTTAGTCAAGGCTGCCATGGCAGTGTTAACGGCTGCAACCTGCGAGAATTGTTCATGGTACCGTAAGCATAAGCACCCAAAAGCTTTCCCTGATGTTTAAAAGGACCTATCAAAAACTTGAAATAGTCCAGCAAAGAAAACACGAACAAATTATATCCAAAATACATCAAAATTGAACCAAATATTGAACATTAAACGACAGGCTTTCCAAAAAACTGCTTTTGAAGCCTCAGACCACCTAACGCAAACAAGACAGGTCTCAAACCTGCAGTAGACCAAGCCGATCTTGAATAGAGGTCTGAGTTCGTCCCATCCTCCAGAAAATGGACCCAAAGATCAGTGCTGATGATAGTGACATGGTTCCACGAACTTTATTTGTTGGTCCATCCCGAGTTGCCTGTGACCAGATTTTTGTATTATCACCTACTAAAAGTCAGCTGAAGCACTCACAGAAGCATTAAAGAAACCAGTCTGTCCGGAGTACCATAAGGAGTATCCACCGAAACCAACTGGTAGACCGTTTTATCTTCAGGGATATATTTCTCTTGAGGTTTCAGATAAAAGCTAAGAAGATTCATTTCATTTAATTCCACGGTGATGCCTAGCACGTGCAATAAAGTCAGAACTCACCCTAAAGTAATGTTTTCCTTGTAAATAGACCCGCTTAAGTACCAAATCCAAGTGACAATATAACGAGAATCTTATACTACAAAATTCAGGACAAATGTTCACATGCGCAGTAAACTACGAGCAATATACATGAAGGTAGCCATGATCAAGAGGCAAAAAATCTGGGAATGTAAGACAACGGAAGAGTGAGAACAAACAACATACAAGTCTAGTTGTAAAAAATTGGATTGCCAAGGTCTGAGGCACAGACCTGCAACCAGGCTCGTCGCAGCAAGATGCGAAACTGCTTCCACCATCCTACGTGTGGGCGAACTAACTTCACCGATGAACTTCTCACTACTACTCCACTGTTGTCGGCCGCACTTTCATACTTTCCGTAAAGAGATTCACTTATCCGACCACTGAATGTGTTGACTAGGCTCGCAAGCTTTCCGCGGGTGATCTCTTCTCTCTCTGGAGTAGAGTAATCAATGGAGATCAGATCAGCAAAAAACTCTGCTGGGTTCACATGTTCAGGGCACTTGTACCTGATGGTAATTCTCAACATGTCAGCTACTATCGAAAAATCAATCAAACCTCTTACCATTCGCAAAAGCACGAGGACATATCCTTCGTAGATAAAAACCACCATGATTGCAAACAGCAAGTGACTGACAACTAGTGCTAGAACGAAGAGCTCTAAGAAGTATTTAGTCTTTCTTGATTCAAACTACTAGAGAACGAGTATTGACTGAGATAGAGCTCACCCAATGCTTTCGAAGTAAGTAAGAGCTTTCTCTCCTGCTGGACCCATATAAACAAGAGAGCCATTTGAAAGAAGCATCAGATCGTCGAATTTTGCATATATTGATCCCCTTGGCTGATGGATGGAGCAAATGACAGTGTGACCGTCGTGAGCCAGTTCGCGGAGAGTTTCCATGACCTGCTCAGCCTGGAAGGCATCTAAACCTGAATATTCATGGACGAAAATTCAGTTAAACCTGAAAAACATGCAACAGCGAAGAGAACAGGTCTTCAATCCTGATCAGCTGAACCTCAACTTGTAAAGTTGTCAAATTTTGAATTTATTACCTGTAGTTGGTTCATCTGCAAAAATTACGGAAGGGCTCGCAATCAGCTCGCATGCGATTGACAGTCTTTTCTTCTCACCGCCACTGATGCCTCGCACCTTCTTATCTCCCACAATTGTACCTGCACAGCCTCCCTTTGAGACGAACATTTTTCAGAACCAAGCCAAACCAAGAAATATCAATTGTTTACCACAAGAAGCAGTACAGCCGAGGTCGAACTCTTTCTGCTAGGAAGATGGTCCTGACTTTTAAATTATGAAGATTGCCAAGATCCAAAATTTAATACTACACTCTTTACTTCAGCACGGAAAAATCTACTGGCTAGGCTTAAAAGCATACCAGGCCCAGTCGCTTTAGCAGGTCATCCACATACTTCTCCTTGTCCACGTCTTTCCCAAGTTGAAGTTCGGCTGCGAGAGAAAGTGTTTCTCGTACAGTGAGCTGAGAAAAAAACAGATCCTCTTGCCTCACATAAGCCACCCTGCATCCAAGCATCGTATTAAGAACACAAACAACAACTTGCAAGAACTTCATGAATAAAGAAATGCTCTGCAAAGATCAAGGAGGCTCAAGGATGTCTGAAAGCTCTTGTATAGAACATAAATCATTAGAAATCTTACGTGTGCTTAGCGTTCTTGACTGGGCGACCATTGACGAGGAGGTGCCCATTGAGTCGCATTTGCTTTGACGCAGGCAACTGACCCGCTAACACATTGATCAAGGAAGTTTTACCCGAACCGGAAGGTCCCATTATGGCAAGAAGCCGTCCAGGTTTGGCTTCCCCACTGATATTTTTTAACAATGTCTTGCCCTGTTTGAACAAGAGGTTAAACATGTCAGAACCATCCTTCTACAAAAAGACTGTAATAGACAGTCTTTTCCTTCACTTCAAACACACCTCTCACACTTTCCTATTCAAGGTCGCACACGCCGCTCCAGTATCTCATAGTTAATGTTGACTCTTGTTATCGAGTCCAGATTTACTGCATTACTCGGTGCCATTTAGTTCCTCGAGGAGGTGATAAAATTTGATGACAGGATTTATAAAGGTGAAAGGTGAAAGGTGAAAGGCGTGAGTTTTAAAATCATTGAGACTCAAATCAATCAAGGTTAAAATCGTCATCACTTTCAGAAATATATCGCACTAGAAATCTCAATCTACTCTGTCTACTGTGGCAGTCGATAACCTCGCACCTAAACTTGCCCAACTTCTCATGTCGTGATCATAGTGAACTATTACTATTAAGATAGTCCGTAACCACGGAGTGTACATACCACTTCTCCTGCCTTATCCATGAGCACACAACTAATGTTCCTCCATTGCACAACCACAGGCTTCACAGAGCCATCGGTGTTGTCAGTATCGAGGTCATCATTCTCGTCCTCGATTTCGGTTATGGTCGCCTTCGCGTGTTCATGGTGTACGGAGTTTTCTGATGACGGCGAGTAGGGGTAAATTCGTAGAGACACAAGAGCAAGCCCCGCAGCTAGCAAAGTCGGAATATGCTGCCCAATTCCTTCCATTTTTCCTCGCTACCAATCACCACTGCAATCAAGCCACGAGAATCCAGATACTCTGCCTTCGTTACTCAGTACATGTCTGTAAGTACAAAACACTGACTTCAGAATCAATTGGGGACTACAACATTCCGATGCAACCAGCAACATCAAACAGACAAAAAGAATTACAAACTGAATTCATCCCACAAGCTGCTGTTGTGTGCTGACAGACAAGGAGTGACTTGTAAAGTTGACTCTTAAACAAGCACCTCTTACTCCTCCTTATCATCCAATCAATCTACAATTAACTCAAAATTATCCATCTGGACAACAATCAGAATCTCTGAGGCAGCAATCGCGAGTCCCCCCAGCTCTGCAAAAGCATGACAGGCTTTCTATTGAAACGCTCAGACTGCAGGCACTAAAGGATGAACTAACAGATCAGAAAAACAAACCTGCCGCCTCCGAATGAATTTCAGGGAGCACGAGGTTGATGCTAGCCCCAGGAGATGAAAAGAATCCCAACGTGGTTCCACTGGATTACTGGACTCCAATCGCTGCCAGAATCTGACAATTGTCACATCTTGTACAGGTCATTATATCCCGACCTCGACGGCGATGAAGGCAGAAAGTATGGAGCCGATGGGAAGTGTTGGAGGAGAAACTATATTGTCAAGGCGTCGAATTTCTCAGAGCTCTGAGCGACTGCGGGTCACGAAATCTACGTTGTTCTTGTCAGCCCCTCAATGTCCCCCGGGGCGTGAAGAAGCGAGGATGAAGCTTTCCGGCATTACCTCCACTTGTACACGGTCGCCGAGATTCATATTCAAAGGCCGAGAAAAGAAAGCGTGAGGCCGCGAAGGAAACGTGCGCAGGTCACAAAAGGTGTTGACAAGAAATACAGTATAGCTAAACGCATGGAAGACCAAACTGTTAGTACGGATGTAATATCGGTAAGATGACAACCTATAGCATCACCATGATAATGGGATATATGTCACATAGTGGGACACAATTAATTCAAACTATCTAGATGAAATTGTCAACATACTAAACTATAAATTATCTTCGTATAAACTTGATTTCTCTCCCTAAAAGCAGCCATTAGTGCTCCAAGTAGAGCCATGTCAAGGCTTCAAGTAGCATATACAAAATTCTTTAGATACTTTCGTTTACCTCTCTCGAGCATTACAGTAAATTGAAGTCTATTTTTTTTTGATTGTTTTTTATTGTCTTTCCATTTACTACAAATCTAAGAATACCAATAGTCATCCGTCCAAAACAATATCATACGGAACATATATATAAAATCATAACCGTTTTGCTTTTAATCCAGAAGTTCAGAATCACATAGAGATATGTACTAACGTCTTACCTACACTCGTTTATTGTCATTCCATTTTCATGTAAAACATCATATCACTCATGTAGTCATGTGCAATTATGCTTCACACTTCGAATGGACGAGCCTTCATAGAAGGTACACATTTAGTGATACTGTACCGAGATTGCCTACCCGAGCTAGCTCACACATCACTGGTTGGATGTAACTGTCTTAGACTCCTAGCTTTGTCCACATGCCCGTAGGAAGCTATGATTAAAGTATCAGAATGCGGCACGGATATTTGGGTATGTTGCATGCGACTTCCTGTGCTAGTTCTTAAAGTATCCTGGCCCGATATCTTTCTATCATTATTTGCCGTTGGTCCAGGTTTTAGTCCGCCCTTCTAGACTGGATAAACGTCGACTCATGGTACTTTTGGGCTGCTGTGCTCTCGACTTCAAACTCATTTACCACCATGTGCAGGTTCACTCGTGTGCTTGCAACCTCCTAGTGTGACGTTTTCCGAATCAGAATACTGAAGGGTGAGATATGGCTGTTTTATGCAAAGGTCATATGGACTCAAGAACGCTCGTCTGTTCCTTGCTCACGTTTCTCCCCATTGTACAAATCCTGATTTGATGCACACCTACTTGATGCTCCAACACTTCAGTAAGTAAGTGTATAAGTGCTGATACTAGTAATGTGTAAGTACTTTAACGAAATAGAAAGAAAAGCTAGAAATATCCAACCTCGCCAACTCTAGAAGTTTTTGTCTTGATTAAACTTTCAAAATGAAATTAATATTGATTAATCAAATTTTACTATTATTTTATTAAGGGAAATTTATATCTCATATATATTATCATAAAATAGTTATTCAACTTATATTAGTTGGATATGGTTTAAATTCCAAATAAAAAATATTGAAATTCATCATTTGTTATATTTGAGTAGTTGAAATCAAATTTGAATAATTAACTTAAATTCAAAATAATAATTAATTACATGATTTGTATGTAATGTTATGCAAAATAATTCCAAACATCTTAATTTGAGTTTGTTCTTTATTTCTAATTTCATAATCACTATTCTATATCTCTATGTTTTAACCTTTTCATCAATTAAGTGAGTTTTTGGAAACTTTTACTATATATTTTTTTCAACCACAACGTAGTCACTTTGAAGAAGTTTTGAATTTCAAAGTTTTGAGTTTAGATTGTGAAGGTTAGATCTTGCGGTAGTCAAATTCACGCTGGGGTTTCAATTGAAGCTAAAACTTTGTGATCTTGTTGAGTTTGGTCAGGAGCACATGGATCCAAATTTCAGCCATAACATAGTCACTTTGAAGAAATTGTCAATTTCGGAAATTTGAGTTTAGGTTGTGAAGGCTAGATCTCGTGATAGCCATAACTTTGCACTAAAGTGTCAATTAGAGTTAAAATTTTGTGCTATTGTCGAATTTGGTCAAACGCACATGGTTGCAAAGTTTCAGCCACAACGGAAACAATTCAAAAAAGTTGTCAATTTGGAGCTTTGAGTGTCAATTAGAGCTAAAATTTAATGCTCTATAAAGTTGGATACATGATGATTTTTAAATACAATATTCTCAATCTTTTGCAAACGGTTTTGAAATAATTGAAAGTGCTCCGTCAAGAATTCAAAGTACAAAATACTACCGTGACTACTGCACAATATGAAATTTAGAAATTGGAGGTTTCACACAAAAGTTTTGAGAAGATCATGGTTGATATTTTTGGATGTGTTGAGTATATTTAACATAATATTTGTTCTCCAGCTTCAACTTTTGCTACTACTAAATTGCATGAAATGGTTGAAAATTTAGAAGTGAAAATGAAGTCTTATGATGAAGCTACAAAGTCTCCTCATAACTCTTTTTGTCAAGAGCAAGAGATTGAAAAGTCAAATCAATTTGCTCGTGACAAAATATAAGAACTTTTGGTCTACATGAATCTGAGAATGAATATGTGAAGAGTGTTGTCACCAGAATCTCTTGGCTAAAACACTCCATCTTTTTAATTCAAATTTGGCTCAAGCTTTTTGTATTGGAAACAAAGTAGTCCAACTTCGTGCCATTATTGTTAAGTTTGTGGATGAAGCTCAACGTGTTACAGTTATAGCTAACAATGTCATTCTTTTTGGACAAAGTATTTGATTAGATCATGATCTTACACCTCTACAAGTTGAAGCAAGAAGTAAGTAGCTTATAAAAATCAAGTAAGCTCAAGCAGCAGGTTTTGTTGGTTATCTACGTAATAGTCAAGTTATTATTATGAAGAGTAGAAGACAATCATCAACCTAGTAATCCAATGGATTGAGGGTGTTGATGTGGAATATAAGAGTGTTATCTACAACAAAGTACATGAATGCACATCCAGTTTGGAAGATGTCGAACATCATCAACATTGTGGAGACCTGGCAGCATAAGAGCAATGCTATTGGGGAGATACAATGGTTAACTTTGGTGAAATCTACTTGGAACCATAGGAATCAACAAGAAGGAATACATTTTGAACGCGTGCTACTTTCATTAGATTTGAATTTCTTCCTATGTTAGATTTGGAGAGCCAAGATATTGTGAAATAATATTATTGGCTTTGTCTTGAATTGATTGTAGTATCTTCTTGTTATTTGGCAATTTGTTACTTTGCATCATTATACATGCAGATCTACTTCACAAACACTTGCAATCAAAATCAACCATTCCATCAGTTTATGGAAGATATTCTCAAGACAAAGTTGAAGTTTTTCTTGTTGGGAATTTTAATACTCGCATGCGTTCTGGTCAATTTACACAATTTGATGATTCCTTGTCTTCTTTCTCTTTTGAATAAAATAACAATAGTTTGTGGTGTATATACTCTTGTGATCCTTCTACAAATGAGTCTATTGAGCATTTCTTGACTTTTGGAGTCATTTGTAATTTGAAAGTTCTCAATGATATTTTTTTTTGTCCAACTTTCACTCCAATACATGTTTTTTCTCTATTGGCGTAAGCACAAATGATTATCTTTTGTACATTATAGCTAATAATTTGTTTATCTGAACATTTGATATTCTAAAGCCTCAACCATAATCAAATCATACACCTCTTTTATTTATTCTCTTGTTGTCAAAGTCAATATCTTTTTCTACATGTCATTATGTTTTTGCTTCCCCCAAGTTTTGTTTATATACTAGTAAGAAGTAACTTTATAATAAACATTTATAAGAACTTTTGAATCTTACTATTTAGAGACTTAATCCACATACATCTAGTTTGCAACTAACATAGTTGTTTAAAAATTCTGCTTCTAAGTTCTTTTGAGACATAAGAACCAGAGAGCTAGAGATCTTCTTGTAATGGATGAATTGACTTTGATTGCAAGCAAGCAAGCAAGGGTGATATTAGTTGATAAATTTTTGGATCTTCACCATCAGCTTATTATGACAAGACTTTACAAAGACTTGGTGAAGTCTAAAAAACAATCTTTCTTGAGACGAAAACAATAGTGCTTGACAAAAGAGCTGTTGTAGAATCCCAAAGTTTTTTGAAGGCGGTTGGCAGTAGTATCTTTCAAATCTATTCTTGATCCAAAGTCTTTGGAATCTTTTGCTCAAAAGCTTTATTTTTTTCCCAATGTTGCATAAATGCCACGTTGTGAAGGGGAGAACCTGGATTATTTTTTGAAGTTGAAGTGATGACTCAACACAAAAGATTGGCAAATGGTCAATGTGAGGATTTGGATGTTCTTTCTATTGAACTTCTCATGTGAGGAAGCTTTGCTATTGGACCTATATTCACTAAAGCGTTAGAGAATGATATTATCTATGGTTTTCCTTCAACTTGGTCTCTACAGAAGGTTGTTACTATTCACAAATCTGGAAGCAATGACTTGATGACAAACTATAGAACAATCATGGTGATTAGTATTTTTGCCAAGTTATTTGGCAAATTGATACCGTCAAAGTTGAACACATGGAATGAATCTTGTCCAAGTTGGTTTTTGTCTTACATTCAAAACTATAGATCATATCTTGGTTTTGCGTGTTTAATGGGAGAAGTACAAGGGCAACAGAAAGTTTTGTTTTGTGCCTTCATCGATTTCAAGAAAGCATTTGACAGAGTAATTTAAAAACTTGAGTTTGAAGAACATGTGTTTGTTATTTATACTAGATATATAAATATTAGAGTGTCTCATAAAGTTGTTGAAAATTTAATTTTTTATTAAAGCTTCAACATTATGATTTAGATTGTTTTATGAGATATATTATCAATGTTCATTCTAGTGCTTTGGGCACTAACTAGGGTTTCATTTTGTTATCTCTTTGTTTGGAGTTTATTTGTAATGTGGTTATTAGCCTTTCGATCCTCTTGATCTATTATCCATTTATCATTTATAATATATTTTTAAATTGATGTATCTAATCAAATTTCAATATCCAAACGCTAATGGCTTCAATTTACTTGGTGATTTTATTTTTTTACTCTTGATTCATTTTGTTATTCTAAAGTTTTTAGATTGAGTGGATTTTTTGAATTTGATATCTATATATATATATTTACATCTGCTATTCAAATTTAAGTATTTGATAAAATTATTTATATCTAAATTTTATATATTATCATGTACATAAATTTAAATATATCATATATTTTAAATGAAATATAAAAAACTGTGTAACATTTTGTTTCTAACCTAATCAATCTTTATGCTCATTTCAATATCTTTTATGACTCATGATTAATAACAAAATTCGATGGAATACTAAATAAAAGAGAGAGAAATTTAAAATCCCTTTGCTTCAAATAAGAAACAAGACTTATATAACTCTAGAAATGAACACAGTCGAAAGAGCTCACAGTCAACGCAAATCGGACCAGCATACGAGGTACAGTACAATAGAACCGGTAATAAATGTCATGTCAAGTACGAATAGCCATGGAGTTCCACAAGCACAGAGGACCAGAAGGAATGGTGCAGTACGTGACACCAGGAGCACAAGACACCAGGAAATGTGGAATGCAACGAGGATCGAAATCACTGGATAGCCCATCGACCCTGTGCCCGACAGGCTTGGAAGTAGCTTTGAAGTATTGAGTTGAAGAGCAGTGATCGGTGAAAGAAGTAACTGCAAAGGACAAAAGCAAGAAGTCAGCAGATGTTGAAAATCCAGAGCCAATGAGAGCATCGAGCATCAGTCTTCGACATTATCGGGTACAGTAAAATGGAAAAGTGTTGAGACCCAGGGGCGAAGAGCAGTGGCGGGGCGCGAAGGCGGAATTTTAGCAAGGCCGTTTCTGTTTTGATTCCAAATGTTCTCTACCTCAAATTCTAAGGTGATTTCAATCGAGGCTCGTATCCGAATGGGGTTGTACACTTCGTCATCTGGCGCCCCGAAAACAAAGAGCTCTTTTCAGCTGTGTGCCTCTTGGAGTCGTTGAGTCTCTTGAGCATCAGCAGCTCTCGTTAACCTCTTCTTGCAACCGTTTGTAAGCTTTTGGCTCCTTTACCTTTTTTTTCTCTGCAATTTTGGTTGTCAGATTTCTTAGCGGTATGATTCGAATTTTCGTTTCGCCTCGTAGAAATCGTTTGGTGAGCTACAATATTGGTGACTGCAAGTGGGTGCATTTGATATGCACGCATGATTCTAAGACCTTGCCATGACTACAGCTTGAATCTCCTTTCCTCAGAGGAAATGTTGAAGATTTCTCGAGAGCTGAGAACAATTAAACTCTTACATTCGCATCTCATGACATTCATTAGTTCTAAGTGACGACGTCTGCCCAACTAGGACCTGAGGCTGTCAATAGCGAGACAATTGTGATTATACTCCATTTTTTCCTGCTTTGGCTAGAATATCATCAATGGTCGTATCTTGGAATGTAAATCATCCCTGTTTTCTGTGTGCAGAATTGAGGAGACATGCGCATCTCTTCCTCCTGGGCAAAGGTCGTCTCAGCCAGGATAGGCTGTTATCAGATTGCAATGCCTGTGTAACTTATCTACCTTCATTCTCGGAAGTAAAGAAGTTCACCAGCAAGCGGAGGAAGTGCGAGCTTGTGCCTCAGCATCGAAAATTAAGTTCAGAGCCCTCGAAACCTAAGGTCTGCAATCGGCAAGGAATCCTTCATGCTAATGTCCTTTGAATTCTGCTTTCTCGTGGCTTCACCTCTGCTCAAGGCTGTCTGTTCTTAGAAAGTCTGATCGTTAAGCGTTTCCTGCCGAATGAAAGTTCAGGTTTGAGAAACTCTTCCAAAATGCATTGTGAGCAGTAAGGCTGGTCAAAGGGCTTCATTGTCTCGCTACAATGGAGGTGGCTTGTACTTCTAAAGAACAGAGATACAAATTCTCTTGAAAACGCAGATTGTGAGTTCAAACTTTGACAATTTCTCAATGTCTGGATTTTACAGCTGCTGCCAGTCTGTTCCTCAAACTGATCTGACCTTGCTCAGTTTCACGAAAGTAGACAACTTTGGAATGGCTCTGCTGAGGTCTGTGGGAGTAATTCAGAGCCGCCCTGTATCTCTTGGAACTTCTGAACTGCCTGCATTGCCTCTCAATGCACAAATTGCATCGATCTCCGGCTCCTACTCATCTTGGAGAAAAGCAACATTCCGAAGTGCTCGCTTGAATGAAACTGCTCCTCGGTGGAAGGATACAAGACAGCTGGAACAACTACTGGATTACCGAAATAGGTCATCCACGTCAAGTACTAGACGAGCTGTAACGCCAGGGCTTGTCGTCAAGGCCTTACAAGGAGCAGGGCGATCTCCAAGAAGGTTGGTGGATGTCATAAGGGCCATCCCAAGACTTTCTAAGGCTTACTTCAAGAGCCCATTTCGGAGAGCTCTGTATGGAGGAATATCTCTACTTGGTGGATTTTATGTGGCACAGACAATTTCTCTATCTTTTGGTGCCCTAGGAGTCAACGATGTTATTGCAGCTGCCATGTGTGTGCTGTTTGCAGAATATGTGACACGGTACTATTACACTCGTGAGAAGGTTAGTTTCACCTTAGCTCTTTTGAACAATTTCAAGATGGGATTTACCTACGGCCTGTTCATTGATGCATTCAAGCTCGCAAGTTGACTGTGTCCCTATAAAATTCGCAGACGACGGCCAACACATTGTTGGAGCCGGAAATCCTGATGCAAATATGTGAGCCTTTCAAACCCTCGTGGTCGTGTATTCTCTTGTACAAACTCTTATTTTTCTCAAGGTATAAGCTCTCTGGGCTGCGTTATGTCGAATAGGTCAAGGTTTACGCGTGTGTGAGGCCTCCTGTGTTCATTTTATTTTCTTCCTTCAGTATCTGTGGTATCGACCAAGGCAATACACTTCCTTTACTCTCGATCAGAATCTTCTCGTCAATTCACGGGCGAGAATCATTTTCATATTATCTGTGTTGAAGGTCGAAATTCAAAGGCGCGAAAGGTTCGTAGTAGGTTAACTTTGAGCTATGCTCTGAAGGCAGACGCCTTATGGGTCTTGAAGAGACAATCTGGTGTGTGAGCGCTACCACCTAATGGATAATAAATTTGTCAGAGAAAGTTAATGGAAGGAAGGGTGTCGTACAGGCTCCGCTCTTTGCAAACAGAAATGGCCTCGATTTCTAAGTGATGGCTCGATGTAGTTCGACAGCTATTAGCTTGTCACGTTTTAGGACAGGATCAACTTTGTGCTTCCAGTAAATGAGGAAAACGTCGGCATTTTCTGAAATGTCTGCAACACATTGCGGTCATGTGCTCAGCGAAATAGTGAACTTTTCCATCTTAGAAAACCGAGGGATTCTCCATGGGATACTGGTGATGTTTTCCTCACTTGGTTTGTATTCTGTACGTCACTTACAGTTTACTGGATAGGCAACTTTGGTGAAATCTCTACGTGGACATCACTTCAGGTTAGCTACGTGATTTTCGTTCTGGACATGCAGCTGGGATCGATACACGGAACCTCTGTATTGACGTCGTCCTTGGGCAAGTTGAAATCGACTGATTTCACTTGTTCCAGAAACCAAAATTCTCCCAAGTCTTCATCGAATCAAGTACCTGGTTATTGGCATGTGCAGATGAAACTTAAATGAAGTCTCATATGGTCCGACCTCATTACAGTTGTAAATCCCCCTGACACTTCCTTACGATATGATGTACAGTACTCTGGTCGGGTGTCGGAGGAATGTACGCATGTAAGATGCAATCTAAGATAGGATATCATACATTTAATTTCAGGGGAGCAAATCTTAAGACAAAGTAGAAAGTGTTTTCCGACACAACTCGGTATCAATCCCAGTAAGTGATCCTCTGTGCAACACAACCTAATTCTGTGAGTTGCCTAAAAGGTAGGATCAGTAAGTGAACAATGTGTATATACCACCGCCGAGGCTCGGCATCTTTGACTGGTCAGGCAACGAGGTGGTAGAAACGTATTGAGAGCGACAATGTCATGCTTCCCATGGAGCTGGAAGGCCCGATTTTCTGTAGACTATACAGGTTTTGATCTAATTAAAAAAATATTGAATGGTTGACAAAATTTTCTTCCAAAACATAATCAATAGTCTAGCCTTTTGAACTGATCCGTAGCTCTGACCAGTTCCTTGATTATGCCCGATTCATACATGGAGTGTCCCGCATTTGGTACCACACGCAATTCGGCCTCTGGCCAAGAACGATGAAGGTCATAGGCGTTGCTGACAGGGCATACAAAATCGTACCGACCTTGGACGATCGTCCCCGGAATGTGCCTCATTTGAGCCACACCCTCAAGGAGTTGATTTTCTTTCAAAAACCCCTTGTTCACAACATAGTGGCACTCCAACCGTGCTTGAGCAACTGTCGACGATACAAATGTCGACGCAGTGGAAGGAGATGAATGCGGGGATGCTGCATTTTGGGAAGCAGTTGCTACTTTCTCCGATTGGGACTCCACCTCTGTGGCAAGGGGTACATACGCGTACTGCTTTCCATCCCAAGCCAGGACATTTGTTTGAGATGTGGAGAAGAAACTCAAACCCATCTCCCATCTCAACCACTCTTGAGCTGCAGATTGAGCTACGGTATAATCATCTGATGTCAGACGCTTGTAAAATGCTGATACCGCATCTTCACGTTCTGACTCGTCCAGAACAGTCATCAATTGACCCCAGGCGAATGGAAACAATAGATTCACACCCTGCTTGTACAGCCAGTCGAGCTCTTGCTGACGAAGCATGCAAACTCCTCGAAGAATCATGGCTGCCACAGCCTCGGGATGCTTTTGAGCATAAGCTAGAGCCAGTGTCACTCCCCACGACCCACCCATGACCATCCATTTCGTCACGCCCAGGTGCTCCCTGAGCTTCTCAATGTCTTCGACCAAATCCCATGTGGTGTTCCCTTCCAGACAACCTCGGGGTGTGGATTTTCCGCAGCCCCTTTGATCGAACAGAACGATTCTGTAATGTTGAGGATCGAAGAAACGAGCATGCCTCTCGGTGCAACCTGCCCCTGGGCCCCCGTGAAGAAACACCACCGGCTTGCCCTTGGGATTTCCATGAACTTCATAGTAGAGAGTATGCAGATCCGACACTTTCAAATCCCCTCTCTCATGGGCCTTGGAATTAGGGTACATCTCTCCCGTGGAGACGATCTTCTCCCGAGAACCCGAACTGCTCGATTCCGAACCTCCGCCATTGCCATCCTGTCGATAGCACCGGGGATTGCTATGAATCCTTTCGATTCGAAACCTCGAGCTCCCTTCCTGTGATCTGCCCTGCCTTAAAACCACAACATCACTCCCACCGGCAAATCGCTTCACCCCAATCTGCGAAGAACGAACTCTCTGCAGCAAGAAATTAGTTGTCTGGACGCAGGGACACGACAGACCATCTGTCGTGCAACGAGTAGCCATGGCAACACCTTTCCGGACCACAAATTTCGATTCACGTGAGTGGAATGCAAACTGCAGCACGGTGCGGGGGTCGAGAAATTTCTCGGCCGCCCATTCACGACGATCGACTGTCAGGCGAGGCTCCAACCTGGAGGATGCTGCAGCTCGTCGACTGCGACTCGACCGAATTGCGTCCGCCGCAGGTCACGGTGAGGGAGGGAGGGAGGGAGTCGCAATCCACAGAGATAAGCACAGTACAGTGATGATGTTTCGATGGTACCGTGGTGACCATGAACTTTTTGCGTGGCCACAAGCTCTCATGTCATTCTGCGAGAAAGAGACCATAAGTAACAAAGCAGCTCACAGTTTGCTACGTGAAAAATGGTGACACAATCTCAGGGGATGTCTAATTTCTCCTGGCAGTCAATTTGGTCTCCCAACATAATATTGTGGTGTTGATGTACAACACAAGCTCGCATGGGATTATTCATGTATTAGCATTAGAAATTTCCTTTGGATGGAACTCGGTTGCAGATATATTCATGGATCAGGGATTTCCAACTCGACAAACTATTGTAGAATTCTTGGTGTTTGAGCGTGTTGTTACGTTCGATATAAATGATTTAAATTTATTCTTGACTTTCCATTAGAATCCTTTGCTGCAGATATATTCACGAATCAAGGATTTCCGAATCACTACCTGTTGTAGACTTCTACTCGATGGGTGGAATATTAAATTGGACTTATTACATCGGTCTTGGATACTTTGGAGTCAGATTGTGGACATCCAAGGGTGTATGTGCTCTGCTTGTACTTCATTGCTAACATTGTTATTTATCAAAATCAATTTAACTTGTGAAGAGTACTGAATAGAATTTAGAAAAATATCCCTTCTTGACTTATAGTCAATTCGTAGACAAAAATGGAGTATCACTCTTGTCGAGAAATTCTAAAAATAGCATTTGACATGATGAGTGAGGGGAGGTTTGCTTAATTTCAGGTTCCTTGTCTTGAAAAGTATTTTGAATCACAAATTGTACTCTGATTGATATGTCACTTAAAAATGTTAAAGGTACAGTGAAGATAGATGACTAGTCGGCATCTAATGGAGGGACGAAAACCTGATGAGTTTACAACCATTGATAAGAACTTGAAGGATGTTAAAGTTGCGGTCACTAAATTTAATATCAAGTAAGGCTGAACACATTATGGACCAATTAATTTTTTACCAATTGTCTTGACATCGTGCAATCTTACTTTTAAGAACATTTTCCTAAACACTGGAAAGTAGACAAATACAATGTTTGGACTGTATACGAATTTTGACTATAAACGATGAAAGGTCGAGGATTTCGTCCACATGACAGGATGGTTGAAATAAACATCAAAGATTCGAAAGTGATCTACTTAGCAACATTTTAAGCTGGTCCATTGTGCCTCAAAAAGAGAAATTAGTGAGACAAATATAATGTTATATTCGTAGTATGGATTTCAAGGGTCATAGACAGTATATGAAGATGCAACAGGTTGGATTAGACAACTGGTTGCTACCACTAGAGCTTCTAGTTGGATGCATGATGATGTACTTGGAGCTGCTTGTGAACATTATTCTAAACCAGAATAGCGACTTTCTAAATTTCGATTGTCTATGACAACATGGAACAAATTCATTGCATTAATGACAAGAATGTGTGGAAGTCAAAACCTTAATATGGCCATAAAGTTTATGCATCGTATCTTTTACGATAGCAAAATCTTGGTACGAGTCATGCATTATCTCATACTATATAACTGTATTTTGATAACCGATATTATGAGATGGTTGATATAAAGTAGAAGTGAGAGAGAATAATGATGTAATATAAAATACCATTATCAAAGTATTTTATTATAGAAGACAAAACATTATTCCGCGTGAAAGGAATACGAAATATACATTTCTAAGAGGTATAAGACGTAAGAGATTCCCAAAAATCTTGGTCTATCTGTATCAATAAAAGGTGGTGAAACAATAAGGTGGGATATTTTTCTTGCCTCTAAGCACTGCATCAAGTACGATGGTTACGAATCCATGTGATCTTTAAACAATTAAGGTGTTACTACACATTGGTATCTTCATAAGTTGAGTTTTCTTCGGAAGAAACATATCATTGGAAATTAAAAAAGATACGAAAATACACTTGAATTGAATAATTGGATCTGAATTTACTCAAATTAGCTGTTATAAGTTCATTATATTAAAAAAATTAACCTATGTAAGTATTACCTCACCAAATAGCTATCCCCATTTGAGTAGAAATTATAATTTTCATATCTGACTTTATATTATAGGTCTTTCCAATACCCGAATAGCGTTAACTCCCTTCAGTAAAATCTATCTTTGAGATTCAGATTGGATTCACACACGGTACATTTGGATCCAGATGTGGTTAAAAGGAAGCTAAACTGAGTTTCGGAGCATATAACGATCATTGTTAGAGCTCAATCAGAATTAGTTTTAGCCACATGTTCTTCTTGGAACCAAACTGTAGAGGATATTTAAGTGAAACTTATTTACGACTTCCGAAACTTTATATCGCTTCAACAAATATACTGCAGCAAATTTGAAGTAGTACAGCAAGTGTCTCTCTTACATATACGAAGGCCTTTTTAATACCACTGATGTCATGCAGTAGTTTTTCTAAGAATAGATATTCCAATTAAAGTAGGGAAGCTTATTAAGATCAAACACAGGAAGACAGAATCCTTCTCCAAGACAAACTAGGGACAACATTTTAATTCCTCCATGTCCACGTCTAAATTTCTTGCTAGATTCTTTCAATAGGAGGTCCGTGTATGGCGCAAGGCTTCGCTCGGAGCCGATCCCTAAATGTCATTCGATCCAATAAGCACAAATCTAGAAGAAAGAAATTCAAAAAACGTGAACTTCTTCGTCTTATGGGGACTGTATGTTACAAGTTTTGGGACGACACTGAATTAAGTTATGTACAAAACCAAAAATATTGCACTACGTAACAATAACATATAATAGTATGGGATACGAAGTTGGATTGGAATTATAACCTCTTCTTCGTACCCATAGAAAGCAAAACCATAATCAATAGAAGAACTGGAAGACCTACCGAAGCCAAAGGATGATTCCTTCGCATATTCTCACTCGAATAAGTAGCGTACACCGATTCAAACAACTCGTACAAAACTCAAGAGCTTGAACTTGTAATGTGTTTGAGGTAAAACAAAAAGGTGGCCACATAGAGATAAAAAACCATGTGAAAAGCTGTCAAGCCCAAGGATCAATAAAATCAACGGAATCCAGAGGCTAGACCAATTTTAGTTTTTTGAGATTGTGTGTAGAGGTGCAAATACAGAGTTTAACTCACCGAATGTCAGGTATATGAATGGAGATTGATAGTATGTCTAACCCGGTAGATATTACCTCCGATGTATCAGGATCAGTACTGAAGCTACTATGCTGAGCTAGGTGACAGTAGTAGTAGTCATGTTATCAAGAAATATCCCATGGCCTATGTGGAAGGAAGCAATTGATGCAACGTCTATAGAATCTAAAGATGTCAGAAAGTCCACTACAACATTTGAATACTTCGATATAATTGATAAGTCAAAGGATGAAACTTTTTAAGCCTCCTGAATGAAAGATTTACAGTATTCAAAGTAAAGTCAAAACTGTACACCAAAATTCCGTGCCTGCTCTCACTTGAAATCGTGGCAGCTCAATTAAGACTCCAGATGGTGTCGTGGAGGTTTTGAGGGAAAAGCGATCGATTCTGAAGATTCATATCTATAACAAGTCATCGATCTCATTCAGAAGGGCGGTTCGCTGGGCTGAGTTTGTAGCTGTTGGTGAACACCCATGGGAGTTCAGAAATCCGAAGAATAGTTCTACGTGAGTTTCGATCGTAGCTGCTGAAGGAGAATCAGGTGACGCCATTTACTTTGCTGGTTTTTGGCCTACTCTGTCTCGTAGAAAGCTATGCATCTATGATGCTCAAATCTCTAGCGGTGATTTTTGTGAGTACTGGTCTAAGATGCACAATTGTCGAAGTCGAATTCGTTCTACTGGACCTCATTCAAATGTGTTATTTTCAGCATATGCTTCACATCTATGCTTCGATTTTCAAGATTAATTGTGTATCTCCGAGGAATAGGTATTCGCATTGTTGGATTCTGCTAAAAAGTTTGTAGACTTATTTTTTCCGAATTACAGTGGCTTGGAATGTGACGGCCGCTTTTTGAGAGTTCTTCCGGCTTCGGATAAATTACGAGGAGGCGTTTTGCATTTCTGTTCCAGAAAATTAGTTTGGAAAACATCGAAAAGTATTGGCTTCTGAGTCTTTCTAGAACCAGAAGCAAGTGGCGAGAAAGAAAACTGTCGATCGACCTCAGAAGAATTTGGGGGTTTAAAATAGCTGATCGGAAGACTTTGTTCTATGTGCAGATCGATCTCAAAACTCAAGATGGAAGATGGCATGGAATTCAGCATGCAGGAGAAGCGTATACCGCTACCTCCGGCTGAATTTCCTAGCTCTCCTCGCAAAGCCGAAAGATTTGTGAGCTCCTTCGACGGAGATATGGGCATCCAGGAAGTTTCTGTCAATGTACAGGAAAAGTGCATTCCGTTGCCTGAAGTTAAAGGTTCTGCCATTTCTGAGGACGGAGCTTTTAAAGCTCTTCCTAGTCTGTCCGCCTTCAGTGACTCTAAGATTGTGCCAGGCACCAGTGACGAGAAGTCTGATGCACCATGTGAGACTGGAGGAGGTGCAGATGCTGGTGCTAAAACATCAGTAGAATCTCTCACTTGTGAAACAGAAGTCGCCTCTCCTCGTCTGGTTCAGAGGTCCAAATCGAGATTGGGGCATGTAAAGCCCACGGATCCATATCACATCAAGGACCCAAGAAACAGTTTACCTAAAGATTGGACCTTGATATGAGACTCGAGGCTCCGGCCTCTTCTTTTGCTGGCACTAATAGAACTATAGATTTTATTTCGTGGGTTCTCATGTTCCCTTTCACATGCATGTATCACAATACACTTGTATGGATTATTTTTGCAGTCAATTGACGTGGGCCTTTGACAGTAGGATGGGAGGGCTTCCAAAAGCTCTCCTGAGTACGTCCAGGGCACTACGGGGAACTAAGTAACTGGTCAGCACTGGCAAAAAGCGACTGACATGGTCTGGCAGGCTCACTAGGTGCACAATGATTGACCTCGAAAGCTCTAGTGACCATTGCATGTTTGTATTCTTGTGCTTTTCTTCTGAAAAGTAGAAGATCAACCAAAACGTGTTTGTCTACCGTTATCATGTATTCGTGATACTCTGGCACTTGTTTGAGCCTAGAGGCTCTGAAATTTGCTGACTGGTGGAGATGATCACGATACGGACTTCGGAGATCCATGAACTAAGAGACACCTCGGCCCCTGTTAGAAAATCGCTTGCATGCCATTTTCTGTCAGCCATTTGACAAACCACGACCGCGAATCTGAAGAGATTTGCCTATGGTCCAGAGTTCCGGGATTTAGGATCTGAAAAGTCGGTCCATAGTGGGGAACACAGGCTCGATTTAGTATCTCCTCACATGGGGCCTGGTGTTACGCAGCGTGTGCGAACCCCTGAGATCCCATTTTCTCCCACTGCAGACACTTCGCGGGGCACTGCCGACATTCTTCGTAGAAGCAAAACGTTGAATGGCAGCGCAGAGTTGTGCCGGTGACATGAAATGTCACTGGCGCTGAACGGAGTGGCTTTAGGTTGGTCTGAAGACATATTTACCCCAGGTCAAGGATTCAATTTTTCTGGACCCAGCACCCTCTTGGGTGGAGAGTGCAACTCCATGACCATCTCAAGAGCCGGGTGCGCGAGAAGCTAGAGGGGTGAATTGTTTACTCTAGTCGTCAAGGAACGAGAGCTTTGCGCGTGCTCGGTCGTCACGAACTGTGGCACAGGTCTAGTAGGAAATGCTTGAAGCACTCTAAAATTTTATGTGCTAAGAATCGAATAGAAAAACACAATGTTTACGCACTGAGAGCACAGACAGATTCCGTCCTATCTGTGCAGGATCTGGATTCTCCGAAAATCCAACATGGCGAATTTGCCACTTCGTTCGGCAGGTTTGAGAATAGATAAACTGCAAGTGAGAAAAGTGCAAGCCCTTTATTTGGCAGATCCGAGAATAAAGACCGAAGTGCCAATTAATGTAGCAACAAGGATGGGTAAGATGGGTACTTGCAGTTCCGGATGACCCTTTTCCTGCTTAATCTTCATTGGGTTGTCAAATTATGAATAGAAAGGAAATAAAAAATAGAAAATTTCATCTGATGTTTCATTTTCCAGCTCCTCATCTCCAAGCTCAAAAATATGTTTGCACCATACCACGACACAGAATATTCTCCGAAAACGAGTCCGTTGCCCACCCATGACTCCCGACGACAGTGCTAAATAGCGGACGGAGTCATGGGCTGCAATAAGTAGTGAGGTCTGGCGAGTCTGCATTCTACCGGAACTATTAGCCACACACACGCAGGCCGAGTAAGAACCGATTGAGTGGCAGCAGCGACAAAAGCTCGCGAGGAGACTTTCCAGTTTCGTACGAGCACCTAACGAGCACATACGAATCTCGACGGCAGCGAGAGTTCCAACTTTTCGAGCCTCGTGGGCTGACCGCGACGTCCCTCGTACAGGCACACTCCTGTCCGGTCCTGTTGACCAAAGACCTCAGCACTACGTTTCTGATAATTCATTCTTAAGAACAAATTCTGCTCATTACGTTTAATCGTCATAGATCAAGCCTCTTGCTCCGGAGCAGCATTGGAGCCGGGGTGACCACCGAGACCCGTCCCGATGGAAGATCCCGATGGTATGGCCCCACATTGTGGCTCTCTCCATGGGGTGAGAATCCAATCACACGCAGAATCTTTAAGGCTGAAGTAACATAAAGAAACGTATAAGAATATAAAATATTCTCGATGTAGACGGACGAGTTGGTGATTTGTGAACTTGGCGACAGTTTGACCCCGAGTTTGGCCAATCCATCTGGCCTTGGGAGAGGAATGAGCTGAGACGAGGGCTGGAACAATGATCAGCACCAAACAGGCGAGAATCTTTCTGCTGCAGCTGTAACATCTGATTTCGTGAGAAGTGGGACCTGCTACAGAAGTGGCCCCGCCCCCACCCACCCACCCACAGCTTCTGGCAGCGAGCCTGAATCAATGGATGAGGTAGGGGGTCATCTGGCAGCAAAAGCGACCCCGCTCAAAGAACTCTCTGCAAGACTAATGACGAGCTGAATGAATTATTTTACAGTAAAGAGATTGTCAACCTTGCGTATATTCGTTGGGAACCTTATGGTGACCATGAGCTTTCTGCCAGCTATGGGCTGGATCACTCCCCTGCTACACGGCTGCTGCAGCCCTCGGGCGGGCGGACTGCAGCACAAATCGCGATTTCACAGCTCGATCAAAGTGGCTGCTTACACCTGTTATGGATCGTGTAGAACTTGGCACACCTTCTCCATTACAGAGGTTATAGTCGAAGGAGAACCTTACGGGCTTTCAATTCCAACCAGCTAAAGTCCTATATGAGCGATCAGAACTCGTTCATCTGCAGACCGGTACGCTGAGACAGCTCGAGGCAAGCAAAACGTCACGTACATCGGAAGCTGATCGATCGAAGGGAGACTGGAGGCGCATGCGAAATTTTGCTTGAGTGTTCGTCTGCAGCTACCGGTTTCCAGGGTGTGGAGGTGAAGTTCCCGATCTACCTACAACAGCTGACGTTTTACTAATAACACCTACTCTGTTTTCGTCGGGAGATGTACGTGTACTGTGATTGTCAAGAGAGCTTAACACATTCAACCACAAGCCCAGCAGCATAGAAGAGGCCATGAGCGCATGATTCAGGAAACGGAGATTCAGACTACAATGATCGAAAATCTTACATGTTTTGGGAGAAGATTACTTCTCAGGCAAGCTGAAATGATTCAGGGGTCAACCGCATCTTTCCATAGAAATAAATTCCTCGGATTTCTTGTGTGTCTCATGGTCACTCTGAGCTCTGCGTGGATGTACCATTACTTTTCATTTAATCATTCGGGTGTGGAAGTTCGTATTGTCCTGCATGTTTGTTTTATGCGTTTCCGGATGAAAAGCATGTCATGCTGGATGAGCAGTTTTCACTGAAAGTGACAGATACTCTTGACTGTGTGGCTCTTGACTCATACAAGATATAAGGAAAATAGTTTGACATTGCTTGGAAAAGGATTGCCCCGGTACAAGGAAGAACTGCTTAGAGGGGGATTGGGCGATCCGCATGCCTCAGTTCGTAAAATGCTCCTTTTTTAGCCGATTTCAAATGGCAAATGTCTGATAATCGGGAAAGCCTTTGATCAGTGCTTGATGTAAGCGATCATTGTGCAACAATACAGCTCTTGGTATTATCTGCTCCTCCTTGGACATGATTCGCCAGGCTCGAATTTTTTCAGTAACAGTTGTTAGACCTGAGTAGTTTTGTATTTTGTTGACAGCAATTTCCCTCTGGACTTTCACTCCTAGCCAAGATGATCTTTATTAGCAGTAGTTGACAAAGATTTCGAGGTCTGATCTCGGCCCTACCAATTGTACGCACAAGATTTCAGAGATCGTCTAAAATCTCCACTGACAATTCTGGACCTCTAATCATCAACCAGAGAGACCAGAGAGACCAGAGTTCACGACGATCGTTCCTGTTGAAGCTTTGTTTGGATTCATATTCGGAATTTATATTCTTTCTCCCTTATCCTAAGAAGGTCTACAAAGCATTTATATAGATGTTTATCGTGCACGTTTCATTAGATATTAACTCCAGCTTTGTGAGTCCAGATGTTAATGGCAGAAGAATCGACACCCGTGAAGTATTTTTTAGCAACGTAAGATTCTAAATGCTGCAAATTTAATTTTCTTCTCTTCTTCCGGTATGTTCCTTTTGGGTTTTTCCAGCTACTACCATGTATTGAAGTGCACCATAAACTCCTTCGATAAGTTTTGTTATTTTTAGCAATAAGGTACTGAAGAGATTTCATCGACCGCCATGCAGGTTATCGCAGACCATATGTGAAATAGAGTTACAAAACATATGCTGTTCTTTAAATACTTCTCCGTTTGCAGTCACAAAATGGTTGTTAGCAGAGGGGGAGCGAAAATATAGGCATGTTTGATATCTTGATTTTTATAACAGTAGTTTGGGATCTCCATGTGTAAATATCGAACAGTCTTTTCGCTCATATGTAACGTCAAAAGAATACTATGAAAGTAAACTTCCCTTTGAAGGAGTAAGATATATTGTAGAGATGGGGAATAGAGCTTATCCTTTTGCTGACAGTTTCCACATTGCTTGCTGCTTTTTTGCTTCACTCAATTTGAGTCTCCATTCACTCTGGTTTCTTTCACATAAATTGATGAAAAATGAGTATCGAGTTTTTCTTACCTCGAATAGGGCGATCAGTAATCTTCAATTGGCCTATAAACCAATTATTTGTGTTTTATATCAGCTTACCCGGAACTGCTTCGGTGGTCTTTTCGGACATCTAATTATTTACCGTGAAGGAGTGGACCTCTCGTCAACAAGAAGGACAAGAGGGCTGAGAGCCGTGATAATTATAGAACTGTCGGAAAGCTGCTCAAACTTCTACTCGCATGAGGGAAGTGTGTCACATTCTGGTGGCCACAGTTCTGAGCTGCTGTAACTTGTAGATCTGTTTTGCAGAACTTCGTGGTTTAAAATCCCTGCTTTTAGATGTATATGATATGACTGTGGATATATGCCACCGAAAATGAAGGGAGTCATATCCTTGTGATTCGTGCAGTTTAATACGTAATTCTTCGGGATTTGTCCAAGCCTATAGCACTTGATGATTTCAATTTGACCCAGAATATTTTCATAGAGTGAACGTATGGTAGTGAATGCCCCAAGAGTCTTTCTATAAGGGCATTTTCTCCGACGATAAGTTTATGTTTTCAATGATCTTATGGCATTCCCTCTCATTTGTATAGCTGGTACTCGATGACATCAATACTTTCATGTTAAGAGTTGTGGCAAATTGTACTGAGCACAAAATGAAAGATGTGCTGTTGTGGGACATTTGTGGATGTTGCAAGTGATATTCTAACTCATGTTCGAGAGCTCAGGATCTAATAAAGATGAGATCATGTTGGGTTACAGAGTACTCAGACATGGCGACCAAATGTGCGTATCGAAAATTGCCCTACATCATGATGCGAGGGGGCACATCGAGGGGCGCCTTCTTCCTCAAAGACCACCTCCCCTCACTCAAAGATAATCCGAGTGGACTGCGCGGAGTGCTTCTCAACGTAATGGGTACGATCCAATCCTCCGACACGAAATTTCATCTAAATAAGCCAGGAGACGAGCCAAAACTCCGCAACCTTGTGGACAGCAAACAGACTAATGGAATTGGGGGTGGGACTTCCATAACCAGCAAAGTCGCCATCTTATCACGATCTGATAAAGAGAACGTCGATATCGACTACCTGTTTGCACAAGTCAGTCCTGACGATGCCTGGGTGGACTTTGAGCCGTCCTGCGGTAACATCTTCTCGGCAGTAGGACAAGCTGCAATTGAGATGGGCCTTGTGAAGATCGACGCAACGAATACCAAAAAGACCAGCGACGATCGGTACACCACAGAAGTAAGGATTCGTGCTGTCAATAATAACAGTCTGGTGACGGCAGTGATAGAGACCGATCTGGGTAGCGGCGAGGTCATCTACGAGGGGTCAACATCTATTGCCGGAGTTAAAGGACCTGCAGCACAAGTGGTGCTGAACTTTACGAATATTGTGGGCACTAAAAGTGGAGGGAAGCTGCTTCCCACCGGGAAGGTCCGGAATGTATACAATGGAGTAGAGGTCACGTGTATTGACGTCGCCATGCCCATGGTGATCGCCAAAGCCAGTAGTTTCGGGAAGACCGGGTGTGAGAGCAAGGCGGACCTTGATAATGATAAAGAGTTTTTCCAGAAGCTTGAGGCCGTCAGACAGCTTGCCGGAAAGGACATGGGATTGGGAGATGTGACAGGTCGTGTGATACCGAAATTCGCCATCGTTGCTGCTCCCAGAGATGGTAATTCAGAAGATGATAAAAGAAATTTGACCGCTCGTTACTTCGTGCCTGCCAATACGCATTCAGCAATGGCTGTGACAGGAGCCATATGTGTAGCTTCGTGCAGCGTTTTGTACGGTTCCGTGGCACATGACTTGGCAACGCGGACGGTGGCGAAGGAGTATGACGAACCGAGGACGGAGAGGGAGTATTCGAGGAAGGACTATAAGGTTGTATTGGAGCACCCTTCCGGGACGATCATACTCAATGTAAATAGCACGTGTACCAAACCAGAAAAAAAGCAGGACAGTGAAGTTGAACACAGCCATGAGAAGGCCTGTGAAGTTCAAATGAATGTACTGAGCGCAGGCGTTGTTAGGACAGCTCGGCACATTGCTACTGGTTTCCTTCGAGTCCCGGAATACTGGTGGTCGACGGAGGAACATCCTGATACTCCGAAAGAAGGATCGGAGAATGGCAAGGAGAAGCTAGCCACAGTCGATGAAATTGCACTTCAGTTTAAGAAACTCTTTAGCCAATCTGCTCGATAAGTTCCCTCTTCTTTCTGATCTCGCGAAGATAGCACACGAAACCCAATTCCACCTAGAACTGAAACTTTGTTCTGAAAGTCCTTGTATTAATTTTTGCCGTGGAGAGTCTGATACTTATTATTACAGTGATTCCCTGCTTATAGGGAATAATAGTTATCAATATCCTAGTTATCTTCAATCTTTCCTCCAAAAGCTGTACAAAAACAAAATACCTCGGTGATGTAACCAGTATCATTACTGCGAATTTATTTGTACCAGTATTATGCCTTCAGACTGGTGTTGTATAGATCAGCCTTCGATGCCGGAGACCAAAGAATTGAAACAGAGCATTCTGATATGGATGTGAAGATTATCAAGATTATTTACTTCAGTAAGTGGAATCAGGTTTACTCCTTTTACTGCATCTATGGAATCAGGTTCAATCTAATGTTTATGATTATGAGGATTTTAATCTGAGAAGATTTATATAACTTGGGCTTGGATCTTCCCGTGACATGAGCTTTCTGGAGAGAATTACTTGATGGGACAATTCCCAGGGCAGTTCAGTACACCGTCAACGATGTTCTACTACTTGTAACTGCTTTGAGTCCGGGTTAAGAAAATCACTGCCGCTCTTTGTTGAAAAGTGACTTCTCCCCGAATTTCAATTATTCCCTAGTTTTGAACGAGTCACCTTTAGGGACTCAAAGCAGGGACTTTACTTCGACCTAGAGTTTTAGGGGAAAAAAAGTAGAGAATCTTAAGTAAATAACGCCCATACATTATAACTGTAAAATCATTGTCTGCTTGGAAATTGGAATTGCATGATGAAGATTGGCAGTCATGGGAGTTCTGACTAACTGAATTTCGGGGAGAATTTATTTTTTTCATTGAAGTGGAAACAAAGTAATTACAATAATTATAATGAGAACATAAGCGACGGTGAATTGAAGTGTCGTCCGAGGGGTCCATAGGGTATAATGGAACTTATTGGATACCATCAAGCATTTTGGGGTCTCATCAAGTAATTTTCTCGAGCTTTCTGTGACATAGATTTCGCACTTGCAAACGTTCACACCACAGCTTGCTGGAATAAGAGTAATATGGTTTTGGTTGAAAAGAGGGCCTTTCAAATTCTTCTATAAATTTTATTCTTGAAGAGTAAAATGCAGATGAATGCAGATTCACGAATGTTATCTGCTGATGTATCTGATCTCATTCTGTTTAACCCTTCAAGCCACATGTGGCAAAAGGAACGAAAAGCCATGGACTGACCCCCTCGTTTCCACTCCGTAGGAACCATGAGATCGCCCCCAAGGATGTCGAATAAGGCAGTTTTCGAACCAAAAGTTATTCGTGAGACTTATATAAATATTCTTGGAGTATTATTGGATTAGTCAATATTTTTTTCAAACAATCAACCCGCACACACTTCCTTTGCAAAGTACACTAACAAACCCAAGTACTATGCAACCAGTGGTAATATTACGAATTCAGGAATTTCCAACCCAGCTTGCTTTCAAAAAGTCATAATGGGTTTGATCGATACAACACCTTACAATTAGCCCGGAATCATGCTATTTTTATCTTTTTTGGTGCAGACACCAAAAAATCGTTGACACAAAGCGTGAGGTAGTGCTATACGTTTAGTAATTTCTCCTCCTGTTAAAATAAAAGAGCCCATTGAAAGTGAAGGATTCTATTTGTTTGAGACTTGTGACTGAAGAAAATTCAAGTTATAATCCTCTTTTTCATGTTAATGAAGATTTTGCCAACAAATACAACTTCATCTTGGTTGTCTTACAATCTTGGATCTTCACAAGCTATGGTTCGATGCAAATGTTGCTAGGTCTAGGAGCTGAGAAAAACCAAGAAGTGGAGCAACCAGACGTGAGGACATCATTCTTACATGAAGATTTAGAAATTTTGTATGGATGTAGCGTAGGGCTACTCCACATACAATGAAAAGTTTGCTTTCTCAAGAATTCTGTGTTCAAATTCCTCAACTTTGGAACAAGAATTTGGAAGAAGAGATTCAAGTTCATGTAGAAGAATCATGTAGTTCACAAGAGATTCAAGTTCTACATTCAAGAGATTCAACTTGAACAAGAATTTGGACACAGAATTCTGTGTTCAAATTCCTCAAAATTCTGTGTTCAAATTCAAGGTTTGAAACAAGGCCATGAAACTTGGTAACAAAAGCTTGATGCTGATTTGAGTATGTGATATTTCAAAAGGTATCACCTAACTTAAATGTCTACAACAAGGATTGCGAGTTGTAGATGTATTGCTATGTAGAAGTTCTAAATAGCACTATAAATGTGGATATTTTTCCTTGGCGGGGAGGAATGAGATTGGCGAAGAGTCTATTCTCTTAATTTTGCAGCCATTTTGAAATAAAAATACTTGGTCTAGTCAAATAGTTAGTATCCATCTAGATGAACAAGAATAAAAAAATAAAATGGATTTGGTTGAGAGTCTCACATACGTACACTATGAAGGATGTTAGAGTTGTTTCTACTCCATTGGAACATGGTTTTATTTTGAAGAAGGAGGTGGATGAATCGTCTATTTTGTAAAACATGTCCCAATCTACCTATCGAAGTGCCCGACGAATCACTCATGTTTGCTATGGTAACTGAGTAGCTCATTCAGTAGAAGCTAAGCCGGGTACACTAATTATCCAACCCCAGCACATTAAACCAGTACCAAAAAGGAATAAGTTACTTGAAAAACAGTACAGATATGTATTAGAAAACACAGAGTTTAAATTTCAACCTATTTCTTCTATTAAGCAATTTAGGGAAAAGCATTGGATACATTTGATACCCGAGTGGTTATAGTGGTTTTGTGTTTCCTTTCATTAGTGGTCCTTTCAGTTGGGGAAGCCAATGAGAATGTTAAATCAGAGTTCAGCACTGCAACTAAGTTCTTTGAAAAAGCTCAGATAATGAGGAGGCTGAAAAAGCTTCAGATCTTGCTCCAAAATGAATTGTATTCTTTAATCTTCCTCATACAAGGAATATCGATTTATGTTGAAGGTTTCTTAAAGAGAAAAACGTTCAAATTACTTTACTTTCCAACCGATGACATAACTTCAGATCTACTCTAGCACATCACCATAGCACTCTCAAAAGATCAGTCCGCTTGTGATTCCTTATTTAATGTGAGTGTTGAAAATAATTTCTAGGTCAAACCATATCACGAATTCAATAATATAATAATTGGATTGATGTTGATTTAGAAGGAGCAACTAATAATTTGATTCAGGGTTATTTTGTGGTTGAGGAATCACCTTCCAACATGTTTTAGGGTTGCAGATTAACGTCCCAAATTATTGTACTCAAGTAGTAAGACTACTATGAAAGTGAATTTCATGTTGCTTGTCATCATTAATTCATGTGCTCATTGCATCTGTGAGCTCTTGAGGTACTAAATTATGGGGGTGCTGTTAGAAATATACTTGAATTTAATTCGTAAGTTGATTCAAGGTAGTGAATGAAGAGAGAGAATACATTGAGAACTCTGACCTTAACAAAGTCGCGTAGAATCTACATAATTTTTATTCCATTCAAGCTGTGTAAAGGACAAAGGAGTCCACATTACCTTTAGTGGTGAAGGCGCATATATATCATGCCCACATCCTTAGGTACAAACATCACACTCATTTTTTAGATAACTATTTAGAGCTAAATTTTTTCTTTAAAAATCCCATATCATAATTCCACTGAAGGGTTAATTAATGAAAATATATACTAATTTTCCAGGTTTAGGATCTAATTTTGGACAAATAACATACTGATCATGAATTCTTTTCCTGGAGGGCTACTTTAGAACAGGAATACTAGGATTGAAACATTGATAATGGAGTTGCATCCAAGCATAGGACCCGCTGCATATCCTAAATCTTCTGAGGCTTTTGATCAGGGTACAACACCATTCTTCGTAGGAATTCTTTCTCTCTGCTAATCGTAGTCAACGATTGGAGCTGCCTCGGCACTTTTCCTACTCGTTTCCTGGAATTTTTGTCTGTAAGCAAACGGAAAAAAAAATTTGAAACGGAGGGAGTGTGTTGTGCAAAATAAGCAATCGGAAATTAGAGGACTGCGCACGGATTGTGCGATGGAAGAGCACAGAAGTTGCAGACTATGATCATAACTCGAAAAGCCAGAACATCTTGCACTGCCATCTGAATAAAAAGAAGATTATGTGGCGTTTGATTCTGTAGGCCTGCCGTCGCATTTACGCGTAAGATAATTTGAGAATATACGAAACAATTAGAATCACGGCTCATCAAAGTTGACAGAACATCTCATGCCATTAAACGTGAGTCGAATAAGACTTCCGAAGGAGAATGCGAATTGTAGGATTGCACTTTGTTCGAAAACACAGCGAAGTTCACACGAGGAAGAAAACCCTGTCATTGCTGCAAAGAATCGCAATTCTTCAATCCCTGCGGGTTGATCCCTCTATACTCCGAAGTTACTGATGCATACAGGATTCCAAGTTGCTTTTGCAAAAATTCAAATCTAGTCCGAAAGACTGACATAGATGAGACGTAAAATATCGAAATCTAAGCCATGCGCCTACAAAAACTGAACGTACCGTAAACAGAGGCAGAAGAAGCATAATATCAAAGGACACAATTGCATAGAATTCGTACTCTTAGTTATGCTCGTCGCCTTCCCACAGCACCGCTGGTCCCGTCATCGAACCCGCTCTCCTTGGAGGTCAAAACAAATTCTCACGCTGATCGGTGTACCCTAGAACTATGGACTCCTACAGAGCATTTTTCACCTGTGCCCATTAGAATAGCAAAGGCGTAATGTTACATAAATCAGTGCAGCCTGCCAACCGCTCCGTGTCTGCCATCATAGAAGGGGAGATCGATTGACGAAGAAATCTCGACGAACCGCTGAAGGCTTAGCTCTCGATGTCGAAGGGGTCTTTCTGTCGACATGTCTGATCTAGCTCACACCTCTCTGAAGTTACTGTGAAGCGAGAGACCGAAACATTGCTAAGCATTTCTAGCTACTGCGCAGTTTCTTTAATCGGTCACCACCGATTAAAGATTTAATTTGATCCTGTTTTCAATGAAACCTCTTTTTTTCCGAACAGTGCGCATACACAACGTGAAAATTGAGCACCAGATAAAATAGGGGAGACCACATCAAGTCCTGCATTAAAGTGACTGGGTCTAGGCTCAACATGAACATCGTGACTTTACTCTTTTGATTCTTCTCTTGGGTGTTCAATAAGAAGAGGGGTGGTTGCGATAATTTGTCCTAAATGCACCTCCTGATTTTCTACTTAAATCAAATTATTTACAACTTGAATTTTGTTTGTCATAAATGAACATAACAGTGTTTTCCTTACACGCACTGATAACAAGGAGAATGAACTTACGCTAATTAAGGAAAATCTGATATGTCATGAATATTTAAGATGTGAAGGTATACATGAATTCTGATATTTTCTTGATCTTTTCATACTGTATAATCTAACAGTCAATAATCACTTTTAAATTATAGGATATGAAAATGTCAATTTTGAATACAAATATGAAAGTTAACAATGCTTATGAAGTAATTCTTCCATAAATTATATTTATTTTATAAATTCAGGATCAGAGTACTACATTTCAAGAATTGACAGCGTGCAAGAAAGAGTTTTATAACTCTAGTTATAATCCAATAAACACTTTTTTAGAGAAAGTACATATTCTAGAAGTTTTATTTAAAACCCATACATATTAGATCATAAAATTGACATCTGATAAAATATAAAGTTGTGGGCTAGATTATTACCTGTTGGTAGTTGCTATTTCCACTTCAATTTTTCAAGTTTTAACACAAATTTGAACTTGTACATCAACATTTCAAAATCGAATTACAATATGAATCTGAAATCTATAGATTAAATGTTGAATTCTACTTATTATAAATATTTTGAAAGCTGATAAAAGAATTGAATTGGGCAAGGATACATTCCTATTTCATATTGCCCTTATTCATCGTATCAGTTAACCTTCACATTGAACAGATAATTACTTAGTCAATAACAGATTGTTTAATGAAGATATATAATGAAAGAAAATATATCTTTCATTTGTTTCTTAAATATATTTCATATTTCATCAGATCCGAAAGATACATCTCGTAGCGTTACGAAAATAGTGATTCTACAAACTTGTATTCTCTGGTGGCCTATTATAGGTGATAAACGAATCTAACCTAAATTATATTTGTGGTATTGAAGGTTGCGTATATTACATATGACATATCTCATTAACAGACATCTCATCCTTGTCACAACCCAACCACGCAAGAGCATACCATACCAAGCTCTAGGGGTTATCATTACTTCGATAATTGTAGAGATTATTTTAGTGAAGATGTATCCATCTCTCCACTTAGAGCCCTCGTAGTTCCAACCCATGAAGTTTGGATCCTAGGTTACACCCGTTTGAACTTGCTAATTTTGACATTGAAAAGGTAAAGGAAAGGTATTTCCTTGTAATCCCACAGGTTCCATCGATGTGGGGTCTTCCATATTTTTTTAAATTTCTTATTTGTACTTAAAATGCAAAGTGGTGACCTTCCACATAGGTCGTCCAGGTCAATGTACCCTTCAGTTTATAAAATATAGTAAAGCTAGAGTACGGGATAACTAGGGCAGGTAGAATATCTAGTTACTGACATGTTGTGTACGAAGAGTAGCGTCAGGTGTGTACGATATAATAATATGATTTGATCAGTATGCCATCATGCAGATCAGCCCGAGCCAAGACTGTCTTAAAGATGTATATGATTATCAGTAACCTACTTTTTTTCCCCAGTTCAAAATCTGACCTGTGGGTGGTTCTGTGACCTTTAGAAAAGATAGGAATGATGGCACACGAGTTTTCATGACTTCTGGATTTTTAATTGTACAATACCATTTGAATTGGGAGCAACAAGCATCGGAACTCCGTATTTTACAACGATGAAGATCCAGGGTGGGAGAATATTTCTTAATGGTATAGAAAAGGTATCCTCCTTTTTTTCCTTGTTTGTATAGCGGTCCTTGCAATTTGTGGCTTGAGCTTTGTTTGCTAGATGTTTTCATAGTTCATTCTCATTCCTTCATCCATCAGTTTCCCCGTATGTTTCATAACTCTGAATACATTGTTCTCGACTGGAGAGCACTCGTAGCAGATTTGAAGTACTGTGCTGCTTTTTGTGCTCTCAGAAGTGAATGTTCATCCAATATACTTATTCAAAATACTTCCGTTAATAAAATTGGTGAAAGAGGGATGCGAGTTCTGTCTTCGAGCTTGGGAAAATAAGATTATCATCTTGGCTGCGTTCCCTTTGGTCCATGACTGTGCGAAAGTAGACAAGCCTAAATTCTGTGCTAAATACTCTATGCTTGCATAATTCCTCCTTATCCAAAACTCAGGTTTCTGATTATTTCGTTGACTCAGTACCCCTTTATTCTTTGGTAGTGAATAGGAGGTGCTTCAAGGGGAAACACTGTTTCATTTCATCTCTTTCGTGCACTACTTCTTAACCTATAAATGGAAATTCGGTACAATGAAATTTAATCCAATTGGAGGATGAAATAGAAAGATGACGAAAAACATTTCCGGTTATTCTGTTTTGAAGCTATCTGGCGAACGTAAGTTTTCATTTTGATTTTGTTTGAACCTCAATATAACTGAACAAGCACATGTGAGCAACAACAAAGATCTGTTACAATCGTCCAGCTGTCGTACTTCGATCTCCCTCGGACAGCAGCAGCGGCACAAAAGCTTGACAAATCTGAAAGAACATTGCAACTAGTGGCAAAGATCTTTGCCACACTCCTCAAACGGTGGCGGATGTCATTCACAATTCTGTACTACGAGAAGCCCAAATCCACACTCTGACTACAGCAGTCAAGTTTGTACATACGAATTCTTTTTCTTGCTGGACCCTTTTGTTTCCAACTAGTTTTTTGTTCCAATTTTGATTTACAATTCCTCTCGTTCTCAACTTGGCATTGGAATAGACCTTTGTAGAGGGTCTTGAAGTTATTTGAAAGAAAAAAATTGTATCGCACAAGTTGGCTTAAATGTGTCTATCTTTTCCAAGTTAATTTTTGAACAATATTGATTTACAAGAAATGTTCAATAATCAACATATATGACATGGCCATGAGAAGCAATAGATTTTGGAGGCTTCAAAATGGGGACAATCTAATTGATCTTGGACCATGATCGAAACCAAACCATAGTAAGTAGAAAACCAATTGTTGGCTCAAAAGATGTAGAAGAAACCAACGAATCAGTAGCAGGAATGAAAACCAGACGGGACCAGTGCCCGACGCGAACAGGTTCCGAACTTCGATGTTTCCTACACCTCAGCACCGAGCAACCACTACTGTACTCATAGCGGGACCACCAACCCGTCCAGAGTCTGCAACAAGACGAGACAAGTTCCAGAACGTGGGCCCAGCGGCGGGACTATTCTGAACTCTGATGGAAATTACAGTGTGCATTCAATTAGGGCAGTTACTTGTAAGCAGTGTCTTATAGTATTTTATGCTGATTTAGTACGTAGCCCTCGCCGTCTGTCCGCCATCAAACAATACTGCTTGTCAGTAATACGTGGTCTTCTGATCATCGGAAACATTGTTGTCGACCTTGCTTGAATATGCCTCAGACGAAGAAGACATGTAGAAGATTTCCGTAGTGCTGATTACCGTAATGTTGATTACTGGAGAAGTGCCTAGTGGAGATGTCATGGTCGCAGATGCTGGTCAGTAACTTGGCGCAGACAGGGTAATGTTTGATGTTTCACGTGCCCTTCACGCACCGTTTTTGAGCTGTAACCAGAGGAATCAGACTCTTGGGCCAGCTTTGTACAAGTTGGTCGGAGCTCACAAACTCGTCGGCACGAATTCGCTAAGCTTCCTGCCGCCATGATTCTTGTCTCGACTCTAGATTCTCGAGGGGAGATAAGTTGATGGGAGCTCAAGTGGCTTTCGCACTTTGTTGCAGTTGGATCGTCCCTGTCTGCCCGGCAGTACCATTCTGGAATTTGAAACGATATACACTGCAGTATTTTCCTTATTGTGACATGAGCGGAGTTGGTGCGAGTGCGAGTGCGCATCACATGAGTACAACTTCTCCACTGTCCTTTCCGATGCTGTGAAAGTGTGAGTCTCAAGGAAAGCGATAGGGTCATATCTCAAACTCTCCATGCGGTTTGACGAAATTCGATTCAGTTGTTGTCATGCATTGCCTGCTCGAACCGACGGCTTCCTTTATGCAGCAGAGCCTGCTCTTCCGGATGTCTCGCAGTTGCTAGAGTCGAGAATTCCTCAGAGCATGGATTGTCCTGCAGGATAATCAACCGGGATGCACTTCTATATCTGAAAACCTCCCTAAGTGGAGGGTTGGAGTCAAAATTCGAGCAGTGCTGCATCTGTGCAGTATGGAGCTGGTAGGAGCGTTTCTGATAGAGTGGATGACTCTGTCCACTCTCCTGATCCCCGTCATTCTCATCAGCTTAATCGTGTTTTCGACATTTAGAAAGTTCAATCCCGCCTGCGGTGGTACCACCAGAGAGCTACCCCCGCGGCCTTTCACAGCGTATCCCATCGTGGGAAGTCTTCTTCAGCTGATGTTCGCTGACAAAGCTCCTCACAGGTTCGTCGAGGATCTCTTGGTCAAGTATGGTCCCATCATTTTGATCAAAGTTGGACATCGCAGGCAGGTCTTCGTCGGCAGCTCTGAACTATCAAGGGAGTGTCTGGAAGCTCACGATGCAATTTTCGCTTCCAGGCCAAAGAGGGCTTCTAGTAGATACCTCTCATTCGGCAATGATGATCTTGGTGAGTCATAAAACCCCACACTTCATATCCTGCAGTTGGTATCGTACGCCGTCACTTACTATCCACTAGGCTCATCCATTATGAGAAGGCCGAGTACAAATCGTTGCATTCCGCGGCAATGTAGCATGTTTATAGAACTCCTCGAATTATTACGCATGTAGACCTGCTGTGCAATGGTGTTAGGTGGTTTTTCGGGCTCCGATTCTGTCTACTGAACGATCGTGTATCAGCGTCAAAGAAATTAGTGGAGGTGTCACACGGACTCTGTTCGTTTGTTGAGGGACGTTCAAGTGGCAAGCAAACATTAGCTTTAGGAATGCTTCGAAGCCACGTGGTTAGCATGTTGAAGGATCACCAGTTAGTCTGTACCGAAGGCAAGCGCCACTGATCGGGACAGATGCAGCCTTATTTCTGTGGAGGTTTGAGGCATGATAAGTCAGAGAAGCCTTGATTGCAGCTTGTCTGAGACAAACTATGCCGAGCTAATTTGTTTTCGGTGTTCATGTGGTTTCCGCAGCAAATGTAGCGTACGGAGATCAATGGCTATTTTTGCGGAGAATCTACACTGACGAACTGCTATCTCCTAAGAAGGGCCCGCTGTTCGCGAAAATTAGATCCGAGGAGCTGTCCCTCTTCGTTCGGAGCATAATGAAGCAGCAGAGGGGCAATAATCCTATCTATGTCAATCTGCGCAAAAGGATCGTGGAAATCACTCTGAACATCATCACCATGATGGTGATGAGTGCCCGGAGCTTTCCTTATGCTGACATCAATGTAACCAATAAGGCTTTTGGAAGAGTCTACAGTGAACGGGAGATCGATGAAATGCGCACACGAGGCCCAGACTGGAGAGAGTACAGCTCTCAATTGACGACGCTCTTCACCACTCCTCTGATGGAGGATACCATTCCTGTACTAGGATTCGTAGACTCGCTGAGTGGCAAGAGACATAAGATGAAGAGAGCGAAGAGGCGTCTTGTGGAGCTGTACAAAGAGGTCATCGAAAATCACAAACAGAAGAGGGAGAAGCACCCGGCCACCGAGACCGACTTCAACTTTCTGGACACTTTGCTGGCCATGCCCGGACCCAACGACGAGCCCAATCTCTCGGAAGATACAATCATGGGCCTCCTTCAAGTAAGTGTCACCACCTCTGTCAGTTTTGCGATTGCAGCTCTTGAATATGTACTATCTTCTACCCTGAGATTTCATCGATCGATGAATATGTTCTATCTTCTATTCCGACTCCGGAATTCCGACGCAACCACCCAAGGAATCCTCAGATGTGCATCTTGCGACTATCGGCTTGATTTTTCTGCGCACTGGTCGTTTCCTGAATGTACTTCTGAACTCTTCCATGCTTCCGAGAATAAGCTTCATGAGCAGCTCTCTGGTTGAAAATGTTCTAAACAAGCCTGAGTCAAACATTCCAGTAGATAGGATCGGAAGTGTCATCTGGTTACAGATATATTTCCTCGAGTGTAGGGCCTGTGGGCCAGCTATGTCGTTGCGTCATGAGTAGCCGGCATTCCTTGCAGTTGCCCGAGCGAGTGTGACATTAATGAACCACAGTAACTTTCAAATTCTCGTCGTCCTCAAATCGAGGATTCCGAGGAGTTTATCATTTTGTCGTTTCTCGGATAGACGAAACTAGAGTCGTCTCCGTTCCGCAAACGAGGCTGGGCCGTGCTCTTGCTCCACGTGGGAAGTGTGCAGCATCTTCGGTGCAGAATTTTGACTGCGCCTCTTGCTCCCATCCAGGAATCATGCCCTCAGACTCTAGTCTCAGACCTTGTAGGCGCTAGTCCCACAGCGAGCACTCCACGCCGCCTATTCCGGTCGTCGGGAGGTTGTTCGCGGGCAACTTGCTCCTGATTTGCAGGAGGGGCATGCCGAGAATCGCTCTCGGGACCCTTTGCACCGTAAGCCAAAATTCGTACGACTGGATCAAATGCTCCGGACTCAAGAAGCATGGTTTTCAGAGATCTGACCGTAGACTAGCTCACGCACGGAAAGTTAAAGCTTTGATCCATCTTTCCCCGTCAAATCGCCGGATGCTGCTTTTCTCCTAGTTTCCTCAAGCGCTCAGCACACAGTACACCATAAAGGCCGCGAATAGCCTGCGAATTTTGCACTCGTCTTACATCCTGAACGAGAATTGTTAGAACTAGAAACATTTCCTTGACAAGTGTACCACATTGGTGATACTATGGATAATCATTCTCACCATGGAGGGTGCTTAGTACCTCTATGGGTAGGTTTTACTGTGCTGTGTTTACTGGATTATATTGTCTCTGACTCAGTAGAACAGGGGGCCAAGTAAGTAATTTGCAAAGAGGAAGGGAAGACCGTATCAATCTGTGGGAGGATGATAGGGTAATCAGGGCCAGCACCAAGAGTATTATAATGATAGGAGTATGATATAGAAAATGGGAATATATCCGAAGTATGTAGGTCTGGATTGGGGCATGAAGTCCGTCTGGGCATGAAGCAATAGTCAGTGCATGAACTCGAAGTTCATGCACGATCAAGATTGTTCCCTCTCTACTAACAATCGATCAACAGCGGAACGAATGGGTCTATAGATCAATATGAAAACTCCACGACCTGTGGAACATATTTGAGAATGATTCGAGAGCGGAAAACGCTGCATTGCCTTGTGATCATCACTCTCAAATCCGCCTCTGGAGTTGAGAACATGTACGTGTCCGACTCAAAGGACACTGAGGATCAATCTTTGCCTACTGCTTCTTGATTCCCGCACCCCTAGAAGATACAGAGTCCAAAAGTGAAGCTAAAAGCGAAAAGGTCTACTGGCTAATATTGCGGTGTTTGCGGACCATAACGAGATGCGAAGTCGCAACCAAAGCAAGAATCATATCACAAGACCAACTGCCTTCACTTGCCTTCGTGGCTTACTATGTTTCAATGTCTTTTACCCCTAACAGTTCGATAAAATTGCACTAAAATCAGTGAGAAATCTGGACGAGTAATCTCAGGTCAGGGATCTTCTATTTATCCACAAAGGTGCAGCTTCCTGTAACCTAATACCTTCTGAAATATCTGTAATATTTGACAAGAGAGATATAGTCAAGTAGGTATTTATCGGAACTTAAAACTTTATAATAACAGCCATGCATACCGATAGAGATGATTTCCATGTGCAATACATTTCTTCTCTGACGTCAATTTCCCAGCCCAGTCTCTTCTCAGACAGTGTCATCTTTTGATTTACTCTATGCGATGGTGGTCATCTCTCCCTAAATTTGCGCAGTAGGTTGTTACCTTGCTGCATGTGCGATAAGTCACGAGTAAGCTCAAAGTGATTTCTTCCTCAATTGCTTTGGTCCCAAGGCACAGAAGAAGATGTGTATCGAATTTTTCCCGATATTTGTGACGGTTGATTACGATTATAACATGTCTGCTGTGTCTAGCACCCATGTGGCAATGTTGATGGCCACGTGGATTAGGAACTACTTTATAGGCAATGTAGCAGGTGATTGTTGATGTTCACAACACGCAAATCGAGTGCCAAAGGACTGTCACTTCCTGGCGCTTTTCAAGTTATATCTACATTGTCCAGCGTTAAGTTCTTTTCAGAGCTTCGGTAACTGGTTCAAAACCCCCAGCAGGTATGTTCTACGAAAATTAAACGCGAGATTGCTTCAGAATGTAGGAAACCGCAAACAAGCGTCACTCCCATCTGCTCTCCCCAATTTGTTCACAACTTTGGATTAAAGAGGGGAGAAGTTGACCTCAGCACTCCCAAATGCCAAAACACCTTTCTGGAGATGCGGGGTATCGATCCCCGTGCCTCTCGCATGCTAAGCGAGCGCTCTACCATCTGAGCTACATCCCCTTGTGTCAAGAGAGTCGTTTATTACTTACAAACTTAAATCTTTAATTTTTCCGGACAAGTCCCTTTTCTTCGTCGTCTGCATCAGCACCAGGTTTGCTAGTCATGAAACCTGAATTGGGTGTTCCCGATTCGACACCCAAAGCAGCAGCTGGAAATGCGGTGTACGAGCATCGGGCATCGCAGCAAACCCAACAATACAACCTGTCTCTCTCCTAATTTTCTGTATATAATCCCCAGAGAAGCCGCGCCTATCATATTTCTGTAACAGAAATAAACATGAAGGTTCTGAAAGGCGTTCTGAAGTGATAGGATCTCCAGAAACCACTGCTCTGTATGAAATCTAGAGTTTTCAAGAGGTGCATAGAGTGAATATGCGCAGAATCGGTGCCCGTAGCTCTCACATGCTAAGCGAGCCCTCAATCATGTGAGATGCAATCTCCCTTGCCGTACCGCACCACTTGGGCTATATACCAATATAATCTCGTTTCTCTTTAAGGACTGATGCAGCTTGCTCAAGTAAATTTCTTTTGCTGCGCTTTCTCACAAGAGTTTTTCTAGTCGGTGTGATTCACGGCACATAAATTTAAGTCGAATTTACCTTTAAGTGGTGTTCATAGTACAGAAGTGTACTAAAAGCGATATCACCAATGAGAGGTATAATCCATTTCTGTGAGCAGGGGAGTGGAGGCTTATGCAGTGTAGATTACGAAGCATTGTAAGATTACGTGGTATATGAGTTCTGCGGCAGTAGTTCAGAATAGCTCTTTTTGAGGCTTGCAAGGATGAGACTCGCAGCAAGCAAGCTTCAGGTAAATAGGACTCGGTCCTCCGAATTTCTGTTCAGGAAGCAGACATTCTACCCACTGAGTTATAGTCACCCACGGGACTCAAAAGCTTGTTCACTTCTTAAAGTTCTAGCATATCAAATTGTGTCCTGGGAAATCCTGTCCTGTATTCCTGGAGAAAGCTGCAGGACATGAAACCTTCACTGGGTTAAGTTTACTCTGAAGGTGTTGATACTCACTCTCGGAATACACGTGTTCCAATTGCATCTGCTTTGTATGACCATAGAAGCTTTCTCTGAATTAACGTTGACCGATATCTCCCTCTGGTGTAATTTAACTTTGCTGGTTTTCATATAAACACATGAAGGAATCATTCAATTCTGCTTTCATGATTCCTTAACGTGTTTTATATAATGTATGTTTTAGTCGTAAGCCCATCTCCGACCAAGAAATAAGATTGATGCAACTTGACAAGCCGGTCATACACGAGCAGTGCCCTCGAGATGTTATTTCGTATCAAATGATGTCTTGAGCTTCTCAAGACAAGGATTGACGAATGATTGATATTGAATTCTCGGGCAGCTGAATGATGCAGCGAGATGTCCAGTAGGGTAAACTTCACGCAGGATGGTTCTGATTTATCTCCACCAGGAAAGTGTAGCGTCGTAGGCCAGCACATGGGTATTGCGCACCCGGGACAGACCAGAGATTGCTATAATCTGACTACTACTGGTCTTCAACCAGAAGTGCTACGAGCATGCTTTCATGTTCCAAGCTATGTCTTGGTTTCTTCCAAGTTAAGTAGACGTCTGAAATTTGTTGAGAGACCTGTTGGGTATCGACTCCCATGCCTCTGACAAGCCCAGCGAGCGATGTACGAGGTGAACTACATCTATGGAGACTGGAAAAATCTTAGTTAAATATTCCTGCATGAATTCCATCATATGGAGTAGCCCAGCCGTGATCCTCCTTTAAGATATCTTAACCCAAGACACTCAAGGGAGATGTGATGTCTATCCCCATGCCTTCGTGATTTTGCGCGAGCGTTACACCATCTGAGGGTTTTGCTTTCGTTTTTTGTTTCTAAAATGAAGAAGTTTTAGATCATCAGATGAATGAATGAGAGCGCGGCTTGAATCTAGCACGCACTAAGTGGAAGGTATGCTTTGTGCAGTCAACCGTCGCAACAGGTTCTCTGAGCACATCGGCGACAATAGAGTGGGCCTTGGCCCACTTGCTCAAATACCCGCACTGCATGAAGAGATGCTACGAGGAAATGGACACGGTTGTCGGGCGTCGGAGGTGCGTGGAGGAGGCCGACATTCCAAACTTGCCGTATCTCAGAGCTGTTGTCAAGGAGACTTTCAGATTGACTCCTACGGGCCCCTTACTTCTTCCCCACTTCACCACATCTGACTGCAAGGTACTTCATTTCATTGTTGTACGCCTCGCCTCTCCTTCAAATCTCACCCCAATGTTTGCACAGTTTTTTGTTACAGAACTGTCAAATCTATTTTCACTAGAGCTTTGACATAATGTCATAATGTCATAATGTCGATCACTTACCGGCCGAAGTCTTTCTACATCTCCTCGCTAGTCAGTCGTACATTCTTCTTCGAGGACGGACTGTCTGAATCATGAAAAATGAATGGACGGGAAGAAATTGGCGTCGTCAGTCGTGCAGAGTCTCAGAGTTACATGAGTTGCAATGAGATGTTGATTGACCAAGTTTCTCGTGTGCATGTTGCAGATCGGAGAGTATGACATCCCAGCCAAAACAGCGGTTTCCTTTCATGTGTGGGCCATAGGAAGAAACGCACTAACGACGCCGAATCCTCTGACCTTCGATCCGGAGAGGTTTCTCAACTCTCCTATCGACATCAGGGGTCAACACTTCGAGCTCTTCCCGTTCGGAGCTGGCAGAAGATGTTGCCCGGCCATCGATCTCAGTATGGCTATCGTGCAATTCACCCTCGCCCGCCTCATACAGAGCTTCACTTGGTCTCTCATCGGAGACATGACACCGGAGAAGCTGGACATGCGAGAAGTCTTTGGGATGATGATCACAAGACTCAAGCCCCTCGAAGCCAATGCCATTCCGAGGCTATCTCCTGACCTGTTTTGAAAACATGCGCGCTCCGCAAAAGGAAGCAAAATCATCGTTGAAATTGAAATTGAACCCCAAAAGCAGATTTACCAGCAGCGTTCGCTTCAAATCAGCATACCCCACGAGTATGCGTACACTCTAGCAGCATTAGCAGTAGTAGGATATGGACGATGTCTTAGAGCAGATGTCGAAGGTACTGGTCTTGGAACCAGAGGTGTTGGAGAATGTCGTGGAAGGCGGTGAAGACCGTGAATCATTGTTCAGTACGATGAGAAGAAAGGTCTTCAGTAAAGTGGAAGCATAAATCAAACATCTGTGTAAATTTTGACACCTTGCACCAACGCACATTGATGCGATTTAAGACCTTCCTCTGCAGCCGATGAGCGCATTTCTCGATGCACATCGCGTGCCTCCCTCCCTCCCTCCTCCACGAGACGCGCGACACGCACCACATCCCATAACGAAATCCCACCAGATTGCAGCCGAGCCGCAAAAGAGCCGGACGACGAAATTTCACCTCAGCCAGAGCAGCAGCAGCTAATCATCGACACCAGCCCGCCCGCAAGGACGACGAAGAAGCGAAGAAAGGGAAATCGAGGCCGAGCTTGCGCCATGACAACGCGGTGGCGACGTGGAGCCACGTGTGGGAAAGTCGTGTCTAAATCCGATGCAACTTTGGCAAGACGTGTCGCCCTAGCGACTAGAGCGCACATGAGCTTTGCATGGCATGGCCGCAGCCTGATCCACCACTTGTCCGTTCCCATTTAGGTGCCGGAGCACGGCGGTATAAAAGGGATATCCAGAGCTCGAGGCAGCACAGCTTTGACTGCGAAATCTACAAGATCCGCCGTTTTGTTGCGAGCGGGAAAGCCTTCTGTACAGCCCAGCCCCAGCAGCCCCAGCGTACGCCCTGCGTCGATGGTCTTATCTCCCTCCCTCCATCCCTCCATCCTCCCTCCATCGCTCGACTAACGGCCTCGCCCCGTGCCATTTGCACAAGCGAATCGCGAGGTCTGCCGATCCCCATCTGTCCTTGCACTTGTGGTCGGTAATGTTCGCTTCTTCTGGAGTTCACCGCGTTGTAAATCCGTCCACGAACGCGGAAGATCTGCCGGCGAATCGAACAGTGGGAATCGAAAGAAATCAAAAGAGTCTTCATCTTCTTCTTCTTCATCTTCCCTTCGTTCTTTCAGGCATTTGAAAACGACGGAGGGAGAAGTGCGAGAAATTGTGCGATTTGTGCAAGTGAAGAAGAGTTAAGTTATAGAATTGAGGATCGGAGTCTGATGATCTGAACTAGAGCTGAGTGAGTGAGATTAGTAGGAATTGAAATGGCTGAGAGTAATGGTGCGGCTGAAAGCGTGAGTGATTTGTCTGGTGCGGGAGAAATGCAGACAGGTCGAATTTCTTTCGGATTTGCCAAAGTCAAAGGTCCGAGGAAGGATCAGATTGAGGACTTTCATGTTGCACGTATGCACGAAATTGATGGTCAAGAAATTGGTTTGTTTGCTGTGATGGATGGACACGCAGGTCCTGACGTCGCTGAATATCTGACTGATAATTTGTTCGATGTGATAACTAGACATCCGAATTTTCTTAAAGACCCGAAGAATGCTATAATTGAGGCGTACCATGAAACTGACGAGAGGATTCTTGGCATGGGCAACACGAATATGAAATGGCGCGTAGGTTCGACGGCAACCACGGCCTTGCTGCTGGACAATGGACAGCATCTGATTGTGGCGAATGTCGGAGACTCTCGTGCTGTGCTCTCTCGGGGAGGTCTGGCAATCGATCTCTCGGTCGATCACGAGCCTCAAAAACCCGAGGAGCGACAAATGGTCGAATCGAAAGGAGGAACCGTCTCCCGGTCCATAGCGAGCGGAGTATACAGGGTAGATCATAGATTGGCAATGTCTCGAGCTTTCGGCGATTATGACCTGAAAAATCACCTCTCTGTGCATCCCGACATTTGGGACGAGCAGCTGACCGAGGACGATGAGTTCTTTGTTATCGCCAGTGATGGAGTGTGGCATGTCATGAGCAGTCAAGAGGTGGTGGACTATGTACGATCCACTCCCGGTGATGCAGAGGATGTTGCTCAAGCGGTGGTTGCCGCCGCAGTCGAGAGAAACAGCAAAGACGATATTGCGTGTCTCATTGTTTTTCTATGATTCTCAGGGAGGCTTGTTCACTTACCAATCTTTGGAGCAATCGGGCCTTTGTCCAACTGGGCTTCCCACCTTTTGAAATGTTAATACAGGATGTGTGTGACGGTTTATTTGACATATTCAGATGGGAGGATTGTTATCCATGATTTCATAGGGAAATGTTAAGGGTGCATCTCAGACCTTCGACATCCAGAAGAGACCAGACTTTGCGCCGCTGTTGGTTCGGCCGCCCACGGATGTCCGAGATTGACCGATGTGCTTTGCAAAGGCATGTGCGAGAATTGCTCAGGAACGCCATCGATGTTGGTTGATGGCTCTTCTGTCAACAGGTCAGGAGGCTTTGCGTCGAGGTGTGTTTCAACAGCTGGATTATGGAAGCATGCAACTTCGAGTTTCGACATCAGATCTTCGTGGTTATGAATGTCGAAAACCAGTTCGGTCGTTGGCCGTCATTTTAGGTCGTTGAGTAGGAAAGCAATATCAGGACGCACATCTGCTCATGATGTTCATGCTTCAAACTTGAGTAGTCGATGGCTGAATGATCCTCGACGATTTTGAGTTGAAAATTCGTCAGTTTCAGAGACATTGGGTGCCGATTTGGGACTGGTTATGCCTTCAGATACCTCAAATGACTTTTTGTACTAGATACTGTATGTCCGTGGAAACAGGATCGAAGCAAGATTCACACTAGGATGTCAATGAGATGTTAATCTAAGAGTTGAAGAGACACTCGGTACCTGTATTCTCCTCCTGAGAATAAATGTCAGTGAGTGTTCATGGCTCTTGGATTATCATGAACAGCTCTTTGCATCCTAGTTGGCCTTTCGTCTTCGAAGCTTGCAGATTGCGTCATTATCATCTGCTTCATCTTGAAGGATATGCTGACCCTAAGAGATGTGTTCAAGCTTTTCAAACTTTGAAAATTTGGAAGATTTTGTATCAATAAATGTGAATTTGACTTCAGGGTTAATGTGATGTGACTGGACTTCCCGTTTATTGGTGATAGATACAAAAGTCTCAATTCACACAGACCATGGGGTGCAGCTATTGATTGTTAGATATACATTCTGTTGCTTAGGAGGGTAAGAATAGTACTGAATCCGATGTGGTTTCGCTGTGATTTCAGTGTCCTGTGTTATTCTGATGGTATAAACCCTCAAGCTACAAGCCTCAGAGAATCCTTGGGTGTCATGATTTTTGTCACTAGTGCTTTGAAAATCTGATATGTGTACGTTTCACGTTATTCTGCTCAGGCACTGGATTTTCTCAGTTTTCTCTCCATATTTCTGTACAGATTAAAGATCCTACCAGTACTTGCACCAAGTATTTCATATCCAGTCATATACATTCAGTCGAGCTGTGACGGAACTTCGGGAATTTGAACTTAAAGTTTTCTTCCAGTCTGCAAAATGCTTCATTGCATCTTGATTTTCCCATGTCTCAAGTTCTCTGCAGTCTTCTGTAAAACTGGAGTTACCTTTTTAAACGTGTACAATAGTTTAAACTCTGTGTTATAAGAGAATGGCTGAAAACGGTTGGAAAACTGGTAGAAACGAGGGAACTGCACCATTTAGTAAGACCTTGGCGGACACGCTTCAGGTGAGACTCCACATTCATTCATCAATATTTGCTTTCTTATGGAAAAAGATAGATTTCAGGCACTTAGAGATTTCGGAGTATCTTGGTGGGTATTATTCAGGTAAAACTCTTAACTGACTCATCAGAAAATGGATATTCAAGGAATAAGAGAGAGTTTTCAGGCACTTAGCCCTGTTCATCCGTTATACAGCCCGTTTATACAGCTACACAGTAGTGAGTGCCTGAGGTTGTTTGAAAGCAATGAATTACAGGCAAATTAGATGGATGGGCTGCTCCTGTATTACCAGCCAGCAGACGTTCCTTTAATCCAGGGGTTTCTGTGACTGGACTGATGGGTCAGTGGATCAACAAATCTTCTTATTGTTGAATGTTTGTGCTTGCTCTCTGAGTACTGTGCGTAAGTATGAACAGCATCAATGTTATGTGTTCCATATTTGGGCGAGGCAGGATAATACTGATCAGCGATCGGACCTGCAAATTAGTTTTGATATTCCGTAATGTACCATTTAAGCCCACTTCCTTCAGCATAAGTCTAGCTTGAATTCTTAGCATCTAGCTCGGCATACATGGAGGAAGGCGATGATGCCAACTGAGAAAATGACTTACTCATTTGGAATTTGAAAGCTTGATTGTGCTACATTTTGTAATTTTCTGAGAATTCAGTTTTCGTTGTCTACATGTTAATTGGACCTATCCACTATTAAACCACTGATGTCACAAGTTGAGGGAATTGTGTAAGAAACTCCTTGTCTGTTAAACAATAAGTAATTTATTTAGTACATATACTATGTGTTCTTACCCTTCCAACTAGCAGAGAGACGTGAGCATTACTTTGTGGTTTGACAACCGCTTGCTCGAAGTATCTGCTTGTGAGGATCAAATTATCTCAAATCTCATAGTATGAAATTGTGTGATGCTATGTAGTGTTAGCGGAATCTAATAGATGATTTGGAAGACAGTAGTAACCTCTCTGAGTTGTCATCACACGTACATGGTTCAATCAATCGTTTTTTCTGAACTCCCTGGAAGTTCTCCAACAGCTGCAGAAAGAAAAATAGTATATCTGACCAAATTTGAATAAATTTTTAACAAACAAATCAGGATCGTGAGACGGATGCTCCTTTTTTACTTGATTAGTGGTTCAATATACCAAAATATGCCCTCTCAAAATCTCGGAAGAGAAGTGCAGTGAGTTTGGATGTACTATGGTTTGTGCACTGCGTGTCGTTGTCATCAAACAGATATCAGTTAAAGCACTTGTGCGTTTCTAAGGAGGCATTTAGGGAAAGCATCATCACTGCATTTCATTGTCACCCCAAAATTTCCCTTGCCTTTTCTATCTAAGAAGGTCTTGCTACGGAAGCAACGCATTCAAGAGTGGTACGTAATTGTCAAGGTGAAACTTCATCCGCTGCACCACTCGATCAAGATGTAAACCGTTTACTTTTCCGCTCATACACGCCTCCTTGTTTTATCTTTTCCAATAATCTATCAGCGTATATACCAGAAGTCACAACTCAGATACCTCATAAATCAGGCATATTGGAATCAAACATGAATATAAATATCTCGGAGGTTTAGACTATTTGGAAACTTAAACTGTACTGACCACGAAAAAGCAATCAGCTCTCCAATACATATCTGCTATTAGAGGAGAGGACAAGTTCAACAGTGCGGTGAAAGCGAAGTTTTCGTTGTCACCTAAACGGTTGTATGTCACTGCAGCAAATTATTATTATCCTTCGTTGACAAACTGTGCCCATCTATCACCGACCCCACTGGATTGCGATGCATAATTGCGGAAAGTTATTATTGTCGCACATCAAACGTAAAAGATTCCATCCGTCAGAAACAGCGAATTTCAGCATATTATTATACTGTATTATTGTGTGTGTGTATCTCTCAAACTTCAAGGTTTTCTTCCCTTGTTTATTTCCGATTACCACAACCTACTTTGATGCGATGCTTTTTAGATATTTCTGATGCAACATAAATGCAGTGAATATTTTCAACACCCGTATCTCAGATTTTGAAAAATTATTGTACTTTCCTAAATATTTGAATTTTGGTTTTTGGCTTGAATGTTGAGCTTCTTTTGATTACCTGAAGAGTTTTCGTTGCCTTGATGTATTTTCCACATTACATCGCATCTTTCATGGCTAGAAAGGTTTTTTTTTTCAGAAGACAACTTCTTGTTTAAGAAATTACTATGTTTTTAAAAACACATATTTTCCCCTTGATGGAACGTATATGTTTTGTAGGTGTTAGATAATATTTCTGCAACAAAACTAGAGACAAAGGCCATTTATCGGCCATTTAAAAAAATATATATAATAGGAAAAATGTACTTAGTCTATCATAGAGATATTACATGCACATCGTGTATATCGGAACATTTTATGCCAAGAGAATATCCCCTCTAGAGGAGTTTCTTATGAATGTTGAAACATAATAAAGGAAAACAAAAACCAGAATCAAACATATTTTCTGAACATGCAACTTTTTGTAAAATTCAAAACTCAATTGAAAGCAAGATGAGAGTTTCTATTTCTATGATGTACACCCATAGTAACTCACAATAATCTAATGTGATGACTACAAATTGTTGGTACAACAAAAAAACTGACTTACTCGACGTGATGTCCGCCGTGACAACTGATGAGATGACCGCGCCTAAAGGGCGCATGCTATATTATCAATCATCCTTATTCTACATTTCACTCATTTCGATCCTTGACCTTTGCAAGCTAAACTTAAGAAGACATTATGTCTTCGTAAAGGTACAGTAAAATACCTTTTATATACCTCTAGTATGTCTTAGACATATTAAACATGGTGTATCATGCAAAACTCATGGCACCCCATTCAGATGAGAAACTTGGGCGCTCCATCGTGTATTTCCTCTAACATGCATAATTATAACACTCTTTACACTCCATGTTACATATGGAAGTTTGAACATAAAAAGGTCAACTTTTGAATCCTTTGGAATTCTCAGAAATGAAAAACCCTGTCAGGTAACTATCAAACTCTTGCAATTTAAAAACTAAAGTAACTTCCTACTTAATTCTGCACATTCTTCAACTAATACCGAGTAGACCATATCGGAGCAAGGAATTTCCAACCCATAAAGGTTTTGTGGAAAAGAATCAGTCAAAATCTTCATATTGTTAACAAAATTTAGTTTGACGGATGCGGGAGAGAGGTAAACTTGGTATGGTGGATTTCGAGGTAAATTGCACTTCAGCCAAAAGCTGTAAGGAAGAAAACGGCTGATGGAACTCTGCAGATTCAAGCAGGAGTATCACACTCTCAATGTCAGGAAGCATTTAGTAATACGATATGTGACAACGCATCAGAATGTTTTGACGAAGCTTTGGTTCTCACCGCCTCGGTGCATGAGAACAATAGACTGACAGTAGATCGACTCCTGGAGCCATACAATGCAAAGGAAGCACCGTCCTGTGATCAATAGACGGGGAATCGTCAGAAGGTCTGCGAGCAGTACCTCCAGCTCTTTTGGGGAAACTAACAGATAGAGATTAGAGGGAGAAGTCAAGACGAACGACGAAGTCAGGGTACAACACAATATTGGGGCGAGAATATGCATGGCAACCATGTAGTCTTCGCTTCTTTCAGAGAGGACCGAGTGTGGCGGCAGCTGAAATGTTTGCAAGTTACCAAAGCTCTTGCTTCCATGTATTCTCTTCTGAGTTTTCGTGTTTGTCGAAATGAAGAAGTCTTTAAAAAAATTTTATGCCCTAAACTTCCAGATGCAAGGTTTTGATATTTAGATTAACCTTCTTGTGATACAATCGTTTGTTTGCTCTTTGATCTTACTCTTTGATCATGCTCGGTGGTGATAAAATGAACCTTGTGTTCGTTGATTCACTCCTCGACCGCTAACCCTGCTGCACATCAAATCTAGCTTATATCCATCGATCCGTTCTCAAACATTATATAATCTTGTCAATGAAATTGCGTATTTTTTTGGCAGTGATCTCAATTTGTGCAATTTGTGCAAAGAAAGCTGAGATGAAGTCCATGAAGTCCATGGTAAATCGCGCGATTGAAAATAGACGGTAATTATCGAACAGATTTTAAGATACCGGACCATTACAAAACGTATTTTCTGTGGTAAGACTGTCCAGGAACATAAACCGTGCCAAAAGTAATGGGCGTATTCTCCTGAGAACCCTGCCGAATATTCATTGCTCACAGGGTTTCCGACCCCACTAGAGATAAACACAAAAAACTATTGCACTTTATTCAGCGTTGACCAATTTTTCAATTTAATCAAATGTAATGCTATAGTGCACACTAAATGAATTTGACATTCATCAATAACGGACATTTTTCAAGTAAATCACTTTCACTAAAATGTGCATTAAAAACACACAAATGAAGGGTTCAACCAACTTGATATTCGGTCAGGAGAGCACCTCGTGGATTCACGTCAAACGGAGTTCACTCCTAGCAGGTTGTCGCTTACCAGTAGTCGCTGTAGCATGACGTACTCCATAGACTCTAAAGACTGTACTCTTTTGGTGCAGATAACACTGAGATATATATACCTCCTCAACTTACATAACTTACTTGACTTCTGACGCATGGGTCAAGGTGATATGATTTTGTTTGCACGGATACCGGAAACCACATAAATTCATTATTATAACTGGTGACATCGTGCAAAATATTAGGCTTTTAGACCACCTTCCATTCGTTGTAACCTTGATTTAAGCAACTCTGAGTCGAAACTTTGAGCAGAGATTGTCTCCCGTTGGAGCTTAATCTGAAGCGACGTGAAACATTCGACAGAAACAAATAGGTTGTGGCACTTTGGATAGTCTGCTTATCTACACGCAACTTCAGGGTTGACTTCAATCTTGACTTGCGTCCGGAAGGATTCCATGAGCAGATCTGGCCTTAGGCTCACTGGGTCTTGATTGATCTCTAAACTGCAGCAGCCTCATATTTCTGGCAGGGACGTCTATGTGTAGAAACTTTGCATCGCAACAAGTTTGATTGGACATATTCCCGGGAACAAAACAATCTAAATCCTAAACAAAGTAGTAGCTAATCCAGTCAAGTATATATATGGCATACCCTCTAAATAGCATGCAGTCATGAATCAGATCTCACTAATAGAACAATTAAGAATATAAATAGGCCTACGTGATAGATTATTCTGCAAGTTAGTGCATCTACATCAGATCTTACCAACAACAACCAAGAAACAAATAAAATACTCATATATAATGAACCATTTTGCATATTCGTTAAGCCCTTATCTACGGATTTCGGGTTATAACCTCTCCCACCACTGCCAGAATGCCAAGAAAAAGAAGAGGTAGCATGTAAAATCAGCACGACTGTTACGAGATTCTAGGTGCACTGAATATTCTGCAAGTTTCACGTAGTACAAAAACCCTAAACGAAGAAGTACCTGTACCAATTAGGTTTACATTTCAGATTGTCTTGTAGAATCTCTGGACAGCATGGGAGCATAAATGAGACAATCAACAGACCAATAATCAAGCAGATTGCATGTTCGTTGTGCCTTTATCACCTCGTTGACGATCTAGATGAATCTAGAAGTCATGTAATCAACATGCAAGCAGCTTGTTCAAATTAATTTGAGAAGGGAAGGGAGTAAGCATACCGCAGTTGCGAATGGAGGGGCCAATCGGAGGAACCAAACGGTTGATCAAGAGAAGTGAGTAGAGCTCTTGATTCTTGAAATCTGTACATTGCAAAATAATTAGAATTAGTAGTTCTAATCTACTCACTAAACACTTTCTTTACCAGGAACGCATCACTGCTCTAAAACCAGAACTTAAGCAGAAAAGATCCAAGAGACGCTTCTTGCCAAATGCACGGATTGCATAGCGTAAGTATAACAGTCAGTACATCGACCTTAAGTTTGAAGCAAAACAACAAGATCCAAACAAGAAAGTTCCATGTTCAAGAGCTGCACATTGATAACCGATCTAGAGAAAGTGAACATGGAGCCATAGCGTAAGTTTACAGAGACTACAACAAATTGGATCAAGTTTTTAACAAGCAAGTATTATAGTTTCCGATGAGATATGACGTCGTAACCGATTGCCTCAAAAACCAAGTAAATGATCAACCGCATGGACTTGGTGAGTGCCGAATAATAAGCGAAATATCTCAAGGCCTTGGCGGTCCCAACCATTGGTGCTAGCTTAATGATTTTGGACGGAAAGAAGCATGAATACAATACCAAAGAACCAAAATAACGATGGTAACTGAGGAGTAGCACATCAATGCAAAACGTGGAAATCAAACACAGAACGGCGAAATATAGAAGCGAGGGAGCGAAATCCAGCTCTTGGATTACAGTTCTCAAAAATTAAGTGAGCATTAAAGAACAATTCCGACGCCGTAAAGGCATCCAATGACCATCCACAATGTGGACATAAGGGTACAGGGAGAAAAGTACCCGATCAGCAAACACAGTACAATGCTTATATTCTGCATGGGGTCTTCAACAGCTTAAGTAACCTCTTCACGTGCCTTGAGTGCCACAAGTATAAGTTAGTTCTAGTCTTCAAAAGCAACTATGTTCAAAAGCAGATTATGCAAAACCAGGCCCGATCAAGTAAGAAATATGAGTAGGTTGCAAGGAAAACCTTGGAATCGCACTATGTCTTGCCAGATTTTTAGTTAAACACCTGGCAAGACAGCCTATAATTCTGGACAAGAAATCATTCATTTTACTGCTAAAGACTGAGGTATTGAATTACATCATGACTTGGGACAGAAATCCTGAGCAAAATACAGTGAGTTAGCGTCAGACAGTGTTGAACAGTTGAATCTTCACTGCTGACCATGTACGCGCATTTGATGCTGATAAAAACTATGCATATATTATTCATGGTAGGGTTCATAGAGCATCCAAGACGGTAGGCTCTCCAGAGCCCGTTTTCCTCGTGATGAACAAATGTCCAGTTTTTCAGCCACATTTTCTGAGAACGTATTACATGACAAAAGTTATGACCAAAACTCATTGCGATAAGTGTAAAAGAGGGATGAGGCCCTCGAAAATTCGTATTTCCGACGTCGAATCTATACAGTAAGACATACTCTACAACTTTCAAATTTGCTACAATTTGGCAAAGCTCCTACTCTGGCCCGCAAAAATGACCCAATAATGCAGAGATGATCTCGGTCATAAACAGGGAGGTTTTCTTCGGTATTACTTGAGCTGTCTAGCCATATCCACAGAACAACACAGAGCTTGCAGTCGATGCTTATGACGAATAAAGAGATTGAAACACCGTAGCTACTTCATTATAGATATTACATTGTACCCATTGATCGTTTTGCAGAATTTAGATCGTGGGTGTGGCTGTTGCAAAAAAAAGGAGCCCAAGCACTACCCAGAGTACATGCATAGCTAAACTCTAATTCCTGTTGGTGGCTTTGACAATATGTGCTCACCTTTTGACAGTCTATTATGTGTGACATTGTTTGTACAGACTTCACATGCCAGCCTATCCTAACAGGAGTTCATGTTTTAAAGGGGGATGTCTTCTGATGAGACTGCTCGCTGCTGTTGTGTATGGCTCTTCAAAGGCATCAGACACATAAGCTTCGACTTGCTTACCGACAGGCTGGTTGCTAGGCCTGATCGCTATCAAAGAAGCACCCTTCAATCGAATACCGCCAGGAAGGTCCAGAACGGGTGCATACCAAAGCTTGATATTCAAGAGTGGAACTTGTCCTCTGCTCAAAATGGGACTCACCACTCCGGCAGCTTTGGCTTGAAAGTCCAGTAATTGGTCTCGGTCCATGCACATTGTACCCTGCCCATCAGCGTCCAAAACCATGACGTGTTCCAGGGTGGGGTGATCCAAGAGGATCTCTTGAAGCAGAGTATGCCGCTGGGAGGCGGCGAAGAAACAGCTTATCGTCCAAATCACCCTCAGTTTCATATCTCCGCCATAAAAAGATTCCGGAATTCGGCCATTGTCCAGCGGAACTGATTTCGTGTGCTCCGATTTCTGGATCCCCGCATTGATCACAGAATCGGCACCCAGCATCACACAGCTTTCCAAACTACTCCCAAACTCGGCCTTCCACCTAAGAAGCACACCGTTCTCGATGACATCTCCTCGAGGAAGCACGATCCTCAAGCTTTGAACAGCCCTGAAGTTCCTCAAAACCTCCAGAGGAGTGTGCCTGGACACCTCCGCCACTATCCTCTTTTCTCTTCCCAGCAGGTGCTGCAGAGCGTGTAGGGGTCTTACGATTCTGCCGACCACGAACTGAACGAAGTGAGTCAGTATCCTCTCCCTAGCGCTGAGACTGCTTTCTTCTCCGGCCACCACGCTATCAACCTTCACCACCACCACGCTCACTTGCTGTACAAGCTGTTGCATCCTCTTGGAAACGGCCTTCAATCGGCCCAAAGAATTCACATCTGCTACCCTCTCCAATATTTCAAGCAGCAAAGAATCTGACAATCGGTCCATCAGCTCCGCCATCGAATGATGTCGCTTTGGTTTCTCAACAGATCCCCGACCTTCAACGCAACTCTCTGCCACCAGGTTGTGTGATACTAATTACGCATCGTTCCAGATGATCTAATGCCTCTAAACGCCAGCTCTAGAACCTGTCAGAATCAGAAACTTAGGCACTTTAGACCCAGTCAAGCTTTCCTCTGCTCTACTCCATGGCTCAAAAATTTTGCGTCTCGACTTCGTAGCACCAATGCGGTGCTTCCTACCCCGACAAAATAGTTCTTCCTCCTCACACTTGCTCAAATCTGCATTCTCAGCCTTCGGTGTTGTAACTCATCACGCCTTCAAGACATACCATCCCATCGATCTCCAACTCTCTACACGTTGCTACCTGCTCAATAAGCCAAAGCCGCATTTTACAGGCAATCCAGGCAAACCCCATGATGGAAATCATGACGAAGCGCCGAGCACATGCAGCAGAGGCTCGCGAAAAGCTAGAGGTAAGCAAAGCGTTCGTCAAATAGCCTAAAGAAAGATTACGAGAATTCCTCCTAGTCTAACTAACTTCATGAACTCATGCCAAGCTTGTGCGGCCACTGAATCTGTCAGCCAATAAAGCAACCACTAGCTGTACGAAATCGGAGATTTGACGTGGATGCTAACCACCCATTAGAGCTGCTCCCCCTCCTCGTCACTGATAAACCCTCCGCAAGTCTCCGACAAGCAAGCAGTCAAACAATTCGACGACCGACAAATCTAACAAATTAAAAAAAAAACTACCACTCGAGTGCGGTACAGGGAGATTATTCAACGCAAACTGACCAGCCTTTCTCAGTCCTTGGAGTCGGTAGGTAGATGAGGGTCGTTGGAAGAGGAGATGGGAGCACGGAGAGTAGCACAGCGGCGGGAAAAGCAACGCTGCAGTCGGTCGGTCAGTCATCAAAAATCGACATGGCGGTCATGATAGGAATGTCAGTTGGTATGTTCCCAAAGCTCAACACCAGACACAGGTAAAGCCCAATTCAGGATAGGCATAAGCAGCAGCAGCAGCATCAGCAGCAAGTGCAGAGCAGGTGCAGGTGCAATACTACTTCCAACAGCCAACAGCAGCGATGCAATTTATGCAACTTTATTCGCTCGATTCTCACTTCCTCTCATGATCTTTCTTCCCTTCCTCCCTTCCCTCATTCTTGGCGCCCATGCCACGACAAGACTCGACGATGTTCGAAGCCTGCTGTCGCTGCTGCTCCCGAAGCTGTTGGAGATCCGCTGCTCTTCGTGCTCTGCTTGCTCTGCCGAGAATTCGCTCCACCTCCTGCTGCGCTCGTTTGGACTCTTGTGGTTCTATTCTCGCTCCTCTCGGCAGTGTGTCAGCAGTTAGCTCTCCGTGTTGAATCCTGACTCTAGTAACAACTTCACTTCACTTTCACTTCCCTTTCCTTTCCGAGGATTTCGCCATCACTGTCAGTCCTTCCTCCTGTTGGTGCCTTTGTGTTCCAACTATTGGGGCCGTCATACCGTTGGAGCTAGCCCCTGGTTATCCGTTGGGTTTCATCCTCGTACGGGGAATCTTTCTCGAGAACGAGGACTCGAAGTAGTTTATAACTTAAAATTGACTATAATACACGCATACGTGTATAAACAAGTGTATATGAGATCATTCCAATTTGTTCGGTAGTTAATATATTTCCTTCGGCCGGCTGGTGGGAATGAGAAACTTGGGATTTGGAATATGTTTGGTGAGTATTTGGGGAAATCCCAGATTTAATTGCTAACCCATACGCCCCGGTTCAATTCTGATGCCCGCCCAAAAGTTCATGATTGTGAACGTACACTGGGCAGCTTGTGGAACCGTACTGGGTCCACAGTCGTGTTCTCGGTTGTTACTGGGCTTCGACAGACAGACAACGGTGCCATAAACTGGAGAATGATATATTTTATATATCTGCACGACTGCAATTTGCTGATGAGATCACGTCCTCCGTCACATCTCTCTTACCTTGATGTTGAAGACATTGTAGTTGTAGACATGACAGTAAGATGAACAATGTGAGCTCGCTGAGTCATTAAAGTCTCAGCAGGATCACAGAGTCATTTAACCTGCTTCTGTTGAGGGTGAGAATTCACAATTTTACATCGAAAGTTGATTTGGAATGAGAAGATGTAAAATTATGAATCATTCAAATCCTCATTTAACAAGAGCACGTGCGTTGAGCAACAGGAGTTCTTCATATGTTTTGTATATATTTAATCATGAGTATGTGTGTTCATTTAGCATGCACTTCCTTAGTACATGACCTTCTTCCCCATCCTGCAAACACATGTTTTAGCTCAAATGGTCGGACTTGATTCCGTTAATAGTGAATGCATGTTAAAAAACTGATTTACCATGTTAATATCTACCATATCGAAGAGTTTTCCTTTCTAATGTAGTTTGTAGCTCCAACTGTACGAATACTTTTGAACTGAATGTTTTAGAACACGTCTAAAATATGGCACGTGTTAAAACGTAAGTCTGGAATAACCTTCTCCAAAAACATATGCTACCACACTCTCAAGTAATTACCAAACTCATTTCACTAGTAGCTTTAAACTTGTCAAATCGCCCGTACTGTGGGCAAATTGACGTTCTACAATTAACGTTTTAGATCAGATACCAAACGTCTTCTTGTGATGGTTTCCTATGCTATGCATTAAGATCTCCCTAAAAGTATGACATGAGTAAAAAACAACTCTCGTTGCTTGAGACATGGCTGAGGAATTCCCTGCATGCTCTAATATTTAGAAACAAATCTAAACGATTTGACAATATTTTCTTCTGAAAACATTCTTGTCGGATGTGTCAGACATCTGCTCAATAAGCCTTAAAGACGTCATGAAGTGTTCACGTTGGGTAGAGATGCATGAATCATTCCTCCAGCTAAAACGACATGAGAGGCTCAAGTCAAAGTCTCGGTCATCCCCAAGTGAGGTGTAGTTGGCAACTCAAATCAAAGTCTCGTTGACTGATGGCTGTTCGATATTTTGTGTTTTTCTAAATATTTTTCCACAACACGAGATTCCAACAAGGCCGAGCTGCAAGGTGATTTGACTGTAGGATTACTCACAAACAGGTTATAATACAATATTCTCAAAGCTCTGATTACTAAACAGGTTCAGTCGATGGTTTCAGCAGGGTCACATCAGGAAGGGATTAACCCGATTCACACGTTGCCAGTGACTAGTGGAAGCCGAGTTCAGCAAACTTTTATCGTCAAGCCCAGTAGACTAAATCTTTCACCTTAATGGAGCAATCTGAAGATGTTATATATCCCTGTCTTTTTCACATCATTTACACTTTCTTTCAGTAGCTTATAATATCTAGAAAGAGAACATGGTTTGTAAGTTGTAAAAGAACCAATATGGTATAAGATGATACTTTTTGAATCTTCATAACATGAGATGATATGAAGAACCAGACATGATATATAAATATATTTATCTAGATAAAGAAATAAATCAATTACATATTACCTTACCACTGTACATATTATCCTTTGTTGTCATCATTTTCGTTATGTTAATGGGTTTTAAGAATATTTGACAATGAAGTAGGAAAAGTAATTATGTTTCTTAGTAAAAGTAAAGGTATTAGTTTCTTACAATTTACCAACTTTCCCTTAAAGTAAAGTACAACCACATTCTCTCTACCATGCGCTTTTCGTGAGATAGCATAAATTACAATCTACCGTACTGAGCACATCGCGATTTCCACAGTGCCTTCGCATCAACATTTCTTGACGCATTTTTTCTTGGCTGCATTTCTCGGCAGTACGTCCATGCATGATTACCACATATGATACAGAGCAAAAGCTGTTCCGTAGACGTCAGTCATTGACGGTAAAGCTTGAGCATACTATCAATTATATTGTGGCTATATATTATTGACCTTACCTACCAATCATGACCCACAGCAGTTGGTCTCTATACATTGAGCAATTATCTTACATGGCTGGAACAGAGTGAGGTTCCGTCTCGTGATCATTCAGATTTCCTTCAAGGTGAAGTTGGAACAGCAGAAGTGTGTTCACAAGGTTCGGAAAAGGTCAAATTCTGAACCGACAAGTCTGCTGGACTTGTTGGAAAGTATCAACGAACATGAAGACACAATGTTGAGATAGCAACCCAAGTGACAGAGTTGTTGGCGATCGATGTGCCACTAATGGCGCATTGAGCTATGGAGTTGGTATCTTGTAGCCGAATAATTCATGGTGTCCTTGCACACTCAGCAAGAGTTCTGTTTTCAAGGAGAGGAAAAGCAAAGAATAAAGTTGGCTCGCTCTGCTATACAGGCCATGAGGGTATGAAGGGTCGATAATAATATTCTTTGTTCTCACGTTCCAATGCGTGCATGTGGATGCCATGTTGGTCAATATATCTTCCTGTAGCATTAGAAACAGAATTATCCTGGCCTGCATTATGGACAGAACACGTTGCCACCCGAAAGAATCACAGTACAGGTCGTTTTGTTGAGGTATAATGCCTCGATGTCAATACATAATTGTAAGAGTAAGACTCCTAAATTTTGGACTTGCCTTATGTGGGTGCTTAAGATCCTTTGTGGGAATCACAGACCACGACCTCATTCTGACCAACACGGCTTATGTAACCCACAAGGTTCTGTGGTGTTTACGTCAGCTGCTTGATTCTTGATCATCTATGAGCTGTCAGTTTCAGTCAGGTGACGTCGTTCCTCGTCTTATGCTCATCGTCTGTTAGTGAAGTCACTTCTGCGTGGGGAGTGAGGATGTGGAATCAGCTTAGCGCAACGTAGCTTCTTCTAGCGCATGGCTGAGCAACAACGTAAGGACAAACGGGGAAATCTAGAAAGGCAGTGCTGCACTTCGTAATGTCTGCTCTAAATGCAGTCTACATATCCAGACTAGCTTAATTCCAAATGCAGTCCACATCCACTCAATTGAGAGTGTTGTTTGATCAGACACAGAGGTTAAAGAGTATCTAAACCGCTTCGTCAGGAAAGGAGTCAGAGGGATCCTGATCCGGATCTGAGGGACAAATATAGAGAACTGTTTTCATGTTTTATGCGCTCAGCCTCTGAGCTACAGTCTCCGTGAAATAAGATATGACAAAACGCGCCAAATTTGCTATACCCAGAAAGCGCATGCTTTGAAAATCCGAACAGGGTGAACGAGTCCCCTGATCATTGTCAGTGCTCTCCAGCTTTCCTGGAGATCCTCACAGGGTAATCACTGTGACTCAAGATCCTTGGAAGTTTAGACATCGACCTGTTGAGAGCCCCGGTCCATACACGAGCATAGGGTGGCATAGAGTGATCGTGAAGTATCTCACTTTGAGGGAAACAGAGAGAAGCACTGAGTCATGATTTAGAATCATAATCAAAGAGTGGGGAGCTCCAGTAACTAGAATCCTGGCCTTAGTTAAGCGCATCCGCTATATTATGATATGAACCGGGATTTGGACACCAGAATTGACCATTTCAGATGCAGGTGTAGCACGAGCCACATTGTGTCATGACCAATTTCGCGTCATTTAGATTCGGACTAGATCCAGTGTCTTTTACGATTCTCCAGTCAGCAAGGTCTTGAGAGGCACTGGTGGCCAGCCTTGGCCATAGGGAACTCCTGGATTCGGAGCACACGTTTCTAAAGATAAAGAAACCAGAACGGCCATGAACCGGGGGCCCAGAAAAGCTCAGTTGGGCATTCAGAACGAACACAATATTAGCAGTGATTCTCGGAGCTAAGGTACTATTCTGCCGACCATATCGGCAATATTTTAGTTGTCAGGAAGTGTTGGAAGTGCGCAGCCAGCAAACTGGATGTCTTGACTGTACTGAGCAAGTACCGAACGACCGACAATGCACACGTTTCATATCATAACTGGTGATTCTCCTGTCGCAGTGAGACCATAGAACTCAACATTCATCTACAATGTACGTACATATGAACAAATAGAAGGTCTGTAAACGGGCCCACTCGTCTGCTACAAAAAATACATTATAGTTTACTTTCTATCGACATTCCACAGAGAGAGATATAAGATACATTGCAGCTCTTGTAGGGTTTTCCAGAACAGAATGGATTCAAAATGTTCATTTGCTCCGTTCTCTCTGTAGCATATGAATTGCATTATCTCTCACTGACGTTAGATCCCATTCGATTGAGTTCAGAATCTTCGGATTCTCCGTTCCCTTTACCAGGTACCATCTTCAATGCCTGAACGATCGAGCCATCTCTTCCAGGATTTGACCAAGCATGTACAATTCCGAGCGACCGTAATTGCGCTTACTTTCAGAAA